GTCTGATACGGCGAGTTCTTGGCGTGCTCTGCGGGTAAACCGCTAGAAACGTCAATGCTGAGTGATTAATCAGGTCATCAAAAGCCGCTCGTATGATACCTGACGTAATCTCCCAGTACAATTGGTCAGATCTTCATCTAGTGTAGACCATCGAAAGTATAAAAAAGACTGAAACGCAATATAGATCTGTATTGTAATCAGATTGGTTTGTATTAAGACTATATCTGTTAAACATGTTTCCGTCTGTAGTATGACTATATCTGAAGAGTCCTTGGAAAGAACGATCTAAGTCACATTTTTGTCTTTTCGCATAAAACACGAAATGGACTATGGGATGAAAATTCTTGGCGTGAACAGAACAACGAGCGGGTTTAATTACAACTTCAAATGATGTTTAATACGAATCAAAATTACCAGTACAACAACTGACTTCCACTTTTCAGCCAAACTAAGGTCAAATAAAGGGTACGGTGGACGTATTTGTCCGGGAGGCCATTTCTGAAGGGCCTTGGTTCGATGTGACTCCGGTTGTTTTTACCTGAAATTGATTGTTCCACAGAAAGCTTATACAATTTGCTACCAGATAGCGCCATTAACTGGGGTTCATTGAAAAAGTAACCTAGATCGTTCTTCCCCGGGGCTCTTCATCTGTTAAACATGTATCTGTAGTACGGCTAGATCTGTTAAAACATTATTCTGTATTAGGACTATATCTGGTAAACATGTATCTGTTTGTATTAAGACTAGATTTGTTAAATATTTATCTGTTTGTATTAAGACTAGATTTGTTAAATATTTATCTGTTTATATTAATCAGGGCCGACGGAAGCAATTCTTGATTGGGGGAGGGGGGGGGGCTACCATTCTAGGTTTTCAGGCAAGGGTCCAGGGGCCGCATAGGCCCCGGCAGCTCCTGGGTTCTAGATTGTCAAGAGACGCTTTCTAAGCGATTTCCGGCTAATAAAATTACTCAGCAGGTGAATTGAAATTTTATTCCTTTTCTAAATCCCTTACCATGCAAACCCAGACTATGTGGGTTTCCTGAGATACTGAACTTGATAAATATATGCATAATAATACCTAGGTAGTGGACACTCTAGCATCCTCGGTATCCCCACTGGTTTCATTCCGTTCTACTCCACTAACCCCTGGGTTAATCTATGGGGGAACACGTCTTCGAGTTATCCGCCCTTGATGATTGTTATATTTTTATCGACCACTCCCATAAATCGTTAATTGAAAAGGAAGTAACTCTCATCGGACAAGGTTAGGCGTTAGCCTAAACGAGAGATGTCCAAATTATTCTAAATGCATATCTATTAACAACAAATTATATATATATCATATATATGTTCAAGGGTTTTATTGAGAATCGTTCGCTCGTTCCCGAAATTTTACGTCCACGTGATATCGTAGACAAGTTATTGTGAATCAAATTATCAAGTATAAGTTCAATAATAATAAAACATTTTAGACAAAGAAAGAAGAGTAATAATAATAACAAAAATCAAACATATAGATGTTATACATATTTGAAATCCGTGAAACATACTACAGATTTTGACAATGAATTAAAAATACATACATTATTTACATAAATCATTCAGTAAATGGACATTTATTTGGTTATCTCCTTATAAAAACGAACGCCGAACGACTGGTTTGTATGCTGTTTTTTGATTGGTTCGCAGACTTTAGCTTCAATCACGGCCAGTGCAGATAATTTGAAACCGTGGAAACCCTATGGATTAACCCAGGGTATAGTGGAGTAGAACACGGAATGAGAACATTGGGGATACCGATGATGACACGTACTCTAGACGTCACAATTTTTATACGATGTATGTTTATAACCGAAAGATTTCGGTTTGTTTCGATATTGGCGCATATAGTATCCTCACTTCCTATATATATATTTTTAGCTTGTGGACCCTTTAGAGCTCACAGTTTTTATTTGATTGTAAAAACCGTTCAAATATATCACCGTTACACCATAATTACGACTGACTACAAATTTCATGAAAAGCGGACCGAAACTGCCGGACAAAATCTCCGCTACCCTTAAAAGCATGTAATATCCAAGTTGTGGACAACCCAGCGGTTCGAATTTTCATCCAATCTGATATATCCCAAAGATCTGGTTTCCTTTCGATATTGGCGCATAAAGGGCCGTAACAGTCTGGATTATGACTCTTGATTGTACGAAATATCACGTTTTTGTTTGTGGAGTCGCTCGCTAAAAAAGCAAAGTGAATGTAAAACTAGAGGAAAGAGGAAGAAGAAGGTTGTGGACTATCTAGAGGTCACAATTTTTATCCGATTTAGATGAAGCTTGGATGGGCTCAGTTTTGGTGTGCACTGTCCCCCTGTTTTTTTACGCAGAATGTGAAATATGTATGAATTTTAATATAGACCCCCAGAGGCGCTGCAATTGTCCCATTCTGAGGAAACTAAACAAATATGTTAAGGATCAAAAGATCTTGAATGAGAGGATGATGTTGCCTCTTCCCCATACATTTCTCGCGAAATGCGGGCATACCTTGCATGGCAACCGCTTGTTTCAACTGGTCATAACTGATAGCAATGAATTATTTGATGGATAAGGGACACAAGGAAAGAGTGTGAGAAAAACTATATCCCTTTTTTTAATCACCTGATCGTCATAGATACAGCAGGAATGAGATGAGGTTGAAATAAAGGGTGTGTTCCCACTATGCCGGCAGACTGTTAATCATTTAATTGATCTTAAAACTATACTCTGTTTAAATGTAGTCGCTCAAGAGCTGTTCACTAGTGTTCAGCGTTAATGAGCTCTTAATCCTCTTAATAAAATTTATTAACCAACTAATTAATGACATTTTGAACACAGTTCATGCCGGCGTTATGCCTTCAAACATGAATTCAATTCACTATATTAATATAAATAGATGGTCGATCTGTGTCGAAATTATATTTATTTTAAAATGGCAAACGTTCAGGTTAATATTCGCTTTATCTTCAATAATCGAGGAGGCCGAAATTTAATACACAATGGTTATAAGTACCGAATAAAGTCAAGCAGACCAAATGTGTAAATTGTAATGCATTTTTATATCTGTAAATTATTTAATATTATTTAATAATGTTAAATTTGTTAAAATCAATACATTTTTATATGTGTAAATTAATTAATGTTATTTAATGTTAAAATCAATACAGTTCTATTCTTTAAAAAGATATGGACTATAGTTTATAACACCATTGTTCTAGGATTAACGGCAAAATTTGACATCAAAGGCTGCCGGCAAAGTGCACTGGGAGCACCCCAAATAAAGATCGACTGTTCAGTTGACTAATCGTGACACTCGCAATTGTAGGGGGGTCTCTCGGTGTATTCCCACGAAGGCGCAGTTACAGAGTGTGGACAAAATTAATCCTTCCCACGAAGGCGCAGATATCGACTTGTCGGCTTTCGTTTGAAGAGAGGCATGTTGTTATTAGGATCAAATTAACGGTGTTAAAAGATTTTATGAATTTATGTTCACTCTGAATTTTATTAACCAATTGGCAACTAATTAAAATCAACTCATCAGTGGAACCACTACGACACAGAGGAGCACAGAACCAACAACACTCTGGAAGGATGGCATGCAAGAATCAAGAAGCTAGTTGGAATAGCCCATCCGAATGTTTTTGAAATGATCACATTTCTACAACAAGAACAAAATATTAATGAGATTAGAATCGTTCAGTATGCTGAGGGACAGGAACACCAAGGAAGAGATATAAATATGTTCAAATCCAAATCCAGCTTCAAGAATTAAAAGGAAGACACGAGGAAGAGGAATTGACTTTAGTCGAGTATTTAGACAGAGTGTCTAATTTGGCGAAATTAAATTAATTTTTGTTATAGTGTAGTTATGTTTTTATTTCTTATGCCAAAAATGATGCTAAAATGTTGGTTAATTAGTTACATTGGGGATTAGGAAAGTGTAAATTCTTATAACAATCTATAACACCATTGTTACGTTTTTAATCTATTTTAATTCCTAGGAGCTGGATTCCCACGAAGGCGTCGAAAACGACCTCGTTTAATCCATTACGGTCAATAACTGCGCCTTCGTGGGAATAAACCGGTCTCTCAACCTGATAGTCTACCTACTAGAAGTCTCCCTTCTATGTTAAAGCGATAATTTCATACTTTTAAGTTATATTTTTAAAATGTATTAAAATAAAAGCTTAAAATAGATGGTATCTATAAACAGTCCTTCCTTGTTAAAGAATAATCCTATTAATCCTAGAATTCACTATTGCCAGTTGAGAAATTGGCAAAAATATCATTTTCAAGTTCAAATTCAAACGTTTTAAAATAGCTATTCCATGGGGTGGAATAGAAAAACAAGGGAGGTAATGGTGTTATTATTTCCGAGGTGAATGATCGTATAATAGTGAGTTGACAACCTATTGAGCAAAAGAAATAGAAATAATTATGTTTTGACTTTCTTAGAAAATATGAAATTCTCGCTTTAAAATCAGGCCTCGTATCTAACCGCATAATTACTTGCGTGCAATAACCCTATCCCCAACTCCGCCGGGCCTGATTAAGACTATACATGTATCTGTTATACATGTATCTGTTTATATCTTAAAAGACTATATTTGTTAAACATGTATCTGTTTGTATTAAGACTAGATTTGTTATACATTTATCTGTATTAAGACTAGATCTGTTAACCATGTATCTGTATTAAGACTAGATCTGTTAACACATATATCTGTTTGTATTAAGACTAGATTTGTTAAACAGTTATCTGTTTGTATTAAGACTAGATCTGTTAAACATGTATCTGTTTGTATTAAGACTAGATCTGTTAAACATGTATCTGTTCGTATTAAGACTAGATCTGTTAATTTATCTATTTGTATTAGGACTGTATCTGTTAAACATTCATCTGTTTGTATTAGGACTGTATCTGTTAAACATGCCTTTTCATTATCATAAATACTGTTGATTAGGCTGTGGAAGTGTATGGAATATATATATATATGAATGATCTGCATAATAACTACCAGATAACATCAGAACTTTGAGGTTACCATTTTATTTAATCAACTAGGTAACTGTAATTAATGGGATGATACAGATCAGTTGGGTCCTTAGGACTCAGTCCTACCATAAGTATTCATGAATGAGCTTATAAAAGAAATACACCAAGACACAAATACTTTGGTAGATATATAATACAGTGATCAACAAAGTTAAAAATATAAAATATAACCATAGTCAACAATATATAATACAATCAATGTCAATCGTCCATCACCAAATTAAAAAAAAATAAATAAATTTATTTCAAACATAAATAAACTCAAAACCATTTTAACTGATTTCTTTAGCCATTTTCAATATAAATCAAAACATATTTATTTCTTTTCTAAACAATATTTTTATTCAGATTTTGTATCTGAATAGGGATTGGGGAACAGACACAGCCTATATTAAACCCCTCTCCCTAATTTAATTTAAACTTATTGTAAAGTTGTATATCTTTAATATCCTCTTCTAATTCTTTGCATTATATAATTGACTTCACCAATAAATGCTGATTTCTCATATTTCCAATATAATAATTAAATAATAATAATTTTGACAGTGCTCCTAAAATCCACCTACCAGTATCTAATTGGTTCCAGGAAAAGAAAGGTCTAAGAAGAACTGTCATTAATAAATGTTCTATATAAAGCACATTTAATAAGCTCTTTTGTGGAAGCTAAGTAACTATTGCTTTTTATACAAACATTATGACTATACATGTAGTACACATAGTACACACTAGACAATCTAGCTGACTCTGATGCAAAAACGAACTATAACAAAATAGCTTATTCGTGGCACATTGGCGACTTTGGCCAAGTATAAAGTAGAAGGCTGAAACATTTTAGGTAAGCATGTAACTACAAGTATTTTTATGCATACGGGTCCAGGCCTGTCTATATCTTGTTGTTCTGGGGTTCAGGTAGCTGTACACTCCTATGTATCAACTTTTACAATATTAAGATATTTCTTATAGTTTATAATATTAAGATACAATAAATTTAGCTAACTGACTATATTCTATTTGATGACGTGTTTCTTGTAGATATTGGTAGAATTGATTCACAGTTTCTAACTGAGTGCTTAACTTTTTGATTTTCTCACTTAAAACAGGCACCGCATATTCAACATAGTCTGACGTAGATCTGGTGATTAACCTAAGTCTAGTTCTCAGTCGATTCAATCTCTGCTTTAAAAGATAGGCCATTCTTCGAGCGTATTCACGATTCCTCTGTATACAAGTCTTTGTACACACAGACACCGCAGCTTCAGTTCGTAGTTTAAATGTGGAATGCTTTAGGATGAAACGAACCAGATTAGATAATGTGTAGGGCACAGACTCTGGATAAACCACACTATCTGATTTCCTGAAAAACACATTAAACATCAAAAGTTTAATAAAAAAAAAATCTGGCAAACTTTGACTTGTGTGTATTTTGACTGATGTATAACGTCACTATAATATATGGCCTTATATATATTATAAGCCCCAGGTGGACACAGGGTCAAATTCCAGTGTATGTTATGAGACTAAAATTAAATGTCACAAAACCTGTCTGCAGACATAAAATGAAACTTTTCTTACCCAGGCCAGAAACTGTATTATGTTTAGACATCTATATAATTTGTGCAATATCAGAAAAAGATAGTTTACGATTACTGCCTAACACATCAAATAACAGTCAAATTAGGACTATTTCTTCCACCTCCTTGAGGAAACAGACTATTTTCTTCTTGAAAAAGATTAAAATGTAATGACTTTGCTATAAGATAAGGTCAAGATATGGTTAGGAAAAAAATCTGCGTACTTGTGCTAAAAACTCAGCCAATTACATGGACAAATAAGAAAATTTTCAGCAGTTTTAGCCATTATTGGAACACATGCTTGTGATTAGAAGAAAATTGGAAAGAAGTGAAGAGGTTCCAAATACACATTGAGTTATTTTGATTGTATTACATCAAAGTTGATACTTGAGAAAGTCATCTATTTCATGGCAGAGTATTTGTCGAGTTAGTATTGACAAAATTATTTGATTCTACTTCCTGTTTTATTGATTACAATATGGCTGTGTTGACTGTTACCATCTTACCACTTGTTATCGTGTTGTCAAGAAAAAGAACAAATATTTGAAATGAGGATTGCCCATATGAATGAAATGAAAATAACAGGGGTCTATGGAATGTCTACTCCCACATTGTATGGTCAGCTATTAAGCTTTCTCATATTAGCAAATTTTATTTGTTACCGTATTCTAGTTGTGCAGATTTGGAAACAATTTTACACAATTGAAACAGAATGGCACCAACACAAGACTTCAGTGATTTTAAGACTATTATCATGTGCACTGAAAGTGGGGAAATTTCTCCCAGACAGCAGTATTTCCACACACTTTTTCTCCAAATTCAAACTGCCAGTGTGTCTTTTAAAGCAGCTAATGGGGTTAAGATAGATGCGCTGAAGTGAAAATTTCAAACTTTCAGCATGCTCTGCAGACGATATAAACAAGAAAATGTCACCTATAAGTGTTGGGGAAAATCTTTTGTTTTGATGGCCATTTTTTTTTTATCCAATTGAATCCAACCAGGAGATCATCTTCAGATGATTTTTTGGTTTTGTTTTCTTAATTATTTTAAAAGTTTAAGAGCACATAAAATGATCATATCAAAATTCATGTACTTGAAGCCAGTACTTATTATAAACACTTTAGCCAATTACACACAATCTGATTCAAATTATTCGATATATGACCAATTATGTGTCAGACGCTCTAAAATACTTCTCAATTTTTTTATAACAGCCTTAATCCAGTCGATTGGCACGTGACGCCACAGGAACTACACATCTTATCACTGTATACACAAGCCACATTATTTTTTATTGTAAGACTGAGAATTGTATACTGCTCTTTTTTTTTTCATACCAAACGGAAAGAGTGGGTTGCTTTTGTAAATTATTCAAATCCTGATTTGTCAACTTAAGGTCACAACGGTGATTTGCAATAAACACTTGTAATGGTCTTTACGGCATATCGTTATTTGAATTTTTCAGAATACGCAAACAGAAAACAAATTCCCGGGTATTATCCATTATCGACATCATATCAATTACTGTTTAAAACTTAGTTAGCAGACAGTCAGCAAATAACACAAACATTCATTTCTTTTTCATTATGAAAATCTTTTAAAGAAAATATTCCAAAAGAGGCAGATACATGTATCTGTGGCTTTCTTGTCGTCTACTCACATCGGACGTTAAATTTAGACCACCAACATCTTTTTAATTTGTAAACTTCTGCTTATTTAAATTCGATTAAAAACATTTTCTGCCTATTTAACACGTAAATTCAAAGTTAATATAGAATGAATCAAATATGACATGGGAATTCAATTCACAAAATCTCAACCAATCAAATTTCTTATCACTCTGCTTAACCCGAGTCAGATCTTTTTTAATAGTTCTTTTCTAAATGAGCAATAACATAAATAATACAAATGTTGATGAACTAATTCATATGATTATTACTTGAAACCGATTTGTTTAGTAAAATCCGACATAAATAATTATTTGTATTGGCTTCATTGGTGTTCATATACTAGCGGTGTCAATAACAAATTTCACACACACACCCTGTTTTAATCAGAAGCCCATTATTGTAGAGGTATGGTTGGCTTAATCCTATATATTCTGATCAAAATGATACAGGGATATGGCTACAGCGACTGTCTTGACTATGGCATCTATGAAACAAATCCTAAAGTTAAATCGCCCTTTTAAGCTATGGTAATTTGTCTCGCTCATTTCATATATATAAAAAATTATTCAGTAGTTAATTGTTTTATTCAATGAGGCGCTAATGAGTAGGCCTTCACATCCCGGCTGAATACATGTAAATATTAAGGAATTGACGTTTTTAATATGCATACGGTCACTGGCGTTTGAGGGGATTAGGAGAATTTTCGATAATTGGAAAGGTCATTTTCACAGGAGTTCTATATTAGCCACTTTGAGTGAAGATGGCTCAATTAATTTTAATCAGATTGGTTTGAACTTGCCATAAAGTGTATAAAGGAACCACAGGCTCTAAGTACATAAAACAACGTTTGGCCATTTTATGAGCTATTTAAATTTGAATACATTTTAGAGTGGATTAGATTAAGCCATGAAAAATAAGATATTGTCCAAATGAAATGAAACAAAGTAGGATTTGCCAACCTACTGTTCTGCACGAACTGGACTAATGAAGACAAGCAAATGCCATGTAGTGTGCTATGAGGGAAATTTTGCCCAGAAAATCCTATCAAATGCCAATTTCATAATTATACTAAGTACAAAATTGCACCATTAAATAAATTCCTTGTAAAAAAAACAAAAAAAAATTATTATTGTGTTGTTTTAAAATTTATAAGTTCAACTGTCTTGTTTGCTATAACAAACCCACAGACAAGAGAGATAGAGAAATAGGGTTGAATGTCCACTGGACACCTCCTAAAATGACAATCAGCGGCTTTACTAAATCATGTTCCAGATGACCTATCACATTTATTAAATTTGATGCACATGCAATATACAGTATGTAGTAATCTACATGTCACATAAAACATGAACGTGTCAATAATTGAATGTATAAACACTGTGTTTTACCTGTTTGCAGGGAAGAACATAATGGTTGGATATTGTTCAACTGTATATTCCCATGGTAAATCATTACTATCACCATCTATCCTGTAAATATAATAATTCATTAGTTTTCACATAAAAACACTAATAATAATACAAGTAACCTAAACTGGATGCCAAAGGTTTTTAACGGAATATAGTAAATTTAATCAAGTTTAGTCAGTCGCTTCAAACCCATTCCCATATTTCCCAGCTGTGTGCTGTTGTGAACCATTTTCTTCAGCTTGTTTTGAACTCCAGTCAGTTTCCTTGGAAATAAGAGTCTGCGATATTATCCTGAGTGGAAGTGGATGCTAAGTCAGCAGAACAAATTTTGTCAAACACTGTAAAATCATGACTATCTATATTTCAGTAAATGTAATTCACCAGAATAAAGCGACAAATAGGTCAATATAGTGACCATCATAGTTATTTTTTTATGGTCAATTCTATTATATATTGTCTTCTGGGTTTCAAATTAGTTATGGATGCTTTCTATATTTTTCTAAATATCAAAGCAAATACAATTGTAATATAGTAAGAAATGGTTGTATAACATCTACAATACAAGAGCTGAAGGAAATCGGAGAGGAGAACCAAGTGCAAATCCAAAAGGTTAGTAAGGTGACACTAAGAAGTACAAGAACGTAGTTAAAACCATTGTATATTTTGATACAAGTGTTTTAGCTACAGTGGTCTCTATTAGTGTTACCTTGCAAAATTATAACTTAAACTGACAAAATTTGCAAAATGCAAGTGGTTTCAGAAATTATTTGGAAAATTGTAAATTGAAATATTTCACGCTTGAAATTAAATTTGAATCATAACAAATAAGATATCAGTGTGTTGAAAATATTGTAAGGAATAAGCATAATTTAGTATACAGTTTTTGTACCATTCATCCAAATGTGAGAAATGGGGTTTAATGTCCACTCGACAAAACTAAGTCATTTCGGTACTAACATATAGTTCAATTTTATTTCAATAATTCAGGACCCAGAGAAAACCCACAAGGTTGGACAGGCGACCCTATTCCTTACCACGTACAACCGGGGAATCGAAACCACGCCAGTTGACTCAATGACACAGACTAACCATTCGGCCATCCAACCCCCCTAGATGTGAATGACTTCTTGCAATATTAAAAAGTAAGGCATAGAATTGCTAATGGTAACAGAGAAGAATAGTGAGAGGTAGAAATAGTTTTTCTAGATGACACTTAATTCACACCACAGTGTCAAAGGTTGTAATATTGCAAATCAAGGCCTATTTAAAACCCTTTGCCACCCAATGACCCATGCAGATAAAGCTAATAAATTACTATTTAAATTATAAATTGTTATAAAGAATTAAGTACCTTGTAAAGACAATATTTGTATTTGTTTTGAAGTATTTAGCCAGTGATAGGTAAAGATGATTTACACTGGTACAGAAACCACACCATGGAGCATACACCAATACTACAACATCCTTATAAAATAAAACAATATTACAATAATCAAAGACATCAAAACATCTGTAGAATTTATAAGTAACATGGAAACGATGGACCAGCTTTTATTTAAATGGATTCAATATAAATGTACCATTTATGTAGAGTTTTGTTTGTGTTTTTAGCATACAGAGCAAAATAGTGCCCTGATAGTGATTTGAAAGGCCTGAACATAAAATAATATTTGCCAGTTTAAGATATTAGAGTAGGAAATATATAGAACAATAGGATTATTAAAAAACAGACATTAGCACATTATTTCCTATTCACTTGTCAAAATTGCAATCATGGCGCAAAAAAGACTGCACATCATACACTGAATTTGATATTATCGCATCAATGTCTAAATAATATGAATGATAGAATTGACCGTTATATAATTATATAGATATGTTTAAAGGCTCAATACCACTCTTGTTGTAACTGAATAATATGTCCCAATCTTTATTCTGGTCAACAAATTGTACTAATTTAGAATATTTCAATTAATTGATGATACAAATTTCATCTTAACACACCTTATTTAAAAATTTTGAAAAATTCAACATAATGGTTTGAAACGTCTAACATAAACCTTTTCAAATGAAACTTTGATTTAAAAATATTTTCGAACCTTTTGGACAAGTAAAATAGGATGTAATGGATAATTTACACAACAGGTAGGACACTTAAACATCTAGTACTTAGATAGAGATATTATTTTCTGGAGCTGTCAAGCCAGCAAGAGTGTTATTGTTCCTTTAATTCATATATCTGTGATTCTGTGTTTGTCAATGTGACAAGATACTTGTAGATAATAACACATGTATAATGTATATTGAGATGCAATGAAATCACACCACTGATTTGGTTGGAAGTGCTGGTGAGACATAATACACAGTCGTGGTTGTTTGTATTTTAAAGGAGAGCCGAAAAAGGTTCCCCTTAATCAACAAATTGAAAAAATCGCTTCCCTAAAAGAGTGATTTAGAAATTTAGGGGAGTGATCTAATATTAAGGAGAGGGATTAGTTGTGTGTATGGGAAATGATTCTGAAGATCAATAACTGCATGTAAGGGGGCCATTCCTAGTTTCATAAATGATAATAAACTCCCCATGACTTTGTAAAGTCGAGGGGGGGGGGATGGCCGAATGGTTAGCACGTGCGTGCTGTATCATAAGGCCTGTCATCGAGTCAACTGGCGTGGTTTCGAATCCCCGTTGTACCTGACAAGGAGTAGGGTCACCTGTCCAACCTCGTGGGTTTTCTCCGGGTCCTCTGGTTTCCTCCCACTGCTAAAGACCCCTACGCGCAAGCGAATTATTGAAATAAAATTAAACCAAGTGTTAGTCCCGAAATGACCTGGTTTGTGTCAACTGGACGTTAAACCCCATTTCTCTCTCTCTCTCTGTGTAAAGGGGAGGGAGAAAAACCTTCTCTTGATCGACATTCAGGTGCACGACAGGTGCTTGAGAGCAATCGATCACCTTAAAAAACAATAACTGAATACACCTGAAATGTGATTTTGGTAGGCTTTCAGACTGGATATGTCCACCCCTAGCTGCCACACAATTACCCTCTAAATGGCTACATGTGGGATCCTTGTGCTTGTTGCCTAGTATTAGAGTTGATAGAGATCTTGCAGTTGGGGATACTAGGAGAGACAACATCAAATATTGCCCACAGATGCTTGAATTGTGAGAGATTAAAAGAAAGGGATAGCTGTTCACATGTTTTGGTTTAAGAAGTCCACAGAGTCATGTTCTGTATGCCCTTGAGCAATATTGAATGATCTGGAATCAGATTTTTCCAATTTAAGGTCCACTGGCAGAGCATAGTCAGGGACGAACTGTGTCAGCTTCAGCACTTATGAACACATGTGGACCCTCACATTAATAGCAGTACATGAAGCTGGCACCATTTGATCTTGCAGATGTTGCTGGATAGTGTGCCGATCTTGTCACATGTTTCCGAACTGTCATTGGTCAATCTCTAATTGAGTCTATCTGCTCGAAATGCTAGTGTGGGCAAATCTTTGGGCAAAGTGTCAATATTGACATATAATTGCATCATGAAAGTAGAGATATCCAATCACATATCTACTGATAATCTGATACTTGGATTCTGTGCCTTGCAAATTTCTCTGTGACCTTTTGGCTTTGTTACATTATATTGTATTATGTTCACTGTATAAATTGGACAAAAATTGTGGCCTTTGCAGGGTCTATGAACCGATACTAGAAAAAATCGGACCCATTCAAGATCTTTGGGATATAAACATACACTACAAGTATAATGAAAATCAGATAAAAATCGGACAAACAAATAAGAATGGATGTCCCGACGAACAGAGGCAACAACATAATACATCCACATGAAAATGTAGGCTTTGTAGTATGATAAAAGAATAAAATATAGATACCTGATGTTGCCTACTGATATATTGCTGGAATGTTTGAGATGTTAGTTCTGTAATACACATATCATCTTGAGTACAGGTATTCACTACTGGTTCATTTGATAATAAAGCACGTTGCAACCGACCAATGGTAAAATTCAAAATAAAACTCACTGAAATTTTTTAAAAAGATAGGTTGTCAGGCAATAAATCATACACGACCCCATCTTATGTCGTCCCACGGGTGTCAACAACATTTTTTCAAAGTGTTTAAGGGAGGACCATATTAGAAATCATTGAAAATCAACAGCATCCTTTGGCTGCTGAATATGAACACTGTTGTCAGTTGGATGATAAATTGAGCCACTAGAGAGTAGACAAGATTTCTTAAGGTGAACAGGGGCTACAACTCCTGAAGTAATTATAAGAAACAGATCACAATAAATGTTCACAGAGACATTAACGATACATGTAATCTCATCTCCTTGCTCTACCTAATGTTTTTTTTTAAATTTTAACATAAATATAAAGTTATTCAGATTACGTACCTACATTGGTGGCTGTAAAATTCTCTTTGAGAATATAATGTTCTTCAGCCTAAAATTATACAAAACTGTTATTTTTCTGTCAACCTAAATCCACATACTCTCTGTACCAGAACATTTACCACGGAAAAATAAATTTGCCCACTAAACATCTGGTATACAGAAATGTATGGTTCTGCAGATGAATGAAAATTTATACCACATGTTGGATGGCAGAAGTGATAAGATATAATTATGAGCTAAAATTTAAATAAGTACAACAAACATATGAACCATCAAACATATGTGCAGCATTGGAAATATACAGATAGGTTTCTACTGGTATGTTTTTAATAGACACTTTATTGTAAAAATTAATTCCAAACCCCTATGGAAGATTTAAAAAAAAAAACTTACAAGAACCTACCTCTCTATCTATAATAACAGCTGTAGGAAGAACAGCTAACCTTTCTATATCAACACCCAGTCTTTTGGCAAACAGAGAATGATGCATAGAATCAATGGCATAAAACCCTAGAGTTCGGTTTTGTTTACAACCTAAATTGGTAAAATTACTTGGAATTTCAAAATCAGGAAGATCTGGCACTGTGTATAAACCCTGAAGTTTTTGTAAAGTTAAACGTTTGCATAATCTTAAGGGAAGCAATTCAAGATTTTGGTAAACATATCTGTCTGTTCTTCTCCTTCCATTTTTGTTGAAAGTTTCGGATTCAATTGTTATTTTATTTTCGGCACAAGTTTCACAACAAAAACTAGAATGTTCATTTGTGTTGTAATTTTGTCTGGAATTGTGACAAATTTTGGCATCAATGTCTTGGAGATTTTTTGTGGGTAAAATTGAGGTATGTAATTTAACGTCTATTGCACAGTTAGAAGCACTCGGTAATATGGGATTAAAACTCTGCTTATGATGGCACACTTCACACACATTTTTACTAGAGCTTTGATTAGCCAATGTCACACAACATTTAGCACTATAGACTTTAGACAAACTTTGTTTTTTTAACTGATTACAAACACTGACTATATCATTGTATTTCTGTAAGGTGTTTAGGCTATACAATTGATAGGAGTTAATCATTGTATTTGAAGAAAATGATGTATAATTAACACAGTCACTTGTAAAATGGAGGGCAATATTTTTGAGCTGAAAAATATCAAAAAAAGAATATTAGAATTCAGAAAAATTAATCTTGGATATGTATTAACAATCTCCCTTTTCAATTTTATAATAAAATGTTAGTATAAATGCAATATTAAAATACAAATAGCGAATAAAACCTAAATGATATCTCCTGTATTTTATGTTCGATGCATCTTGACTCAAAATTATTGTGTGAATTCTAAAGCACTTTATTACACACAAACTACTTCTAAGAGCGGTACACAACACAAGAACAAACACCAGGTAGACAGTAATTAAAGTTAACATAAGCTCTTTGTGAATAAGACTGTACAAAAATTTAGAAAGTCCCTCAGGTTTATTGGCAGCCTGGCTCCATCAACAGGAAACAAATGAAATGAAATGGGATTTAATGTCCTACTGTTCTGCTCCGAACTGGGCTATTGAAGATGGGCATACGCCATACACGACAGTGTGCTATGAGGGAAATTTTGCCCAGGCAGTTGCACTACAGCCTAATTTATACTGAATTCCAACTGTAAAGGGATCTTTTACATGCACGCCAATGTGCACACAGGACATCGGTTTTTCGTACCATCCAAACGACTAGACAGCTGTCCTTGTCACGTCCTTCGTCCTGCATCACTGACAAGAGGATGAACCACGCCGGAAAATCTAGATGAACTTTCTTGGCCAATGCAGGAATCGAACACCCGACTTCCAGACTAGCGAGCCAGTGTCTTACCCACCAACAGGAAACAATAATGTGTAAGTCAAATTGGTTGAGAGGGTGAGAAAAACTGGACAAATTTTGTTGAAAGGTTTGTTTAATCTGAGAGTCAATGAGGATCATTAATTTTATCTGTAACATGGTTGTATTTTTATACGCCCACATTTTCATGTGGACGTATATTGTCGTCGCCCCCTGTCCGTCCTTCCGTCCACAATTGTTTGTGAACAGTCTACAGGTCATACTTTTTATCCGATTTCAATGAAACTTGAAATATAGGTTTATCACCCTAAGATCTCAGTTCCTTTCAATATTGGCATCTATCGGACCTGATTGTACGAAAAATCACGTTTTTGGCTTGTGAACACTGTAGAGGTCACAATTTTTATCCGATTTTGTTGAAACTTGAAATGTAAGTTTATAACCCAAAGATCTCGGTTCCTTTCGATATTCGTTCATATCGGACCGTAACTTCCTGAATTATGGCCCCTGATTGTACGCAAAAACGTGTTTTTTGGCTTGTGGACCCTATAAAGGTCATAATTTATATCCGATTTAAAAAACCGTATTATTATATCATCGTTAAACCCTAAGGACGGTTGAGTTCGAATTTCGTGAAAATCGGCCCAAAACTGACAGACAAAATGGCCGCCGTTCGTTCTCAGATTGCGTAAAAATATGGTATATCAAGGTTGTGGACCCTATAGAGGTCACAATTTTTATCTGATTTTGTTGAAACTTAAAATGTAAGTTTATAACTCAAAGATCTTGGTTCTTTTCGATATTTGCGCATATCAATTGTAATTTCCTGAATTATGGCCCTTGATTGTAGGAAAAAACACTTTCGTCTTAGCTTGTTTTCTATCCATCTCTCGAAAATGTGGGCGTATCCTGCCTGGCAGCCGCTGGTTAAGTTTATGATCAGTCTAGGGTTTGGGAATCTGAAGCCAATCTAGAGCTGATTCTTGGACAATTGCAAGAGGAATGGTTAAATAATAAAGTTCTATCACACGATAGCAGAACTGTCTTACATCCAAAAGGGTTAAAACATTATGCATCCAATTTTTAAAACTAAGAGGTCATCTTTGTTTGCTGTTATCTTGAAGGTCAGAAATACCACAGCAGCACCATCCATTTTAATAATGGACATAAAGGATACAAATTTTCAATATATAGATTGCTAATTACCTACCATGTGAATATAAGTATTAATATCAAAGAGTTGATTTATAGGTGTAAACATAACTAGACTAGGTCCTAGACTTATCTGTCTAGATAATGTTAAACTCTTAACACCTAATGGTGTAATCCATTTTACAACTGGCTGAAAATATAGAAAAAGAGAAACGTCAATCATAAAGATAACATGAACTGGTGCATATCTGAAGTTTGTATTCACTTCCAACATGAAAGTCACAAAATTTAAATAAAGCATTTATTTAGGAAAAGTTTCTTAAAGAACTGTATCTTATTATTTGATTTTGTCTGCCTCCTTGTTTTCTTATTATCATACTTCTATTATAAAGAAATGTCTTATTTGATTGAAACAGATAAAAGCAAATGTAATAATAATGAATACCTTTTGTCTGTTCTGTAAGACCCAGGAAACAATATAGGAACTAGTATAATTAGCATCTGACGGAAATTTCTACAAAGAAACAGATAATTTCATTGGCAAGAGTTAGGCATGTTCAATAAGGGCTGCTCTCTAATTAATGACCTAACTGTTGTGACTACCAATTGTCTAATTAGGTCTAACACTTCTATGTGGAAATGTGTGAAACAATTCAAGGGAGGTAATGATTAAACACAGACATCATCAATCCATAATAAATTTTGGTAATTTTCGGCTGGCAGAAGAATCAACCCAGATAGCAGCAGCCATTATTTCCTATTAAGATTTAGGACTGGATACTTCAGGGCAAATCATTAAACAATCTATGGTCCTCGACTAGTTTTCTCTTGCTCGAGACGAGTTGAATATCAATTTACTGTTCAAGGAAAACAAAGGCTATATGAATTTAATAGAGAGCTGACAAGGGTCATCGTAAGGTACTTCTTCTTTAACTAAATTAACCTAGAGCACATAATAAACAAGTCAACAGTGAGGTTGATGTCCCCCGCCGAAATTCCAAAATAAACAGATGACACATATTAATTAATTCATTGCATATTTATCTTTTTCAAAAGTATTGAGAAATCAAACTGATTATCTATGCTTAGTCTAAGCATAAAATGTTCACGATCAAACTCAGTCAGGTTTTGAAGTATCTCTATCAGTTAGAATCAATGTTATCTTGTCCCAAAGCATCGACCAATGAAATTGCTTAGCTCTGCTTAGCTTTAGCTGGAAATATTAATCATTGAACTGAGTCAAGACATTTGTCTAATGAACATCTATATTTCAATGAAAAGCAGAGTTGTTATGTTCCAAAGTCTTGATCAATCAAATTGCTAGGGCTGCAACGATTCACAACTACCTCGATTCGGTTCGATTATCAATTTTAACCATTCGATTCGATTATTTTCGATTCGATTATTTTCGATTCGATTATCAGCTACAATAGCCAGTAATTTTTCCTGTATATAATTCATTAAAAACAATAAAAACACAAGACTAAAATTCTCTTGAACGCTTCTATTGGTTTGACAGGTTTGTTGTGTTTCCTGTTTTATGGGATATTTCAGTGTAGCATACTCTACAAGTTGCCACATCTTTAGAGTTTTTTCTTACACCAAAGTGATCCCAAACTTTAGATTTCAAATGACCAGGTGGTCGAGAAAGTACGTTGTCTGCCATAATTTTACCTTCCAGTCGTATTTGCTTGACTACGGGTAATAATCGTTAAACACGAAAATATCCGAAGATAATGACCGGAATTATCAGCTAATGAGATCGTTTAGAATTTATATAACGATTACCGAAGCTATTGACCTAAATTAACATCCAATGAACATTCGGTACGTCACCAATTTTAAATAAATTAACTTTCGTCAGCATACGGAAATTGTTTTAAAGGGAGGTCACTCTGTTTTAGTTATGTTTTTGAGTGACATTCGTGTCTTGTTAAATAACGTAAATTAAAAGTTACGTAAAAACAAAGTTTTTTTAAATAATTTTTAAGTGGACTTAATTGCTACAGGTCTTTCATTTTATTTCATATGGTAAGGTGTACGTTGTTTTTATTTGAAATTTAATTTGCAATTGAACCAAATCGAAATTTGAATGTTGTAGATCGTGGATCAAACCGAGGCGGCTATTGTCGGTTATCGGTGCACCGAACTGAATCGTTGCAGCTCTACAAATTGCTTATAGCTACTTTTAGCCTAAGCAGAAAATTCTCATTATTGAATGTATACTAAAAGAGTTTCATCACTCTCACCCAATTAGAACCAAAGTTATCATGTTTCATAAAGTCTCAACCAATCAAATTCCTTATCTCTGCTTAACCTTAGTGGAAAATGTGCATAATCGACTCTGTCAAGGCATTCACCTAATAGACACCTACCAAGGGGTGGGTACACTAATTTTGAACATTCTACCTCAATTAGAAGGAAAGTTATTGTGTTCCAAATTCTCAACCAATCAGATTAAAGTCTCTACTTAGCCTAAGCAGAAAATGCTAAGCATCGAACTTTGTTACGGTATTGATGTAATGAAACTATACACCAAGTTTCATCACTCTCACTTAATTAGAACTAAAGTTATCATGCCTCAAAGCATGACCCAATCAAATTGCTTATTCCTGCTTACCATAAGCAGAAAATGTTCGTATTCGAACTCCATCAAGGCATAGACCTAATAAACACCTAAACCAAGTTTGAACATTCTAGCTCAATTAGAAGGAAAGTTATTATGTCCCAAAAAGTGTGACAGACAGACGAATTTCCGGACGGACCAATGGAAAGGCGGGGGACAATAAAAGCAATCTTACCAGTGAGGTATTAGAAGATCTCATTAAGGCTATATCAGATATATTGGTTAGATTATATACAGAAGCTAGATTAAACTGTGTTATAATACAATATTTCATGACCTGATAAGGATCTGAAATAAACAGTGAACTTGAATTAATTATAATCTCTATATCAGAAAGTTTGAAAGTGTTTAACACCTAAATACTTAGTGATTTTCGTTAAACCATCTATTTCCCAATTTAAGGGTTGGTAGTGATGATTTTGTTTGCCTTTTCTGTGTGTTCTACTCCATCTGGGCTAATAAAGATGGGCATATGCCATGCAGTGGCACTACAACCTACTCTTATTTCAAATTCCAATTGTCTGGGGTTCTACTGTCTACACACGATGTTCTCTTCCAATAAATGACGAATTTCAGCAAATGAGATTATTTAGGAAATTTCAGACTTGTGCTACAATGATTAATAGAACTGACATAAAAAATACATTTAACAATGACAGATTATAACTTTATAACTATTCCTTCAATTCTAAAACACAATATTTCTACCCAAGTAACATATAGATAATTACCATGTTCTACACTTCTCATAGAAGCATAATAATACTGCAGATAACCTGGTGGTTGAGGTGATGTATTAAAACCAAAATATGCTACAAGTGCTGTCTATAAAAATAACAAATTTAACCAATAAACATACCATATCTATAAATCTATCTATAAAATAAATTTATCTTATTTTGAATCATTTATCGTAGCATTCTCAAATGAAAATTTACTTTTCCCAGAATAAAAATGGAAAATATACCATTTAAAATAAATTAAAGCAGATAATAAAACTAAAGACTATAAAAATTACTTATATGTTAGGAGGCCCTTACTAAAACATTAATCAATAAACTTACATTTTACATCATATTTATTTTTTCAGAATAAAAATGGCAAAAATATCCCATTTAAATTAAAGCAGATAATAAAACTAAAGACTAAAAGATTAATAAATAAACCTACATCATATTTAGCTACAACCTCTACTACTTCGTCTTCTGTATGTAATAATGATAATGGGTATGTGAGATCTTCTAAAAACTTTACCATATATTCAGCTGAAGCTGCGCCTAAACCAAATTTTTAAATAGATTAATAAACAACACACCTACAGACAATTGCTGAATAGATACATATTCAAATACATGTACATGTATGTAGGCTCTAATTCAAAATGAAAATACACAATAAACCACAGACAGATCAACCAATACAAGAAAACATTTGAATAATTGTTGAAAGTAACCATCATAATTTAATTATTTTAAAAATTACTGAACACTATATTCCATATTTGAACTTGGCAATCACTTTATCAATGTCCATTTGTAAAAATTCTATAAGGAAATTCACCTTAATGTACAGATATATAACACAGACACAAAATAATCTAAATATTATTCTTAATCAATGGGCAACTCCACGGTAACAGAATTTCATTTAGAGCTACAGATCATACTTTTGACTACTTTTTTTGTCAGATCTGTAATACAGTGAAAGCTAACAGGCAAAAATGGCCACTGGCTTTCTGCATAAATGGATAAAGTTTCTGTGTAGGTGAACCCAATGGTAACGGAATGTCAAAAAACTCCTAAATTATTTGGTTTCATATATCTAGGTCATAGACTTGCAAATTTAGAAAAGGAAACATTCAAATTTGGGTTCTCTTCAAGAAAGATTGTGTAAGCTTCTTTTAATATAGTCAGAAGGTACTGTTTCTGTTCAGTTTTTGTCCTCTCCTCTGGCTTCAGAATTATTACTACATCTTTTTTTACCAGGACATATCCAAAATGTCGAAAGATAGAACTTTAACAAAGCAGCTTTCAACTCATTCGGCAGAGCTCGATCTGCTTGGGCTCTGGGAGGTTTTAGGGGTGTCAACCCTATATCTGATGCAATTGCTGTGACAACTGCAGAACTCTTATTTGGAGAATGAGGGAGACTTTTTAGAACTCTTGACTTCAATTTTCTCAAAGTTTGTGGTCTTAGCAATTTTACAACAAGCTGATGATCATCTATTCCTACATGATCTTGATCTTCATCTAGTTTTATTTTATCTCTATAACATTTCATTTTTTCTTGTGGAGTTGAATCTTTTGAATTTTTATTAAGAGCAAAAAAAGTGCACCAAATTTCTGTCAGTTAACAACAGAAATGAATTTGAAATACTCTTTGCAACCTTGATCACCTGACAATTAATTTTGGAAATCTATTGGTGCCAGGAATTAAGTATTTGCGTAGCAACAGTACAAAAAAGAAAATAAATAAAGATAGAGAACAAGCTAAAATCAAAAGCGATTTTTCCTACAATCAGGGGCCATAATCCAAAAAGTTATAGTCTGAAGTGCACAAATATGGAAAGGGACTGAGAACTTTGGGACATAAAGATAAATTTTAAGTTTCATCAAAACCAGATAAAAATTGTGAACTCTAGAGGGTCCACAACCTTTGTATTACATACTTTTTCACAATTTGCGTAATGCGTACAAAGAGCGGCCATTTTGTCAGGCAGTTTTATTTCGATTTTACTGTTCGAAGTTCAAATTCAACTTTCATTATGGTGGAATGGTGATATATTTCGTACAATCGGGGGCCAGGAAGTTACGGTCAGATATGCACAAATAGCAAAAGGAACCAAGATCTTTGGGACATATATCTAAACATATATTTTAAGTTTCATCAAAATCTGATAACAATTGTGACTTTTAGAGGGTCAACAACCTTGGTATGACAAACTTTTACAGTATTTGCGTACAAGGAGCCGCTATTTAGGCAGTTTTGGTTGATTTTCACAAAATTGGAACTCAATCGTCATTAGGGTATAACAGTGATAAAATAAAATATTTTTTAAAATCGGATAATAATTGTGACCTCTAGAGGGACCACAAATTAAAAAGGCGATTTTTCGTACAATCAGGGCCCATAATTAAGGAAGTTACAATTCAATATGCACAAATATCGAAAGGAACCAAGATCTTTGGGCTATAAACAAGCATTTCAAGTTTCATTAAAATCAGATGAAAATTGTGACAAGCTAAAAACATGTTTTGTCGTAAATCGGGGGCCATAATCCATGAAATTATGGTCCGATACATTCCAATATCGAAAAGAACTGAGATCTTTGGGAGATAGACTTATATTTCAAGTTTCGTCAAAATCAATTAAAAATTGTGACCTGTAGAGTATCTACAAAAAAATGTGAACAGTCAGACGGACGGACACAAACAGGGTTGAAGACAATATATGTCCACATGAAAATGTGGTCGTATAAAAATTAGAAACAGTAACTTGTAAAAATAGGCAACCAAAAAATGCTGGAAACTTTTAGGTGGGCATGTAACAGAATTACAGTGTAATTTAGGGTATATTAAACTTGTTTTTTTAAAGAGTAGCTATAATAAATGTAGTACAAATGGATATTTCATAACCAAGGAGGGACATATCCTTTATAAAAACACAAATACTGAATCCCTTCTATAAATAGAAACTGATGTAGTATTAAATGTTTAAATGGCTAAAATTCTAGTAAAAACAATCAGAAAACTTGTGTTTAAAAGTTTTTGACCAAAGCATTTGTACATTATAAACTGTACCAGATTCATTAAATGGCATCATTTCTGAATTTGAAAAAAAAAAAAATTTCTTCCTTTACATTACAAGGATTTTCTTGTTTTGCATTTTTCATTTTCTGCCATGGAATTGCCCCAATATTTAAAAAATATGCACCTACCTAAATATCTGTATCCATCTAATTGAGAAAAGTATGCATATAGAACAGGAAACATTACAAATTTATATCTCTTACGACATGATCCTTCGGGCCACCAACAATTAATACCAATAAATTTTACCTTAAAATTATGAAAATATTTTTTTTTATTGCAAATTAATACAAATAAATTTAACCTTAAAATTTTTGAATAGATTTTTATTAATGCAAATAAAAAGAATTTTGAAATAATTTATTATGAGAGGTTTTAAAAATTCACCTACCGCATTTTGGTGTGATTTAAGTCAAAATAAAAAAAGTGAATTGCATTGATCTGATGGGGTAAGCTAAGCCCTGGCTAAGTAAAGTTTGTTTTGAAAGCTTTAAGCAGCAAAAATCAGCTTGTTTACTAATTTTAGTTACAGTTTGAACACCAAATTGCTTTCATCTTAACATTATTTATGTAAAATTTGATATGAAGACAAAATATCAAGGCACAAATCAAATCAACACATAAAATCCAGTGAATGTACAATTTATTTTCTACTCAATTCAAGCAGCTCTAGTATGAAAAGGGAGCCACGGTGACTCAGTAAGACACTGGCTCGCTAACCTGGAGGTCATGAGTTAGATCCCTTTGTTGACCAATAAAGTTCATCAGGATTTTCCGATGTGGTTCCCCTTTGTCAGTGATGCAGGATGGAGGGCTTGGCAAGGAAAAATGCTTAGTTATTTGGATGGGACAAAAAAATGAGGTATCGTGTAAGAGTAGACCGTAGTGCCGTTGTATGAGCAAATCCTTCCTCATAGCACACTGTATGGTGTATGCCCGTCATTCATTAAACCAGTTGGTGCAGAACACTAGGACGTTAAACCCCATTTCATTTCATTTCTAGTATGAAAGAAATCCAATTTGGTTTATATTTATTTATAAGCTTAAATACCAATAAAGGTAATGATTTAACTCACCTGATTTTGCATGAATTTGGCTGCTTTCTGAAATTCCCATCTCATAGTCATAGATTTGGCACACCATGGTGCATAGTACATTACAAATATAAATCTATCTTTTTCTAAAATATTTACAACAGGTTCCAAATTTCCATAAGGCAAATCTATTACTGGTGAAAAAGATGGAAAAAATCGCTTTGGTTCCTTAGGAGGTTCTGTTATGGTTTTGGCCTGTAAACTGCAATGAAAAGTGACAACTTTGAAATTGAGGTTTGTTTGAGACTGGCCTATGACCAAACATTTGGTTTATTTCAAAGTAAAGTACATGTAGCACTAATCTCAGCAAAAAAAAAATGTTTTGATTTAAGGTGATATGACTAAACAGTTAAATCAGGAAATGCTCAATAATAGATGGGACATGGGTGAAATCATGGGTTAGCTTCAAGGAGTTAATAAAACTTAAAAAGAAATGAAATGGGAGTTTAACGTTGTGCACATTGGGCTAATGAAGAGGGGCATACATGTACGTCATACAGCGAGCTTTGAGGGAAACTTTGCCTGGACAGGGCCGCTACGTCCAACTCTTAATTTGAATTCCAACAGTCAAGGGTTCGTTTAAGTGTATGCAAATGTGTACACAGGAGTTCGGTTCATCGTCCCATCCAAATAACTAGACGGAGAACTTTGCTTGCCAGGTCCTCCTTCGGCGTCCTGCACCACTGACATGGGAGACCATGCCAGAAAAAGTCAGAAGGACTTTCTCTGCCAACTTTGGAATCATACCCAGACTCCCACACTGTTGTCCAAGGTAAATGTAAATTATTAGAGATGGATTTCAAATAATTATTCGATTTCTTGGGTTATAGGCTAATTCAAATTGGAATCATTTAAGAAGGATAGCAAATTTGTTGATCATTTATTTGGATGTACAAGTAAGCTTATAGGACATAATTTAGCATTAATAAGGAGTTAACTCTAACTGCCCAGCAGCAGTTAGACAAATAGGCTTATCTACTGTCACTTGAATTCTGTATTCACCGCTCGACCACTTCTCACAAATATGATATTGTTTAGGATTGGAATTGATAAATCTTGTAATTAACTATTTGTAAAGGAGACTGATATGTGATACAATATGGTCAGATAAATTACACTACAGCCCTAATTATAGCTTACAGGGCCTGTGAGAGAGGAGGACAGCTGGGACACTTTACCAAGGGCCCCGAGCCTAGAGATAACTTTTCGGAATGCGAGTACCTAGTGGCATGGGTAAGATTAGAATCGAATTCTGTAAGTTCACTTTTTTGGGAAAAATTGGTGGGCTAAATCAAAAACAATAACTGCCTGCCAATACCATTTGAAGCTATCTTCATCGTCAGGATACCCGAGCCAAGTACGGGCCTGAAACTGAAGAACACTACAATGATCGCTCTAGGTAGGCTGACTGGTATCCTCCGACAATTAAAAACGAAACTGAAAGTGAAACTTTTACTTTCGTCTTCGTTTCATTATGCGCTAAAAATACTTAATGTTTCTCGATATTCTTGCAAATAGTACGGTGACCCACCATAATTACATATCTCCATATATCTCGACAATTACGCCACAATATTTATATATATGCCAAGCCTCAAATCTGTTTCACACAATTATAGTCACTAAATAAACGATCATGTTGTACTTAATAAGCTATGACCATTAATCATGTATAAATAATAGACTGAAAACAGGTTCCAAGAGTCGTCCATAACATCCAGACACTTTTGAGTAAAAGATAGGTTACGTGCCCTTGTTTTGAAATTAGTCTCGCTTAACCAGTCTATCGACCATTCTACGTCTGATTGACAGGTCGGGATAATCAAGACTAATTTTTTACGAAACGTAACAGAAAGCTAGAACAAGAAATTGAATTTAGAAATAAGCACGTTAGGTAGCTCAACAATCGTTTTAAGAAGCTTGTAAAAGTAAAATGAAACTACTGCTAGTATCATGTTCCTGTCTAACCCGAGTGATTCAGAGATATTATTTTTACTAAACCAAAAGATGCCGCTCTTAACGGTACAGTTAATGATAAAGCGATTTAAAAAATGAAACGAACGTAATTTCTAAATCTGCTGTAATAACCAAGAAGCTTAATTTAACTGCTATTCAAAATCGTCAACAATAAATTTTTTACGGCTGTAATAGTTGATAGATTTGTAGAGAATTGCACGTGCCATGGCTATTTATAGTATCATACTGTCAGAAAGTTGGTCTTGGCACGGCGAATGTGCACGCTTCAGTGGTAGTCTCGAACTATCAGCGGTGGACTGTATTTCTGTGAGTACATGGGTCACCCTACCAATAGCAGACCTTTTTCCGACCAATGTGTTTAGCAAAGTGAACTCCAGTTACCCCAGATATATGCCAAATGACGCTAGAGACTACAGCACACCATATGGAATGATGCAGTCACCTAATAATATTTTATTAATAGACAACCCTCACAATTTTTGTAAACATTCTAAAGGTCTGATCCCCTGGCCCTACTTATTATGTTTTATTGTTTTAACAAAAAAACGTCACAAGACAACAAATAATTTTTAGACTCGCTAACCAAATTACCTGCTTCCATATCGTCCTAAGAATATTATAAAAATAGCTGTCACCACCAGAAATATCTCTGGGTGTCGGGCCATGGTTCTGAAACACACATTTGATTGCGTACTACTTGTACTTTGGCCATGTGTGTCAATCGCGCACAATACTGGATCTTCAATGAGTTACTTTCTATTTTTCACTCGGCAACCGGCTGCAGATTTCACTCGGCCAACTTCGGTTACTCCTCTACACCAAACCATGTTTCCAAACAGAATTATCTTTCCGTGACCCGCAAATTATATTTTTAACTGGTTTGCTTTTGGCGCAATATTCTGATGTTTAGGCTAACACTGTTTTTAACGGCGTCAGCTTCTTATATTTATTGGGCTACAAACACTAAACAGTTGTCTTTTATTTTCTGAGGAGATTTTCTGACCTGGGTAATGTAAATGAAGTTTGTTACTTTATAGTAGGCTAGTATTTGACTAAAACTGCATAAATCAAATCTTAATCATAGATGTACCGATTGTAAATAATTTTTTTTGCTGACGAAGTCTTTTCTAACTTTTGGGGTAAGACTACTAAGTAGCCTACATTGAAATTAGTGCTAGTACAGTAGAAGTGGTCTTGGCGTCGGGTAATCGATATGAAAACAAGTCTACATTATAATTAGGCCTAGATATCTACCTAGTCCGACTTCATTTCAAGCATTTTATTTATACCCCTTAAGTTGTAGTAGTGACAGTTTAACTACAAGTAAGTGCAACCAACAGGGGGTCACAGTATCGTGACTCGTGGACTTGTCAGGAGTATAACTTGAGCCTGAGAATGATCAATGAGATACACACAAATGGATAAGTCTGATAATCAGTTAATAAATCAGATGTAACTTGTAAATAAAGGCACTGTATGACAGTGTATGTAGGCCTACATATGATATATATTCTAAATACTAATAAATAGGCCTAGTAGTATTGTTTTATTAATATTACCTATTTATTAATTAATAGGGTTTCAGGTCAAACTCAAAGTTTCAAATGATCAAAACGCTCTATATACCAGTCAATGCGTGGGATGGCACCAAAATAAGTGCTTTTCTGTCATATTTGAGTGACGTCATGAGTCATAAGCGGTATTTTCCCTTCAGAATCGCTATACTGGCTAGGCTCTATATAGTACCAATTTTAAAACTGAATGAAATCCGCACGTTATTGTCAGCTAAGATTTATTAAAATCATAATTATATATTATAGATCTAATTTCAAATATTATACTTAACTAATAGAATCAATTAAGCTTTTACTATCTAATATGGTCGAAGCTCAGGTCCTAAAAACGCCTTTAATTTATGGTTTCTGTTATTCTTAAATAGATATTGTTAGGGACCTCATGCTGGAGGTTCGGTCGCATGATCATTTAATGTTCGAATTCTATACAAAATTGTAAAGTCTGAAGTTAGTATCAATGTAATTTGCTTATCTGGTCAACAAAGGTCCATTTACATTGATTTTGATGGAAAATTAGATCTGAATTACATATTACATATTTAAAGTTTATATTTCTTGATTATAAAGGTAGAATTTGAAATTATTTTTTCAGTGTTTTAAATGGGTTGGTTTTTTTTTTGATGGCTTTGACCATTAAATTGAAAAAAATCAATGAAATGGACCTTTGTTGTGGTGTGGATAGGCTTGGGTGTAGGGGTGCCGGGAGCCCAAGTAGTGTCGTTAAAAAAGTATTAACATTAGTGTTACTTTACTCTTATTTTATGAAAGTTTTTTTCGCAAGTTGATTTCCTTTATTTTTTTAATGTAGAATGGTAATGAACTGCTTTTTTCCTTTTCTTTGCTTTATTTGTTCCGTTTGAATTTGATTTATCTGTTTAGTTTTTGATTGTTTAATTATTGTTTTTGTTAATTAAGTTGATTCTTTTAAACTTTGTTTTTATTTTTATACGTCCGTCGTCCACAATTTCTTGTGAACGCTCTAGAGACTAAAGTTAATATCTGATATTTACTGCCAGAGTTATAGCCCTTGATCACTTTGATAAATCTTGTGAACGCTCTAGAGGCTAAAGTTAATATCCAATGGACTCCAAATTGTTACACAGTGTGTAAGGTCATGAGACGAAGAAGCCTAATGATTTTCAGCGATATCCGATAATTACTACCAGAGTTATGGCCCTTGATCACTTTGAAAAATCTTGTGAACACTCTAGAGGCTAAATTTAAAATCCAATTGACTTTAAATTTATACACAGTGTTTAAGGTCATGAGACAAGACGCCTATTGATTTTCAGCGAGATCTGATGATTACTGCAAGAGTTATGGCATTGATATGTGAGAGACATCAGTTTAAAGTCGATTCTGGTTATTATAATCTAATGTATGAACTTTGTGTTGATTTTACCAGCCTGTAATTGTGGTATCATAATTAATTGTGATTTTAACATTTTTTTTAGTTAACTATATTAAATGAATTCCAAATGTACGTGTTGGCGAGGGGGTACATTAATAATTATATGTTTTTGTAGTACATGTTCCTTGTTTTATAATAAAACTACGCCCTTTCATTTTTCAGAAGAAAAGTATAGAAAATATTTCCAATTATCTATCTTGAGGTAAATCAGTTTATTATTTTCATTAACAGTTCTTATTTTTGTAAATTTTTATGTAAATCAACTACTTGTCATTGGAGTGCATCTCAAAATTCACTTTCCTTATCTACATAAAGTTTATGTAATAAGTTATAGTGTGTAAATTTGAAGTAAGTTCATATGTTTTTTTATTAATTATTTACAGATCACAGAGATTGAATGCTGCAGGTCTTGTGTTTAGTGTATAGACTAATTGGTGGATGTTATTAACATTAACCTTTTAGCAAAGGTTAGCTTGATGATGTTACTGACTTTGCAGTGTAGTGGAAGATATTAACCTAACTTTGGTAGACAACAAGCCTAACCCTGAAGTCAACGATGTACAATATGTCAGTGTCACTGTTCCACTACCAAACGTAACGCGAATATAAACAATACTTACGGGTACATGTATTTACTTTGATTGAAATGAGGTCAACTTTAAAATTTGTGTAGATGTGTTATTTGTTGTAACAGTTATATCCATAAAAGTTATATCCATAAAATGTAAATTGTATTTTCTCTATATTAGTATAACAGATTAAACGAAATAAGATTATTTCACTCATGACTCGTAGTCACCCACCATCGTAGAAGTGTCAACATATCGAGAACACGCATTCATGAACCATGATTAGTTGGGACAAATTAATAATGAGGAATACTGTTTTCAAAGGCCTTAAGACAGGAAAGTGGTTATTGGTCACAACATTCATGTGTCACTGCAGGGGAGGGGGTGGAGTCAAATGATAATGCATTCGTGTTGGATAATAAGGTCTGTCATTTAGTGAAGAGGCTTAGCTTCGTTTCCAAGAGTAGGGTCGACTGCATTCCCACTGTTAAGATTTCGAGAAACAGGGCCCAGATTCTCACATCAGATACTTGAACCACAGAAAAGGTTACCTTTCAGAAAATTGGCTCTGTAGCCTAAAACTGAATCACCTATATCTCGGTTCAGAGCAAAGCAATCTGACTGAAATTTCAGCATTTTCTGTTTCTATTATTTATTGTTGAACTATTATAGCGAGAACTGTCAGCTCTTATCTAATCTTACCCAATGGCGCCAATGCCCCTTTAAAATGCCCCTTATAAATCTAGTTTAAAATCCAAATATTTGTCTAAACTTTAGACAGACCTTATGATCTACTAGTATTCTCCAGTTGGTCAATTTCACTGCAAGTCAGTCAAAACGGCCAAACATGACTGGCGAAAATAAGACAAATAAGGTTGGAAGTACCTTCAAAACAAACCATGGCACTTGAATCAATGACAGACCTTATGATCTAAAGCATACATCAGACCACTCAACCACACAACTGGTAAAGACTTTAGACAAATATTTGGATTTTAAACTAGAAACAAAACCATACTGTTGAAGATGTAATTGAGACAAGACATTAGACTAGCACTTATATTTATTAGCAAAAAAAAGCCAACAATTTGATTGGTTTTAGTGCTTAGCCAATCAAAATTGAAATTTCTACTAAAATTTGGATTTGATCTTAGTTAAAATTTCCCTACTTTTAAGTTCTGGTAAAATGTCCTTATGTGTCGGAAGTTCTGATTTGTCGACTAAACGAAAGCGACCAGACTGTCCACCGTTGGCTTTGAGAAATGCGACAATTTTGATCGGTGACATACTTTGCGTTACAATGGTGTACATCTGATTTCTAGTGGAATGATTTATAAAGCGAACTGGAACGGGGAGGTTATACAGTAAGCCGTTAATCTGGCGTGTGATATGATGAGGGAAAGCAGGTCCAAACAGTAGATCTTTTAGCATTTTAACTTTAATGAATTCGTCTAGTCGTGCCTGGGCAGCTTTTAAAATAAATCTATCAGCATGACGGTAATGTGGTTTTCTAGGATATTTCTTCTTAGCCTGTGAATCTGTTACTTCTTCCTTCATTTCAACATCTGTGTCACTGGTCTCAGTTTCTGAATCAGTTCCCTCAGCTGTAGTAGCTGTAACGTTTTCTCCTGCATCCTCGGCAGCTTTCTTCAACACCTCCGCTTCTTTAAGCAACGTATCAAAACTGACAGATTCTATCGCTTGATCAGGTTTAGTGTAAGCAGAAACCTGGAATGAAAAACGATTTACTAAGACATGATATCTAGGTTAACTTTAAATAATGGCATTCATCAATTAAAGGTCAAATCTGTGCCTAGCCAGGAAGGCATTTTTATGTGCAATACAAGAGCAGAACGAAAACCAAGGTGGCTCAGTACATGAGGTGCCAGCTCTGTGGATAAGCCATCGGCTCAGGGGTTAAGCCACCAGCTCAGTTGGTAAGACAATGTCTCAGTGGGTAAAGACCCACCTCTGTGGGTAAACCGCTGGCTCGGTGGGTTCTGACTCGGTGTGTAGGACACTGGCTCATTGATAAGAATCTGTTTTTAATCTGGCCAATGAAGTTCCTCAGGTTTTTCCAGCCTTTTTTCGTCTTGTTGCAAGGGCAAGATGGACTGGACAAGAAAAAAGGTCCCTTGTATAGCCATTGGCAGCATGTTGACGGAACGGGAAAAAAATGCACGATACTGGACATGAGATTCTACTCCTTGTCACATACAAGCTTGGCTCAAATTGATTCAAGGACATATCTTATGATCTAAAGGGCATGCATTAGACCACTAGACCAGCCCACCCATATATCAATCTTCTGGTGTTGTCACAGGATAACCCTGCTCAAGGGACAGGAACGTTGCTTCAGTGAAAGGGTGTAGAAATGCAATGCTTGGCTAAATTGGTTTTTATACGCCCACACTGAAATGTGGACGTATATTGCCGTCGCCCCCGTCCGTCCGTCTGTCGGTACGTCCGTCGGTCCGTCCGTCCATCGTCCACAATTTCTTGTGAACGCTCTAACGCCAAAAGTTATCATCCAATTGTTTTAAAATTGATATATGTTGTTTTCATTAGTGAGATGAAGAAGCCTATTTAATTTCAATAACTTCTGTTTATTACGTCTAGAGTTATGGCCCTTGTTTCACTTTGTTGAACCTTGTGAACGCTCTAATGCCAAAAGTTAACATACGATCTTTGTGAAATTTATATGCAATATTTATGTTAGTGAAACGAAGAAGCCTATTGAATTTCAACAATTTCTGTTTATTACGTCTAGAGTTATGGCCCTTGTTTCACTTTATTGAACCTTGTGAACGCTCTAACTCCAAAAGTTATCATCCGATCTTTCTGAAATTTACATGCATTATTTAAATTAGTGAAACGAAGAAGCCTATTTAATTTCAGCAATTTCACTTTATTACGTCTAGAGTTATGGCCCTTGTTTCATGTTATTGAACCTTGTGAACGCTCAAACGAGAAAAGTTATCAACCGATCTGTATGAAATTTATATGCATCATTTAAATTAGTAAAACAAAGAAGCCTATTGAATTTCAGCAATTTCCGTTAATCATCTAGAGTTATGGCCCTTGTTTCACTTTGTTGAATCTTGTGAATGCTCTAATGACAACAGTTATCATCCGATCTGTTTGAAATTGATATGCATGATTTAAATTAGTGAAACGAAGAATCCTATTGAAGTTCAGCAATTTCCTTTAATTACGCCATGAGTTATGGCCCTTGTTTCACTTTGTTGTACCTTGTGGTTGCTTTAACGACAAAAGTTATTATACGATCTGTATGAAATTTAAAGGTATCGTTTAAATTAGTAAAACGAACAAGCCTATTGAGTTTCAGCAAATTTCCGTTAATTACATCTAGAGTTATGGCCCTTGTTTCACATTGTTGAATCTTGTGAACGCTTGAACGACAAAAGTTATCACCCAATCTGTATGAAATTCATATGCATCATTTAAATTAGTGAAATGAAGAAGCCTATTGAATGTCAGCAATTTCTGTCAATTACTTCTAGAGTTATGGCCCTTGTTCTACTTTGTTGAATCTTGTGAACGTTCGAACGACAAAAGTTATCATCCGATCTGTATGAAATTGATATGTATTATTTGAATTAGTAAAACGAAAAAGTCTGTCGAATTTCAATAATTTCTGTAGATTACTTCCTGAGTTACAGCCCTTATTTTAGTTTTTAGAACCTTGTGAACCCTCAAACGACGAAAATTATAATGTCATCTGTATGAAGTTGTCTATTAAATGCCCCCTAATTACCTACAAAAGAACAAATATACGACAACTCTTGTCGACCGCTCGGACGATTTAGCTGCTGTGGGCGTATGTTTAGTTGCCTGGCAACCTATCTTTATATAATGTAGGCCCTATTTAGCTCAGGAATCCATAGCCCTAAAGCTAATTCAAGTATTCAATAGAATAACTTACCTCTATGACTGGTTGTGTTTCGTAGAGCTTAAACAAGATATCAGCTGCTGCAAAATTTCTAGAGCCTATCTTACTAAGAGACACTGCAGGTTCGGTTCCAACATCTTCCTTCTGTATCTTCATCTGACATCTTAAAGTAAAAAAAGAGAGAAATGGGGATTAACACTCACACAAAACAAACCAACATTTTTGGACTGACACCCAGGAGGTTTGACTCAATGAAAGATCTTATGAGCTTGGACCACTCAACCACCCCTAAAAACAAAAGAAGAGTAACAAGCAAACTGAACATTTCAAAATTTTGATCAATGGGACAAGACTAGATCTTAAAGCTACAATTTCATATTTGTTAAGTTATATTTTTAAAATTTATTAAAATAAAGCCTTAAAATAGATGGTATCCATACACAGTCCTACCTTGTTAAAGAATAATCCTATTAATCCTATAATTCACTATTGCCAGCTGCGAAATTGGCAAAATTATCATTTTCGAATTCCAACATTTGAAGATAGCTAATGCATGGAGGCAATAGGAAAACAAGGGAGGTAATTGTGTTATTATTTCCTGTGTCAATGATTTTTAAGGGTGGGAAATAATGCCCATAGTCGTATAATAGTGAGTTGATAACCTATTGAGCAAAAGACATAGAAATAATTATGTTTTGACTTTCATAGAAAATATGAAATTCTGGCTTGAAGGCTAAGGCCAGGAAACACAGCCTAAGTCTTACAGTTAAGGCCGGAAGACGCAAGACTACAGTAGGTCTTAAGAGATTCAAGACTAGGTCTTAAGAGACACAAGACTAGGCCTTACAGTTGAGGCCAGAAGATACAAGACTAAGCCTTACAGTTGAGACCGGAAGACACAAGACTAGGCCTTAAGATTATGGCCGGGAGACCAGACTAGGCCTTAAGGCAACTTACCTGAATACACGATCATCATTGTCAAAAAACTCCCATTCCAACAACATATTGTTGACAAAACATAAATGTTGTAAAATATAGAAACCTTGAACTTTACGATCTACTATCCAACTGACGTCCTCAAAGACAACGATATCCTTGGCTGGTAGTGTTGATATAGGTTTTCGGGTCCATTGTAAGCGATGAAGATTCGAACAGTTATCTTCCAAAATGCAGTTGCCCTTGACACGAAAGTCGATAACATCTGTTGCTGCTTGGTCGTGTGGTTGAAGTTTACTGTGTTGGGGGAGGATGAACTCGGGGTCACAGTTCGTGAAACCTATCGGGCTTTAGAGTAAGCGTCTGCTTGGGCATCTGTTCGGTTCTCTGCTTCACCAATCATGATGAGATGACCAGCTAGATAGAGGTTACAGAAAATTTTCTCCTTTTCTATTTCTGTGTTCATGCTACGACGGTATAGACAAATGGGCGTCAATTTTACATCGTTGAAAATTCCATCCAAGACAGTAATGATGGATGCAGGATGCGTGGCACTGCTAAGTTCGTTCATTTTGACAAACTGTTCACGGAGATCAAATGCCCTAGGATTTGGTGCTGCCTTTACCAAAGTGCTCTGAACCTGTGCTTCTGCTTCTGTTATGACAGACTGTTCGACACCATCTAAGATGTTGCCATGTTCAACATTCATGGTGGTCAGTCGTTCAACCACCATATTATAACACAATGACTTAGCAGTTTTTTTGGAAACTGAAACACCTGCACCTTGTAGTATGTTGTCAATAAAGTACATTCCCTTATGATAAACTTTCCCTGATTCAGCTTTACAACTCTCTACATCATATCGACAACAGACTCGACATTTAGCCACAGAGGCCGCCAACTCCATTTTGCTGACTGAATTGGTTGAAGCATATTTAGGATTGGTTAGAATATCTTGGATCTGTTTCAAAATAGATGGTGGGGGTAACTCTGCAATTGTTTCTTTCTCCATCTTAGCAACGGTCGAGTTAAAATTCTCCAGTTTCTCCTTGATAACTTTTGGGGTCATATCATCCTGGTTCAAAATTTCAGTGACAGGAAGGGTACGATAAAGTTCCACCGCCTTCTTGAAACATGACAGTTTGATTTCTTTCTTGTTGATGCCGATAGCTCTGGCTAGGAACACACCACCCAGATTAAGTCGGCCAGTGAAAAAGGATCCGTTCTTTCCTTGTACCATGCCATCGATCAAAAAATCTGGTCAAATTCCAACTTTACAACTCATCAGAGAATTCTCAAACAACTAAAATGAAATAAAATAGGATTTAATGGGAAAGAGAGGAAAATGGGCTTTATTGTTCACTCGACACTAGGTCATTTCGGGACTAACATATAGTTCATTTTATTTCATTAGGGGTCTTTAGCAGTGGAAGGAAACCCTGAGGACATGGAGAAAACGCACGAGGTTGAACAGACGACCCTACTCCTTGTCACGTACAAGCGGGTAATGACGCATTAACGCTTCGACCACCCAAACTCGACCAACTGGTCTTATGTAGATGGGCAAATAAAAGAATTTTATACGTAATACATGCTTGAATAAAAATAAAAATAAAAATAAAGCAGAATCTGTGTTTTTAATAAGATTATTGTGAAAAATATTAAACATGCATTATGCAAGAGCTAAACCTGTCAATTTCAGGTCTTTCTTTAGGCCTGAAATCTTATCTAAATTATTAATTAGACATTAATTAACTTATCCAGACCATAATAAACTCCCGATGTCAAGGCTAGCCTTCGATGTCGACTGGATTACAATTCTATATGCTGCTATCGCTCATTGATAATTAAATCACAACAATAGACAATCGAGACTATTAGTTTCGAGGCTAGGCGAAACTTTCATCCGCTTAGTTTTCGGTTCATAGTGGACCAATTTGACTGACATTTTCAGCAAATTCCCTTTACATTATGTAGTTTTTAACTATTATAGTGAGAACTGCTAACTCGTTATCTTATCTCCATCTCCCATAATGTATCTTTAATAAATAAAACCTCACCATAATTTCATTGATTACTTTTTTTTCACTTCGTAAAAACATTGAAAGTCGTCGAATTTTTTCTGCTAGCGGCAATTTTGTGGCATCGATTGGTTCTGGGTTGGGTGTTTTGTGTACAGCGGCAGCAGGCAGACCTTTGTTATCAATGGGGCGTGTCTGGCAGCCTGGTAATGTTTCCCATTTCTTCTCTGTAAATAAACCATTAAAAAATGTAGTTTGTTAAAGCTGCATTTAGTAACTGTATTGAATAAACCATGACTAATATACCGGTGTATTAAATACAAGTTTTTTCACAGTTCATTTCTGACGACGTCTTGAAAAGTGTTCTCTTGTATTTATCAAGCCACAAACAAAATAAACTTCTAAATAACTTGTATTCTGAATATTGTTTAGTGCCCAGGTTCACTTTGCTCATTTCTGTTGATCAGCGGCTGGGGAGGGGGGGGGGAATAGGTTTTACATTTAGATTCAGAACGAACATGATTCTTCTACAGCCATCCTTTTTACAGTGGTTACAACTTAAACATACAGGTTTCAAGTTTAACTGACTACCATGACTAGAGAATAGAATAACGTGATTTATCAACGAATTAACAGAATTTTAAAACAAAATTAAAAGCTTTTGAGCAGTAGTACAGGTAAAAATTATGTGTGTCAAAAAGATAAGCACCACCGTTTAAAATGAGGTCTGTTTGATATTTAACCATCAACAATAAATTCAGATGGTTTTTATTTGGAACCATGTAATATCCATCACAAAATACTTCCAGCATAAGTCTTGCCACTCCAAGAAGAATAGTATCAGGTTCCTTTGGTACCATGGTACTAATCAAACAAGAGGTGTTGAGGACGTGATCCAAGTGAGAGAGGGGGGGGGGGTTGGATGGCTGAATGGTTAGCTGTATCATAAAGTCTGTCATTGAGTCAACTGGCATGGTTTCGAATCCCCGGTTGTACGTGACAAGGAGTAGGGTCGCCTGTCCAACCTCGTGGGTTTCCTCCGGGTCCTCCAGTTTCCTCCCACAGCTAAAGATCCCTACGCGCAAGCGAATTATGGAAATAAAATTGAACCATATGTTAGTCGAGTGGACGTTAAACCCCATTTCTCTCTCTCTCTCCAAGTGAGAGAGGGATACACATGACGATGGTTATCACTACTCTTGTCTGTAATCCTCATCCTTTTCCTGACCAGATCATCTAATGGACTCCTATATTTTTCGAAATCCTCAATTAAAAAATATCTATTACTTAAATGACCAAATATTCCTGTCTTGTTTTACTTTAAGGTGGTCCTTAACCTTTTGTCAGTTGTATTTATTTTTATAACTTACTTGCACCACCGGCACTGTTTGCGGGAGTTCCAACACCTCCTATAGAATTCAACTCATTGTTAAAAATATAATTTGCGGGTCACGGAAAGATAACTCTGTTTGGAAACATGGTTTGGTGTAGAGGAGTAACCGAAGTTGGCCGAGTGAAATCTGCAGCCGGTTGCCGAGTGAAAAATAGAAAGTAACTCATTGAAGATCCAGTATTGTGCGTCAATCGCATCAATAATCGCCATTGACTTCGCTCCACGTCAGATCTCGCTTGGTGGGCGAGTTTCTCGCAACGAACACAATTTGGCAACCTATTCGCCTAGCTGCAGATTCGACCGATCAAGTTGGCAACCTTTTCGTTGGCAACCTATTAAGAATAAAGACAAGAATCGCCTAAAATAATCTAAATTCACCATCCAATACAATCCAACGTTACATTGTATATAAAATGAAAGTAGAATATATTATACCGTACACTATAACCATATTACGCCATAGGTCAGAATTAAGATTTAATTTCGGATTATCGTACAAAATTCAACCAATACAACCCAACGTTATATTGTATAAACCTGAACACTACCCATTTTTAAATATGCTAACGGAATTATGATGATCCAACTAATATATTCTGAAAGGTAATTGAATTAGTTTTCAAAATATTATTAGTAAAAGTTGGCACAATCATATTAAAGCGGTGCCCTCTCGTCCTAAACATGGCAAATTTTCAATAATTTAAAGGGAAAGGCTGTTAATATCCCGAGTCACAATTCGGACCATCGTACAGAATTCTAAACATCCAACTAATATTCGCAAAGGTAATTAAATGAGCTTTCCAAAAATTATTAGTAAAAGTTGACACAATCATAATAAAGAGGTGCGCTCTAATCCGAAACATAGCCATTTTTTTAAAAATATTTTAAAGGGAAAGGCGTTATTATCCCCAGTCAAAATTCGGTGCGCTCTCAACATTGATCACTGCCAATTTTTCAATATTCTAAAGGGAAAGATTGCTAACTTTTACTAATAATATTTGTAAAGCTTATTTAACTACCTTTTAGAATATATATAGTTGGATGCTTAGAATATTTTACAATGATCCGAATTTGAACTTAAAAAAATACCGGTCTATCTTTACATTTACAATATTGAAAAATTGGCTAAGTTCAGGTTGAGGGCGCTCCATTTTAATATGATTGTGCCAAATTTTACTAATAAGATTTGAAAAGCCTACTTAATCACCTTTCAGAATATATTTAATTTGATGCTCAAAATTTTGTACGATGATCCAAATTTTGACTCAGAATATTGACGGTCTTTTTCTTTAAACTATTGAAAAAATCACCATGTTTAGAACGAGATCCCGACCATTTAATATGATTGTGCCAACTCTTAGTAAAAATATTTCGAAAGCTTATTTAATTACCATTCAGAATATATTTAGTTGAATGCTCAGAGTTTTGTACGATGGTCCGAATTTTAACGGTCTTTCAATTTTAAAATATTGAAAAATTGGCCATGTTTAGGGTGAGAGCGTACCCCTTTAATATTATTGTGGTAACTGTTCTTGGTTTTTATTCAAAAGTTTATCTAATTACCTTTTAGACTATATGTAGTTAGATGCTAAGAATTTTTTGTACGATAATCCGAAATTAAATCTTAATTCTGAGCTATGGCGTAACATGGAGTGTACGATATAATATATTCTACTTTCATTTTATACAATGTAACGTTGGATTGTATTGGATGGTGAATCTAGATTAGTTTGGGCGATTCTGGTCTTTATTCTGAATAGGTTGCCAGCTTGACCGGTCGAATCTGCAGCTAGGCGAAAAGGTTGCCAAATTGTGTTTGTTGTATCTGGCAGTCGTGGCGAGTTTTGGTTGATCACAAGCAGACGATTTTTTTCAAAGCTTTATACATACTCTGGTCTCAACCTAAAATCATTATTCCATTAAACGTACGCGCATATTTAAAAGATAATGGCAAAGCCCGATTTTCTGGATACTGACTTTGTGAACAAGAATACCGGTGAATTCTAATTCTGTACGCCGCAGTAGAGAGCACGAGTGTTAAAAAGGGTTATTTCCCTTTAATTGCCAAAGGGTTGCTTCAAGCCGAATGCAGAAATGAAATGAAATGGGATTTATTATCGCCCTATTGTTCTGCTCCGAGAGAGAGAGAGGGGGAGAGAGATGGGGTTTAACGTCCACTTGACACAAACTAAGTTATTTCGGGACTAACTTATGGTTCAATTTTATTTCAATAATTTGCTTGCGCGTAGGGGTCTTTAGCCTAGCAGTGGGAGGAAACCGGAGGACGAAGAGAAAACTGACGAGATTGAACAGGCGACCCTACTCCATGTCACGTACAGCCGGGGAATCGAAACCACGCCAGTTGACTCAATGACAGACCTTGTGATACAGCGCGCTCGGGCTAACCATTCGGCCATCCGTCTGGTCAAATAAAGACGTGGATGCATGAATGAATGAAATCGGGTTTAACGTTCTGGCATCATACGCCATACATAGAGAGGGATAATATTACGTGCACGCCAATGTGTAGGCATATGACCTCAGTTTTCTCACTCTGTCCCATCCGAACGACGTTGGGGGCCCTGGCCTGGCGTGCGCCATGGGTACAGTATTACAAGTCTACAGATATGGTCCATCGTCCTGTCATAAACGGCTGTATTAAATACCAAAAAAATCACCGAAAAATACAGAAAAAAGTTTGTTTATACAAATTACCGGTACCGAAAAAATCATTATATACCGAAAAAACACTAAATACAGAAAAATAAAAACACTAATTACCCAAAAACCCATAAATACCGAAATACTTAAAGCTATGGGCCCCATTGGGTTCTCGAACTCCAAGCCTTCCAAGCGAAGGCCCTATTGACCCACCTACAGGTAATGGTTCAGGGGCAATTGTCCGAAGACCTAAATCCATTAGGAGCACGGGAAGGCCATTGGCAGCCCATGGGCACATGGATCGAGGCTCAGATCAGGCCCAGGGAGCCCTTTCGGAGCTGGGCGCCCAAAATAAATGAGCCATAATTTTTCAGTATTTCCGTAGGCCCACTTAGGGGTTTTTCGTTAATTAGTGTTGATTTTTCAGTATTTAGTGTTGTTTTTTTCGGTATTTAATGTTGTTGTTGTTTTTTCAGTATTTAGTGTTGTTTTTTCAGTATTTAGTTCATTTTCGGTATTTAGGGTTTTTCGGAAGATAAGAGAGCTACACGCACAACGCTTAAAATGTTGAGATGTGTTTGTTTTCAAACCGCGACAGCGACAGGCCCTACTTCTGGAAACTATATTTGCATACAAATTAATTGTGTGACATACCACAAAATCTCTACGGTACGTTATATTTGAAATGAAAATGCACTATTATAAGAAATTATTATTTTTTTTTAAAAATAAAAACAAATAACCCCCACCCACCCAAAAAAACGTCCTATATATTTCATTTTGAGACCTCTTTTACCTTGACCAAAGTGTGTGTGTGTGAGTTGTATTTTACGTCCGCTTCCACCGAGGTGATATCGCAGACAAAGACCAAAGGTGCCAGAATCCGACCCGAATTTGTTTTTGAAAATCTCAAACAATAAAACTGAAAGAAAACACCGTATTCGGGGAGAAAATTTGATATGAATCCAGTGGATGCCCCCCCCCCCCCACAATAAAAGGGCCCCCAAGCCCAAGAAAAGGGGCGAATTTATTACATGAGGGTTTGTTTGTTTATGTTTGGTAGTTTGGTTCACTTACTATTTTCTGTGCAGTAGTGTGAATCACGCATCACTTACGTTCTACTGGGGAGCCGCGGTGGCTCGGTTAGTAAGACACTGGTTCCCTAACCTGGATGTTCCGTTTTCGATTCCGTTGTTGACCAAATAATCATCGTGATTTTGTACCGGCGTGGCTACCCCTTTTCATTGTTGCAAGCATTTGAACAGAACCATTTGAATTAGTTCACGGAAACTACTTGGATTCCTAACGATGCCACTTTCCCGTTAACAAGGATGAACTAAGTAACCCACTTCCAGACATATATAGCGAAAGGAACTGGCAGTGAGTTAGTCTAAGAAAGTTGTAGAATAATTCAAGTTACCTAATTAGTCTAAATCTACCTGTCATTTTGTTTCAATGCGTTCCACTATTTTATCCGGATTAAGTTTTAATCGGCCCCTGGACTACAGGTAATATTTTCAAAATTGATTATTAAAATTTAAACATTTGCTTTAAGTAATTTCTTTCAAACAACTATCTCCATATACTTTATTTCAGCATTTAAAATGAATTAACTTTTTACTTATTCAATTTTGTTTCCGTGGAGTGGGTGATTAACCATTGCAGAACCACTAGCTAATTAAGAGTCCTCTATCATCATTGGGTGTATTCCCACATGGGCGCCGTTACAGAGCGTGACCAAAATTGATCCTTCCCACGAAGGCTCAGATATCAACTTGTCGGCTTTCGTTTGAAGAGAGACATGTTGTTATTAGGACCCAATTAACGGTGTGAATTTTATTCACCATTTCGCAACTAATGATGAAAATCATCCAAGTATTCAATATGAATCTTAATCACCAATTGGCAACTAATGATGAATATCATTAAATCATCCAAGTAGTGTTCACATATTCGCTCACTCTCAATCAGATCCAAAAATAACTGAATTGGCCGACTACGTAACAAACCAATGGGCGAGGATGAATATGCTACTCATCAGTGGAACACAGAAGAATGGCATTCATGGATCAAGAAGCTAGTTGTTAAAGCTCATCCGAATGTTTTTGAAATGATCGCATTTTAGCATCGTACAGTATGCCGGGGGACAGGAACCACCAAGGAAGAGACATAAATGTAACATACCCAAATCCAAAGCCAGCTCCAGGAATTAAAAAGTAGACACGAAGAAGAGGAATTATCTTTAGTCGACTATTAAGACAGGGTGTCTTATTTGACGAAATTAAATTAATTTGTTTTTATTTCTTAAAGTCGTATGCCAAACATGTTAAAATGTTAGTTAGTTAGTCACATTGGGGATTATGAAAGTGTAAATTCTTATCATAACAATCTATAACTCCATTGTTACATTTTTAATCCATTTTAATCCCCGAAAGCTGGATTACCACGAAGGCGACCTCCTTTAATCCGTTAGGTCCAATAACTGCGCCTTATAAAAAATGTTTATAAATCCATATCAGTAATGAGTTCAGGAAAGCCGTGACAATTAAACGTATGGTTTGAATAAGCTTCCCTTTTTTTTAAAAAAAATGTGAGTTTCATCTCTGCTTTACCACACGGAAATGGCAGATGCGTTATAGTATTTTCAAGATGTCCATAACATGGGGGTTAATATCCTACCTTTCTCCACCAACATTGTTAATGAAGTGTGGTATGGGAAATTTGGCCTGAGTAGCGATCCTTCGGGAAATTCCACGTATACACTCATCGGTTTTACGCTCCATCCATGCGTCTAGACGCTTGTCAGGCCCTACGTCCTGCACCACTGACAACTGGAAACCGCACCGGAAAATTCCAAGGAATTGCTCATCGTCATTAAAATCCAGTTATTACAGAAGAGCAGAATGTTAAACTCAGTTTCGTGTTTTTCGTTAGGTACGGTAAACGAAATCATCGGTTCCAGTATGTATCTAAATCTACAGGAAAGTACTCTGGCGATCAATCTGGTTAAAACACAGATCCTATTTCGTTTCGTTTTTATAGTTCAAAATTTCGTTTTACTTGTCTTTACTACATTTGGATCTGGAAGAGTTGTTATTTAACTCGTGTTCTGAATGGTGTCAGGGATAAGCCAATGAAACGGTCTGTTACGGCGAGCTTTAGGCGTGTTTTTCACGGAACTGTGGGTAACCCACTAGTAACATAAATGCTGATTGGTTAATTAAATGTTTGACGTCATAGGGTCATAAGTCTGTCTTTTGACCCCTGACGTGACCTATCGCTATAACTTGTCAGATCTTCATGTAGTGTAGGCCATCGAAAGTATAAAAAAACGAAACGAAATATAGATCTGTATTTTAATCAGATTGTCTGGCGATGTAATTTTCAAAATTTTCTTTGAGAAGACCCTCCACCCCCCACCCCCTACACTAGGCCCCTTCGGAACGTGCCGCCTCCGGCAGACCAATCCCTTAATCCGCCCCTGCTTTAACTGGAGTTCTGTGATGGGGATGAAATCGATACAAGACAGTGTTATATAGGTCTATAACAAAAACGTTGATCTGATGTGAACCGAGAGAAGAACAGTTGTTGTTTCTAATTGAGAAATTGTGATCTTTTTAGAGAACATTGTCTTCGTAATATGGGTTGTCTTTCAGTGTCACGGGATCAACTTAGCAAGTTTTAAGATTTCCTGCAATAAGCGACTGTGACGGAAATGATGCACAATCATGGGACAGCGAAATTACTAATAGACAATGAAAATTATCAAATCGGTTGTATTTTTTTTTCTATATTAGCTACACAATCAAGACATTTAGAAAATAAAAGCTGCATTTTGGCGGTCATGTTCTGTGACTTAGACGAGACCGACATTCAGAAAAGCATGCCTGGGGCATTTTCAACTTAAAAGTTGTTAACGACAATTCGAGTATGCTGACAACGAAAATAATACGTTAGAAGGTTAAATTTGTGTCCTGGTTTAGTTTAATGGGCATAAAAGAACGAAACTTCCACATTTGAGATTAATCGATATTGCACAAAACAGATATGTTACAGTTTGAATTAAAAGAAAGTTGCAGAAATGTGTTATCAAGCTCATGTCATACATTACATTATTAATGAACATTAGGTTACAGTCATTTATATAAAACATTTATCAAAACAAATTAAGATGAATAAGTTGATGAGTATAAATAATATATATATATATATATATATATATACATTCTAAAAGATTAAGTAGAAAATACCATTAAAGAAATTTTATTTAACTGCCTACATGTTTCGCCGTTAGGTTTTCAAGGCAATATATATATATATGGAAACATTATATGTTATCATAGGCGCCAAACGTAAAAAATTATAAAAGAAGGATGAATGGTTATTCAAACGGATCCGTTCCGTTAAGATTAAAAAAATAAATGACATCAAATGTTCCATCTGTTAAATAGGTTCGTTTATAGTTGTCAATCATGGAATGGATTTCAGTATTATTGTTCGCGAACTTGTGGAAACTAAATCGGGCTGAAAAAAGAAAAATAAATTCTTATGAGTAAAGAGATAAGTTGTGCATAAAACCCAACTAGTTAACTTCGTGATATCTAGCCTATATTTCCTTAGAGCATTAGAATTTCTTGCGTGTGTACAAATTCTCCCTTTTCTATTGCAACAATGTATATTGTTAAGGTAAGATGTTTAAATTATGTCATTTATAATATTACACAAAAGAGGATTCACCCCTAAGACAACTCTCACCGCCCAGCCACCTACCTAACACAACAATGAATGTCAATATTCAGTGGAAATGAAACCCCTATATCTTTGATAATCATACCTTGGTTGACAAAGTAGTTAGAGAAGTATTGAGTAACATCGACAGCCAGGTCACTATGGTCAATTAACAGCTTTGGACTCCAGTTAAAACTGTTCTTTTCTGGGTGCCACTGTGTACCATAAAATGGATACTTGAAAGCTGAAAATGATAAGTTTGCAGTGACGAATTAAAAGAAACATCCGCTCAATGCATGGATAATTAAAAGCTGAAAAAGCAGAGGAATATAACGTTTACAGTGAGGAAATAATTTTCATTCTAACAAGAATTTTAGAACCCAACCAATCACTGCTCCGATTTTTGAAATGATAACGGTCAGATTATTATTAGCATTAATGAAAGGAAAAATATCCGGGGAATGAATATTCGCAACCAAAATGTCAATGCCCATCTAATAATTGACGGGACTGTCTGGTTAGGATTATTAATTAGTATCGTCAAATAAATACGAGATGCTGAACTATCTGCAGAACTATCTGAATTAATACAAAATGTTTGGACTTGAAATAGCCAGCGTCGAATCTTAGTATAGTTCCGAATCTTAGCTAGTGTCGAATCTTAGGTTTTAGTCAATGACCCAGTGCCGGTGTGTATTCCTGATTTATTAAACTTACCTTCAAAAGTTGAAATAAATTCTACGCCTTTTCTATCTACATTTGTTGACAGAACTCGATAGAAAGATTTTAGAGACGCGGTATTGTAAAACGTCTGAAATACATAAATCGTAAGAACAAAATATTTTACAAACCAATTATAATTCATCGGTCTGAACCAGTTAATGATTTGATTTACGTGTTTGGTTCAATCGATAAACAAACAATTAGAATGAGTCCGTACTTATTTTCAAAGATCTAAACAAACCTGAACAAGACTATTTTAACATAGATATTGGCAATAGATTACATAACAATGACTTATATCATACAAAATATAAAGAAGTACATACATCTGATGTCATACTATAATGGTGGTTATTAAAAGTTACTGGTCTGTATTTCAAAATATTATAAATGTAGGCTGGCATTTTACTGAATAGTCGACTGGCACCTGTAACAAGTAATCTTAGACATGTTAACATAAAATCTTAATTCGTGGGGCATATAAACACAATATAACTTTTGGGATATGTATCACCAATGAGAGGCTAATGGTATCCGTGTTATACTTTTTATTTAAGGTAAAACAAAAGATCTAGAAATCTGTTTACAGCGATATGACAGAATTGATTTAATATCATCAGGTTGATAGTCTTACCTTTTATTTTACAGATATCATTAAATCACCAAGAGGGGAGCTAGGAACTCGTATGTTCTAGCAGAATTATTTATATATTGGTGAGAAAGGACGTCGTACACTACATATCGTTTAATGTGTAGTTATCACGTTGCATCTGGAGAATGGATGTTTTCAGAGACTACTGCCTCATTGGTGGGTGGTAAAATGCGATCACTGAACTCAATAAAACAATCAATATGACAGTCTATGCCTTAAAAATTTGTTTGCTTTCCCTGAGAATGGTTCTACGATTTGAATAGTCTTGTGTCGTTTGTCCTGTCTGTGATTTGGGCACAGTGTTACCTACCGACATTTTCCGTAGTTATATTTAACGGTAAAGGCAAATTTTCACTATCAGTAGGTGTTATCAAATTTTCATAGGCAGTTAAATTATTGAGAAGTTGAAAGCCTTGACAAGTTCCCCATAAAGGAAAATAATCACCAGCATCATTGGCCTGGAAATAATAATAAACAGAACAATTAAACAAACATTTATGCTATAAATAATTGTGCTATAAATTTAGGTATAAGTACATCGCTAACCAAAAACGACGAATAATTAAAAAAGACACCGGAACAAAATTCGGACTCTTCATGGACGTTTGGTCATGCAGCTAAACCACCAGCATAGTAAAAAGTAAACTTAAAATACACCACGAACGACAATATAAAAATGATTACTGAACGAACCACCAGCATGATGGAAATGGCATGTAAACAAAATTTCAATTAATAGATTAAGAAGAAACAAAATAGCTTTCCGGTCGCGTGTTCATATGGCTGAATCGTCAGCATGACAAAACGAAGATTGTGAGATGATTCTTAACGATTTTCGCATTACTTTATATCTAATAGCACAATTTATATAAAGTATGGGTCTATGGTAGTTGATGACAGTAGTGTTGGTTTTCGTACATTCGAATGATTCATAGTTATAGGGACATTATGGGAGATTAGATAAAGACATGACAGTTCTCTCTATAATAGTTGAAATATAGATAATGTAAATAGAATCTATGTAAACATCTATTATAGCCGTCGCTAAATCCACTCAAAGCTTATTCTTCAGTTGTGGATTTTCCTAGAAAAATGTCCTTGATATCCACAGGTCTCAAGAAATTATGCACTACCACCTATAGCTACCTACCTTTTTTGCTAGATCGTAGATATATCTTCCACTGTGAGCATAATAACTTGTAACCAGTCCAACACCACCACCGGGAAATAAAACTCTAGGGAACAAAATTATTACATGAAGCGTGTACTTTTGTATTACTTATATACAGAGGAATCATGTATTACAGGGGAATCCTACTTACATATAGATGTGCATGCTTAATGTGTCCATGTTATGAAATGCAACCAAACATTTTATTATTGTGGATATGGTAAATATTTTATCGAAAACAAGATAGCGATGGGTATATTTCTGTGAATACATTTGGGTATGTGGAAGATTCCTGGACCTCTTTATTTTAGACCCAAGCAACTATGTGAAGAAATATCAACGACGAGTGGCCAGATTGTGTTCATGGAGAGTTTCTTGGTTAGCATTGCATACTCGGGGTCATAAATAAACTATTTCCAAACGTCTCAATATTTTAAGCGAATAATTGCGTCACATTTTGACGTTTTTTCGCCCAGCGACTTTAACGTATAGGTCTCTATAAATATTTTCTTCACATTATCCACCACATATATGAATCATGCAATCTAAATGAATCATGCAATTAAAATAATAAAAACCCTACCCATTTATCTGTGAAAATATATTCTTATAATAAGATTCCGGTCGACCAGCTCTGAAATATAAATATAACCCAAAAGGACCATTTAAACATTGAAATCAATCCCACTAGCTCGCGTATTAAATCAAGGGCTGTGGGAGGGTGTGGTGCAAGTATTATGAGTTAAGGTTGGCGTGTTACACAAAACGTCCGGTGAAAAACTGATCAAAAATTATCAAGTTGTTTACAAGGAAGAAATTAACCCTGTTATAAATATAAACTATGACTAAGAAGAGGAAACAGCTCATATAAACTGTTAAATATCATCTTCCTCATTCAAAGGAGCTAAGTCTCTAACTAAATATTTTCCATAATATTCGAAATTAAAAACACGAATTAGAATTCAATATTGATCAATTTCGAAACTATAGGATCCTAATATCTAATATTTAAGACACCATTAACATTTTTTAATCAGTACACGAGTCGTGTATCCTATGGTTTCGGGTGACAATAATTAGTAAAGGCCGATTCACAAACGACCAATAACAAAGGTGTAGAATGCACTAAGCAGGAGTAAATGATTGCCGTTCAATTTGAACAGTTCAAGTAGTTCATGAACATAATTGATTAGAAATTACAATTTTTTGTTTCAAAATTTGAATATAAATCACCACAGGTCAGGTGCAATTGTGCAAATGACATTAATTTGACAACAATGATTCAGAGCTAAACTGAAGGACGTTTGGAGATTACCCTTCCCACATATTTTAATTTATAATGCTGAATGCAGCGCAATGAAGACAATCAATCAAACGAAACTAGACCTATAATATTTTTTGTAAAATACATGTATTAGGATGAATTATTGCCGAAGTGTATACCCATAAATCTTAATTTTATTTATTTCGTGTTGTTTTACTTTTAGTACAGTTTATGTGGTCAATTTAACTCTACGTGCGTACATGGACCAATCACACATGACTTATCGTAGCCATCGAAGTCCGTCAATCGATGAGCACGTTAAGTTTAATGTCGATCGTACTTGAATTGATACAGCCTTAGTCTTTTTTCGAAGAGCGTCACCCCAAGAGAACAAGACCAAGGTGTGTAGCGCCTGTGGTCAATTTCCTGGTTAAAAAACAGTGGGAGTTTTACTAGAATCAATGTTTACATGGACGACACAGTTCAAACGCTGATGTCATTGGTGGAACCAGAACTAGCAAATGGAAATGGTATATAAACAAATAAATTTCTCGCCAACCAAAATATTGTCTCATGAATGCAAGGGTTCAGTTCAGGGTGTTAAATTTAGAGGATGACAATAACTATACACTTACCTTATAGGAACAACTCGTGCACCTGATTCTTCTAAATAATTTACATAACTTGCAGGAATATATGTATCACCATATTGAGAAAGTTCTTGGGAAACCCTTTGAGTTAAAATTCCTAAAAAAAACAATACACATATACAGAACAACGAGTATGCCTACACCATCTTCATTTATGTGTGGAATTTTTCAAAATACAGAAAATGCAGATATAGGCCTACAGTTAAATAAATATTTAAATTTCAGCGTTATGTTTATTTTTGACTTGTAGCCCGTAGTAAATATTCTTATAAAAATTTGGTTTTCTGGTCAACCTCCAATAGTGTTCCACACGTAGCACCGAACGTGGTCAAACATTACATTTATGCCTATCTGGTCCTTAGAATATCCCAGATTGATATCAGCTACTACAGCACAAAATATAAATATTCGTCATAATATATAGGCTACCCATATTTTCTATTTTAACTCAATTTGAGTGTTATCAATTGTAGGCTACTACTATATCCCATAGTATATAACGGTAAATCTCTTTGATCTTTGGGGTATATTCTATGCTCGGAATATCAGTGATGCAGGACGGAGGGCCTGACAAGGAAAGCTGTCTAGTCCTCGGATGAGACGAAAAACCGAGGTCCCGTGTATACATTGGAATGCACGTAAAAGATCCCTTGGCAGTTGGAATTCGATATAAGAGTAGGTGATAGTGCCGCTGCCCGGGCAAAATTTCCCTCATAGCACACTGTATGGCGTATGCCCGTCTTCATTAGCCCAGCATAGGAGCAGAACAGTAGGACGTTAAACCCAATTTCATTTCATTTCATTTCTATGCTCGGAATAACTTGCGGTCTGAAAGTTGGGGCAGCTTTGGATATATTATATATAGGGAAATTTGGGGTTATTCTTCTGAAAGTTTTTCTTTAAACCTGTAACAGGTTATTCTTCCAGGGTAGGTTTTTTTTTCTCTATAAAAAAACATGATCTAAGGTTTTTCTTATGGGAATTCTGGGATATTCTCATTTTGCAATGTAAACATAGACAGTTTATAAGTAAGGTAAAGTAATCGACTTCGGTTTTTCGACAGAAAAAGCTCGGTTTTTCGACAGAAAAAGCTTGGCTTGTCGACCTCGGTTTTCCTTTTTCTCGGGTTATTTTCTTCAGTCTTTCTTTCCCCAGCATAACCCCAGTCTCGTGCTTTACCCTACATATTAACAACTACTTTCGGTTTTCTAAAGAAGAAATACATACCTATAACAGGTCGATAATTAATCGTGATTTCTCCCAAAAGTAAATGGCAACTAATTATCACAGTGAAGATAAAATACTTGAGGTGACATCCAAAACTAGCCATTTCAATTCGAGTTGTCTGCTATTGTGGCTGAATCAGTTATTACATTATTTAAACCTTCCTGTTATAGCCGAGTCACACTTTCACTTTAGTCCTGTGTCTATATAACGGGGTCTCTTCAAGTTTTAACCAACTTCCCGGTCTCTCTATTCTATTAGATTTCCATCAAGTCTATCCTCAATGTATATTCTATTATAAATTTTAAACGGGGTATGAATACAAAATCATGAGCTAATAACCGTACACATCACAAATCAGGTCAATATTAACCCTGTATTGAACTTTAACCTCTTGGTTGGGTTATTCTATGGAAGCCAATGAAGACCACAACAAAAGTAATTCTTCCCCTATCCATTAATTCACGGACCTGTTTCTCTTGCTGAAGTTGAACATTTTGAACCGTATATCCTACCTTCAACGGTATCCAAAAAGCATAAAGTGACATGAAATAAAGTGTAGCGTTGTTTTATTGTCTTCGGTTTATTGTCTACGCACCAATTACGACACATAATGTAATAAATTTATATCAAAGCCTTCTTCCAAGGGCGATGTATATCAATAGGAAAACCCAACCATAAAATATTGATATTCACTCTAAATACCATTGGAATGTGGTTTTAAGGCTTAAACTTATGGCATTATCACATGCACCATGGTTCATGGTTCCATTTCGTACTCCCCCACCTTCTTTTTCCTTCAACTAACTGGTACAAGACCCTTAATCAAGGCAAAAAAAAACTCTTATAATAACTTAGGCTATGTTATTTTTGCACCAGGGTTTAAGCTTTCAACTCTAACAGTAATAGAATATAGATCAACAGTATATAAATATTAATTGGCTCAACTATAAAATCCTGCACTTGTCTCCAAAAAAAAATGAAGAAATGTTGTATAGTCTATTTGACATAGTACTTTGAAAACTATAGCACGTTCGATGCTTCCAATTTCATTACCCCGTCCACCATTCAGCCAGACGAAGAACGAGTCACCTATCAACGCAATGTTTCCGATCAGGCGCTCAATCACCAAATTGAGCACAGTGGCGACACTAAACTACTTCAAAATGATGATTGCCGGTTCGAAATGTCACATTTATAAATTTGTTCGATGTTCATAGAAATATATAAGGCGAAATAGAATTCAAATTTACACTGAACATATAAATAAATTGGATTATACATTGCCTTAATTTAGAAATTACATAAATTGTCATGAATAGAAGTTAGAAATTAGACAATAGCACATATTTTAGATTAATCTATGATACCACAATCTATATTTTATATTTTAATCTTTTAGATTAATCTGTGATACCACAATCTATATTTCATATATTAGATTAATCTGAGATACCACAATCTATATTTTATATTTTAGATTAATCTGTGATACCACAATCTACATTTTATATTTTAGATTAATCTGTGATACCAAAATCTATATTTTAGTATTAAATGTCGTTGAATTTCTATTCAATTGAATTTCCCTCAAACAAGGTAAGACAGACGACTGGATTGGGCGTTATAGGACTTTAATTTACAAATTAGCAACTAAAAATAGCTGATTATTTCTTGCGGATAAAAGTCCGTCAATATTTAAGACATAAAATCAAATAAATTAATCTTTAGAAGCAATGTCCCAGTGGTCTTCTATATGAATACAACATACAATATATAAGACAAAGTGTCTGCGATATCACCCTCGGTGGGAGCGTACGTTAAAAACTAAGAAGAATAACATAAAGGGCCAATTGGAGGACATAAATAAATTAAAAGTAAATTGTCAGGTAAGGACTATGGGTTAAAAAATGTTGCCTGGAGTCACTCTACTTTGTGCGACATTTTTCGGGCATCGATTATTATTTGTGAATGCAGCTGCAACAGTCTGATTGGATGGTTGGAATTCAGAGTGGGATTTCGGTTACAAAACCATTGGATACTTTTGGAGTTTACACGTGCTAGAATAGCAGAAAACGCATATCCCCGAACCCAGAGACGATTGATTGGTTGTTTGGAATTCCGGCCAGCCAGGTAGGCTACTGGACCAAATTGAAGTTGCTGTATTCACAGGCTGGAATAGCAGGAAAACGCGTTTGTGGCAGTTAAATTTTCAAAATATTCTCCCAACGGTCCCGTCTTCGTGGACTGTAAACGATTGATTGGAATTCGAGTCAGCCACCTGAGGGGAGGGGGCAAGGTAAGCTCCGCTCTCTTCGCCGCTTAAGGAAGACAGGCGCTCTCTGTAAACCCGAATTTTTTTTTTCGGGCATATCGCGTTCTGCCCCTCCCCCCCCCCCCCTTAGCTGTCATCGAGCCCGTACGCCTATGTTAGGGCAGACAGAATAGATAAAAGATAACTTTGTGGCAACTGTTGTTTATAACGGATGACTGTGATGCTGATGATATTTTTCTTAAAACTTCATTGATTTTATTTAGCCATAAGACACATATTTAAATTTTAATGTCTGAAGATGACGGCGAAAAGGTTCACTCGAGAAATCGTCATGTGATAAATACGGATTGTCATTCAGTGTCATGGGATCAACTTAGACAGTTTTAAGATTTTCTGCAAATAATCGCATATAACGGAAATGATACATAACCTGGGGATAGCCAAATTAGGAAGAGAAACTTTAAAAATTTAAAATCTAACTTAGTTTGGATTTTGTTTGAGTTTATTTTGTTTTCCATATGACCCAAACAATGAAACCATAACTTGGAAAACAAAGCGGTGCTTTGAGACCTTTTAAATTGCCATCTTTTGGTTAGATGAGACTCTGAAATGTATAGACCGAGTATGGTGGTGGGGTAGGAGTAAAGTTGGTTTCCACACTTTAAAACATAATTCCAGGGTGGGTTGAGCCTTTCTCTACCGAGGTTTAACAGGTTAACAACAAGTGACACAACTAATAAGGAAAGTTAATTACTTGAAGGATTTATTTTCGCGACGTTTTGGCGAGCGTTCTCTCGTCTTTATCAAGCAAAGAATGACAACCATAGTACAATAAAGACATACAAAATATGGAACAAGGAAAAACATTCATATACAATCATTTATTTAACAGGTTGATAAATCTATTCTGACACAAGGGTATAAATCTTCTGCAGCTTGATCAAATAGTGCCGCGTAGATCGGCATTGGTCGACACTCAAAACTTCTTATATTACATGCCCAGTCTTTGTTCCAATAGTATCATTCCAATAATATTTTAGCCACTCTATGAAATCGTTACTATAGTCCGATATACGGACATAGTAGTCCATCTTGGCACATGACCATTAGCAGGGAAAGTAAGTTTAGCGGAATAGAGCGAAATCCTAATATCCCTACCGACAGTCGTACAAGGAGTCATAACGACCTGGTCTAAATTGTTAATACACAGTGGTATATACAACAATATTATCCCAGAAAATACATAAATTTACATAATCAATAACAACAAAAATTGATGATGAACATTTGGTTACAATCCATTATATACATAGAGCATTTATTAGCAGTTGCTCAATAAAATGAAAACAAAATGAAAATTACATAATATTAAAATAATAAAAAAACAACAAAATTAATAATACGCATTTAGATACCGTCATTAATATAGCGTTTATGAAAACAAATTAAGATGAACAAGTTGATGAGTATAATATAAAAATTATCATAGGCTCTAAACGTAAGAAATTATAAAGGAATGATGAGCGGTTTTTCAAATGGATCAGTTCCGTTAAGATTAAAAAAATAAATGACATCAAATGTTCCATCTGTTAAATAGGTTCGTTTATAGTTGTCAATCATGGAATGGATTTCAGTATTATTGTTTAAGAACTTGTGGTTACTAAATCGCGCTGAAAAAGAAACAAAAAATGTTGATAAAGAGGGAGGTGCAACGCAATAGTTAACTTCGGGATTAACTGACAGGGATATCTTTATTTCCTTAATTCTTTAGCACAGAACTTGAGCAAGAATTCAGCATTTATTATTCCGATATCCCCGGTCTTCATATTTGATTCAGAAGATTAATAATTTGTGTAACATTACGTATATATTCTGGTACATCAAAATATGGCTAAACTATGTGTTGATGGGTACGGGAATGTTTATCACTGTGAGTGAACCCGAGAACACGACGGCCCTCCCCCGACAACCTCAAAAGAAAAGTATAGATCCAGTCATCAACCCTAAATCGGTGTCAGTTATTTGAGAATTGCCGTTGATAATCATACCTTCGTTGACAAAGTAGTTAGAAAAGTATTGAGCAACATCTATAGCCAGGTCACTATGGTCGATAAAAAGCTTAGGATTCCATTCAAAATTGTTTTTTTCAGGGTGCCACTGTGTTCCATAAAATGGATACTTGAAAGCTGAAAATGATATGGAAACATAAAAACTTGCAGTGACGAATTAACAGAACCATCCGCGAAATTAATGTCAGTATCCAACTAACAATTGGTCCGACTGTCTGATTAGGACTATTATTATCGTCTAATTAATATAAGAGATGTCAAACTAATCGGAATTAATACAAAATGTTTAGATTTATTAAAATTTAGCCAGCGCCAGCTAACGCGGAATCTTGGATGTTGTTCAATGATCCAGTACAGATGCAATCTGATTAAAACACAGATCCTATTTCGTTTCGTTTCTTATAGTTCAAAATTTCATTCTATTGTCTTTACTACACTAGGTTCTGGAAAAGTTGTTATATAACCTGCGTTCTGGAAAGCGTGAGGGATTAGCCCATGAAACCATCTGTTACGGCGACTTCTTGGCGTACGATGCGCGGAAATGTGGGTAAACCACTAGAAACAGCAACGCTGATTGATTAATCATTGTTTGACGCCATAGGGTCAAAAGCCGCTCGTACGACCCCTAACGTGACCTTCCAATACAACTGGTCAGATCTTCATGCGGTGTAGGCCATCGAAAGTATAAAAAAACGAAATGAAATATAAATCTGTATTTTAATCAGATTGGTACAAATGTATATCTATAGATGATTTATGTTGTCAGTGGTATTACACTCACCTTCAAAAGTTGAAATAAATTCTACGCCTTTTCTATCTACATTTGTCGACAGTACTCGGTAGAAAGATTTTAGAGACGCGGTATTGTAAAACGTCTGAAATATATGAATTGTAAAAAAAAAATGATCTGTGTGCATCAGTTAATGTTTCGATTTACGTATAAACAAACAATTAGAATCAGCCAGTACTCATTTTCAAAGATCTTAGCAGATCTAAACAAGATTATTTTAAAATATAAATATCGACAATAGATGACCTAATGTATAAATATACCAGGTACGTCGACAAAAACAGCATGTCACAGCTATTAAAATCCTTGGCTGTAGTTTCTAGGATCTCTTAATAATCTATTTCTCAGTTTCAACCCGCTCGCCCGCGCCGGCGAAAATGGAACACTAACTTTAAGATAACCCCTTCGTCTTGGAATGGTGTCGGACAAATCTACGCATGTACCATTCTTTTAAAACTTGACCCTGGGCTTACAGATGTACTGTTAATTAGATTAGTCAATCTCATGTCCTAATATGGAAAAAACGCAAACAAAAACATGCCAAAACTTGTAGACTACATGATAAGTTTCTTCATGGCACCCAGGTGTTTATGCGTTGCTGAGAGATGATTTCTCTGATATCCACAGCCCAAGACACTTCGGCACGTGCTGTCTTGTCTCATAAAAATCGTTTACAAATTAGGAATATCTACCATATCAATATTAGCCTGTGAGCTCATACATGTTTTGCTACACGAAATCATGCTAAATATATGTAAGTTTAGGTACATACATCTGTTTTTATACTTAGATGGTGATGGTTATAAGTTACTGGTCTATTTTCTAAAATATTATAGATGTAGGCTGACATTTTACCGAATAGTCGACTGGCACCTGTAACAAGTAATTATAGACATGTTAACATAAGATCTTAATTCGTGGCATATAAATGTAATATAACTTTGGGGAGCATGTATTATGTATTATACCCTCTTGTATATTCAATAAAGAAGAAAGTGGATATTTATCGTTTAATGTGCGTTTATCAACTTGCGTCTGGAAAATGGATGCTACAGCCGATAACGGCTATCAGAGATTATTACTCCATTGGTCGGCGTTAAAATATCATAAAAGTACACAGATCTTAATATGTGGTCACACACAGTGTGTGGAAAGCACAATTCAATGTGCCCTTTTAAAGCAATTAATATGAATGCCTGTGCCTTAAGAAAAATGTTTGTTTTCTCTGAGAATGGTTCTCCCGTTTGAATGATCTTGAATCGTTTGCCCTGTCTGTGATTTGGGCACAGTGTTACCTACCGACATTTTCCGTAGTTATATTTAACGGTAAAGCCAAATTTTCACTATCAGTTGGTGTTAGCAAATTTTCACAGGCAGTTAAATTATTGAGAAGTTGAAAGCCTTGACAAGTTCCCCATAAAGGAAAATGATCACCAGCATCATTGGCCTGGAAATAATAATAAACAAACAATTTGAATAAACATATTAAAGAGAGCATAGAACGGGCATGTTTTTCGATTTGGAAATCTAGACTAGACATCCATGCAAAACGAGAACTTCGTATATGTGGTTTAATAATTGTGATATACGCAATCCAATTTAAACCGTAAACATGTTTTTTTGCTGTGGTTATCGTGTACCCATTCAATGGTTGACTTCTACAAATCAGAATATGAGGGCTCTCATCGAAAGATTAAAATCTCCGTTATAAAAATGTGTTTTGAGACTGGGTTTAACGACACCAGTGGTCAACATTTCATAGGCGACACTGAGCAATTTGTCGCTAACGAATGATTATTCGTCAGCAACGGAAATTGGTTGATAAAATATGTCCTTGGTGTACACATATCTTTAGAAATTAGCTATACCTATATATCCTAGCTACCTACCTTTTTTGCTAGATCGTAGATATATCTTCCACTGTGAGCATAATAACTTGTGCCCAGATCAACATCACCACCGGGAAATAAAACTCTAGGGAACAAAATTATTACATAAATATTATCAGCGTCCATGTTAAAGGGGAAATACCGGTTATATTTGTGTGACTAAAACTGGTTAGTTCTGTGTGGAATGCTCCTAGAACACTTTATTCTATGTGATATGTTTCCAACGTCCATTGTTGTTATACAGTCTACCTCTGCCTAACGACAATTTCTTCACATTCTCTATACATGTATATCTAAGGAATCATACAATTTCAAATAATATAAATCCTACCCGTTTATTTGTGAAAATATCTTCTCATAATAAGATTCCGATTGACCAGCTCTGAAATATAAATATATGTTTTTCGTCAAAACATTGAAATCTGTCCCGCAAAACTTGTTTTTAATTAAGATCTGGCAGCAGGGTGGAGAAAGTATAATAATTTTTAAAGAAATCAGTCGTGTTGGAACTAAAAAAATAATGACAAAGAGAAAACGGTCGGGTGAAACTGACCTTACCTTGAGAAACCACGATTCAAAGGACCACGGGTACTAGCGTTGGGAAGACAATATGTCTCTCGCAGAATTTTAATGTAATCTTTGTTGAAAAATATTAGGAGACAGTTATTGTCACAACAACGTATATTATAAACCCAAACACTAAGTCGATTTGATATGAAACAAGAACTACTCGCTCCTTCTGTTTTTCAAATAGTGATAGAAACAACCTTCTTTTGAAAGAGTTGCTGTCATCATTATCTGTCTTTTGTCAGATGGATCAATCCCCTTTAACAAACCACGTTATTAACGAACAACATTTTCAACTTGTATTAAAGTGCGATGCCTTGGGGATTACTATGAACGCGCGCTTGCAATCAGCAACTACAACAAAAATATTGTCTCATGAATCCAAGGATTTGGTTGCGTCCGGTTCCATTTACCCTTGTACTGATTTGGGGGATGACTCGCGTCAGAAGATGTCAATAATTATACTTACCGTATAGGAACAGCTCGTGCGCCCGATTCTTCCAAATATTTTACATAACTCGCAAGAATATATGTATCACCGTATTCGGAAAACTCCTGGGAAACCTTCTGAGTTAAAATTCCTAAAGATAAAAAAGATACACGTACATGCATCAGAATAAGGAACATACCTACATCTTTTATAATGGGTGTTTTGTTTCCAGAAAAGGCAAGTAGCGTATAGATCTGAAATCTGTTAGATGTGTATAAGGTTTCAAGGAAATGGCAGATATATACAGTAGCACATATTGTGAGAAAATTGAGGTTTACATACACAAATATTCTTTGGTTTTCTGGTCAACCTTCGAATAATACTGCGAAGTTAGTTATTGTGATGCACAATGAAATAAGTGTTCCAAACACAGCACTATAGGCAACTAACCTATCCATGCCCAGGTTTCGGTACATTTCTCACACCAATATCAGTACTACTCACTACTACACAAACTAGAAATATTCGTCTTGTATCCAGATTTCTGTATACCGAGTAACTCCCATTCTTGTGTTATCAAAATGTACATTACAACATACAGTAACGCCAGGACAGGGTTAAGTGTACATTGGGCCGATGGGAGAAATGACACCACTGCCCTTGCTACAACAGTGAAAAGGGGGGCATATTCTGATCATCGCCATAAATATTGGGTTCTGTGGCTGCAGCGCAGTCAGCCCCCCCCCCCTCCTCCGTCCCGGTTAAATAACTACTTTCGTTTGTTTTGTTTTTTTTTATAAAGAAGTACCTACCTATAACGGGTCGATGATTAAGCATACTTTCTCCAAAAAGTAAAGTGCAACTAAATATCACAACAAAGATCAAATGCTTGAGGCGACATCCAAAACCAGCCATTTCAAGTCCAGCTGTCTTTTATGATTACGATGTGCTTGATTATATTTATTTATTGTGGAAGAGGATATTAACCGACCACATTAAGGTGATATTTGATGATAAACGCTACACAACATTCCTCACAAATCCGATTGCAATTATCAAACACATTACAGTTTATGTAGCACACGCTCCTAACTTTTCAATTTTACGATTAGTGTAATAATTCGAAGATGGTCGTGTGAAATCACATACACTCCACGTGACAGCATCTGTTGAACATGAATATGTGTTGATTAACGCCTGGATACAATTAATTTGAATACATAGACCAATCGTAACTTATTTCCAGCTGTATTTATGGCCTTTGAATTCAGTCTAATGATTTAAGCTTGTGACTATGATTCATGACAAAGTTCACAATGTTCAGTTTAAAATTTGATGAAATTTTTTCATTTGAAACTATGTAGGAATCCTATTGAACTTCAAATTTTTCGACAGCGATTACACCGTTTTCGAACCTGGAATGAGGGCGTATACCTATAACGTTCATTTTGTATGTCTGTCTATCCCCTTTGTGTCTGGAGCAGAACTTGAAAACTATTCTTGACATTTTTATTTTGTTTTTCTTCATAAAATTAGACATTGTCTAATCTGTGGTTGAATGTCATTTCCTGAGCAGGTGCATAACTCGCGAACCAGTCAGTATTTTTACGTAAACTTTCTACATACAACAAAGTACCAAAGTGGCAGTTATTACCATTTAAACTGTTTCAATGATTGAACAAAGACAATGTGACAATAATGTTTTTTTTTTTATTAAATAAATCTTATTACACACCATGAGCCAAAATGGTCAAAACTTAGATATGTTGACTAAATATGCAGTTTATCTTACAAAAAAATATAACTAATGGATTTACTATATACGTGTTATCCCACAACCGTAACATTAAATAAATACCTATATCAGGAATGTTCTGTTTGAAAATGATATTATTCTGATATATTACTATGAATTGATTGAAAAAAAAAACTGGACAAAAAAACAAACAATTTCTGAAACTCGGATTCAAAACAAGGCTTAAGGAGATCCTTATGTGGGATTTCGCGGTTGAGCATAATAAAACACAACATAATTTATACAGAAAAATATCACTGGTTTCTTACACATGTAGCACAACGTTTCAACAAAGGTTCTCTTACTGTTTTCAAGCCAAAATGTTCTCTTATCATTTTCAAGCATAAATGATAGTTAAGCAGCAGACACCTTAGCTGATTCATTCACCGGATTGAACGCCACCGACTTAATTTGGCCGATTGAGTGGACAGACTTGACGAATTCTTAGCCCAATTCACCAGCCGATTGCATCACCTTCCATGTGATAAATCATGGCAGAGACCAAGAAAAGAAAAAAATAGCTGCAGTGGTGGGAATTTGTTTAATTTTATGCCATATTCGTCTCCACTCATAAAATAATAAGCTCTGTTTCTTTCTCTAAATTCAACGTTTCAGTGATACATGCAATTTTGTCTTCAAAAAATCATATGACTTTGTTGACATCAATTGACTAATGAATTCTACAATTGGATGAATGCCTCAGCAAACCCGACACACAAAACGAATATAAACATGGTGAATGAAAATTAGACTGAATAAATCAAACATGTTTAATTCATGCATATCATTTGGGTAAAAACAAATTCGCCATCAGGACACTGGACATACTAGACGAACATCTGCGGCGATTGATTCGGCTAGTACTAATACAATAACTAACTTTACATTTACGACTTCCTTATAGTATCACTATATATATATATTACCTTTCAGTTTACTAAATAATTATTATCATTTTTGCTTGAAAATAATAAGAGAACACTTGTTGAAACATTGTTTTATATGCATGTACCAACTAGTGATTGTTTTATGTCGTGTTTTTTAAGGCTAAAGGAACATTCATGTGATATATTGAACATGTAATAATAATTCATTTTATGTATAGTTTATAATATCACATGAAAATGACTCAGTGTTAACCTGTATTTCATTAGTTTGATAAGAATATTATAATGATACTGTTTATGGTAATGAAGCTTTATCTACTGTAGTACTTATATAAACATAATGACATATAAAAATATCATAATATTTGATTTTAATTGTGAACACAATAAGCTGATTATAATATTTGAGCAAGTTTTATAAAACTACCATAAACTGGTGACTAATTGCACTTTGAGCAAACCTGAATGAAGAGGGATATTGTATCGAGACAATGAAAATGTTAATCACAAAGATTTAGTAAGAAGTATATAAATGACATATTTGTGTGATAAATGGGAATATACATGACATATTTCTATGGAATATAATTACTGTTACTGAGATTAGTAATAAACACTAATATTATTCCATAGAATTGTGACTTGTATATATATTTGTGCTTATTGGGTAATTACATGTAATCAAGTTTAACCATGTGTTATTACAAGTCAACTAATATAGGCATACAATAACATCACATCACTATTTTTTTAAACAGATCATTATAACTTATGGTAATAACTTCATGTAGTAATATTTAATTGTAAAATTTAGAGCTGTACTCAGTAGGCATAATAATTTTTTCCATTTTAATTTACACCTTATATACAAATATTAAATATTCACCTCCTTTTTCATTAAATTTTGGCATTTTTGTATTTAAAAATCACCAACAACAACTCCACTCCTAATCAACAACTCTTAAACAACAATAGTTCTTGTGAATGACATATTTTAGCAAGGCACTTAAATATGCAAAACAGCATTATTTTTTTTTTAATATGAAGCACGAGTAAAATAACTGATCAAAGGAATATTTTAGTTTAAATATGAGATAACATGACATGTTAAAGATGCATTATGTAAGATCTAAATCTGCCTATTACAGCTCTTTTTTCTGGCTTCAAATGTTATATAAATTACATGAAATGACAAGCCCATAATCAACTCTTTGGGCAATCAGATGACTTAGACATCAAATGGATTAGAACATCTAAAGACTGAACCATACATTGCAATAGTTTAATGTTAAACTGGAAAATCAAGGCCTCTATTTATTAATGTAGCAATGGTACTTGACAATCAAGACTATTTCCCTATCTCTTGTCAAAACTTCAATCAGAATAAAGTAATATGCCTGAAATTTTGAAAATATTCATTTCTCGTTATCTATTATAGAACGGCCAGTTCTGTATCTAAATCGTATATAATGCATCTTTAAATTTAATAATTCTAAAAGAGATTCAATGATTATTGAGATGAATGTAGGATCTGTTACGATTTTCAGATAAAAACATATAAAAAAAACAATCGCAAGTTAATCATAAAAAATAAGCTAAAAAATAAATCTTATGATTTCTGGATATACATTATGGATGTATGGTAATGTTGATTAGATATATAGTTATTAAATTTACCATACAATGTCGATAATTAAATGTTGTCATGAAAGCTTTCTGTGTACATTGCAGTAACGATCTTTAACAAAAGAATACGTGATATTGATAAATAATGGCACCACAAATATGTATATATGGAATAAAAAAATCCTTTAAATATGTTGAGATGGTTCAAAAGTGTCAAAAAATAAAATGGATGCAAAATGATAATTTATATAAATGGCGGTAACAAATTTGCCAAAATAGACATTATGATGTAAGTAGCAATGTAGGTTTATGTCCAAAAATATCGAAGAAAATTGAATTTCACTTCTAATAGCACAACACATTGTCATAGTTTATAACACATAGCACAACCAATCAACAATAGCGTCAATTTCATATCACAATAAAGGAATCAACAAGGATATTTTTTCACATAAATGCACAACATTATGTTGTAAGTAGTAACTGTCAATTATATATCACAATATCATCTATTTTCTCTGATTTAAACTTCAACTGGATCTGTTGCTTCTTGTGGATCAAAAGGAAATACATCGTTTTGACCATTATCATCTTCCATATCATCATCCCTGTAATAATGAACGTTTTATTTTTTACTTAAACATGCATTATACAAGAGCTAAATCTGCCTATTGCAGGTCTTTCTTTAGGCCTGAAATGTTTTCTAAATTATTAAGTAGACATTAATTAACTGATCCAGGCCTTAATCAACTCTCGAGGCATCAGATTTCTCCGCAATTAAATAGATTAGAATGGTTCAGCGATACAATGATTTAATCAAATATGGAGGACCGAGACTTAGCTTCGATCAACCAGTACGGTGGTTGGAATTATTGCACACGTCTGTCAAACCTTCAAAGGCTAATATCTTCGCTGGCAATAGAGTAATTTGAATGAAATTTTCAAATTATTCATTTTACATCATCTACTTTCGAACTATTATAGCAAGAATGGCTAGTTCTTTATCTAAATCTTACATAATGTATCTTTAAGATTATTCTGGTTTGCATTCTATTGAATTTTAACATTCATTTGACCTTAATCGGTTAAAGGGCCAATCCTGATAATTTTTTTGAGAATAAAACTGCTTAATTGTGTTAAAATCCCTTAAAATCCTCTACCTAAGGGCCGAGCAAGTAACTCAATATTACATACGTTTTCGAACAACTTAAACCCCCCAGTCTTCATTTGGATATGGAGACCGGTGTCCCAAGCTGTATTATGCGGTTTCTGGATAAAACTAGACATTTTTTTTTATAAAAATAATGTGTAGGTGAAATTTACCTTTCGTTATCAAGTACACCACATGGGTCATTTACTGTATAGACCTCTGAAGGAACGGAAATCGATTATCAGGTCACCCAACGAAAAAATTGACCCCAAATCTTAAAAGGATTACGTGTCCGGATAAGCAGTTTTGACGTTCACGTCCAAACGACTCAATATTTTGAGCTGAAATTTGGAGACAAGGTACATACACCATTTGGCGCTTAAATTTCATATGTACTCAGACTTTTATTTTTGAGACTCTTTTCAAATCAGGATAGTCCCTTTAAGATCAGTTGCCAGACAATGAAACATACATCCAACAGATAAGTCATCCATAGGTAATGGTGACATTGAAAATACACTAAAAACATGTCAAGTAACTATTAAGGAACTACATGTATCAGCCTCATGAAGATTGTAGACTGACCTGCCATTGATAGAAATACTAGTTACATGTATACTAATAATCTGATCGGTTTTCATCTTTTTTGCATAGACTGAAGTGAGGGAGAAGATATTAAATCTTAGGTCGAATAATCACTGATATCTCAAATACCTTACATATCAACATCACTGGCAGAGTCAAGCCAGTGAAAAAAATCAATTTTCCTTAGCAACAACTTGCAATAGCAACAACTTCTGTCAAGTGATACAGAATAAACCAGAGAGAGAGAGAAATGGGGTTTAACGTCCACTCGACACAAACTAGGTCATTTTGGGACTAACATATGGTTTAATTTTATTTACATAATTCGCTTGCGAGTAGGGGTCTTTAGCAGTGGGAGGAAACCGGAGGACCCAGAGAAAACCCACGAGGTTGGACAGGCGACCCTACTCCTTGCCACGTACAACCGGGGATTCGAAACCACGCCAGTCGACTCAGTGACAGACTTTATGATACAGCGCACACACGCTAACCATTCAGCCATCCAACCCCCCAGAATAAACCAATGGCTAGATTTCGACCAGATATAGATGAAAAATCCCACCAGACAGTACATAAAAAAGAAATGGTAATAAAAAGGACTTTACAACTCGCAGCAAAAATTTAATGTTCTTATTTTTAAACTTTACTTACCCATCTTCAGATTCAGCATTTATGGATAATGATCGAGACCTAGAATGCTGTTTCTCACTCAAAAATGTAGAAAGAGGGCCGGTACTTCGGTCACTATAGGAACTTGTTGGAGCGTAAATATCGGTGTTAGGATTAGGGTCATAGTATCGTCCATTAGAAAAATATCCCATCTGTGGAACACTACCTCGACCTTTAACATTATTCACATACTTTTTAACATTATTTGTCTTTGAATAAATGTTTCTATTAACATTTGTAGCATGCGCTGGACTTCGGTTGATTGTTGCGTAATTATTGGGACCTAACGGGACGGGAACACTGCTATAATATCCTGATGTGTCTATGGAATCGTTGACTGTTGGATGATTTTGATGATGACTTGGTGTAGCGTAAACTGGGAGATTTTCAGGATCAACATCAATATAAGAGATTCTTCCTGCAGGAGGTTCATTACTTTCGCTATTACTACCTTCCTGCTGAAAATGTAGAAAAACATATCAAAAGTTATCTCCCTTGCATGGTGAAATTTATAGTAAGAATGATGGGCCAACACACACGCATATAGACATCTTTGATTTTATTATATAGAAGATTACTTCCTGAAGAAATAGAAAGAAAATTCAAATTAGTGTGGCCTAAAGCATGTCACAACTAAAATATTAATGGAAATAGTCTGGTTTAACCAAGAACCCACTTGACCCCTCAACAATTTTACCTGGGAACATTAGTGATCACAGGAAGGTCGCCATTTTGATTTGAATAATTGTACTGTTAAAAATATTAAATTTCTGTAGATAAGTTGAATTCTGAAATTGCGTGTACGACTTGGCGCAATATTACTATACAGTATCCATCATGGTAGATCAGTTATGATAGAAAATGTTTCTGTTAAGACAAGTGTGTTTGTATAAAATCAATGATTGATGTATATATATACCTCTTGTTGTGCTCTATGATCCTCTAACATCTGTTGAGCCCATTCAAATAAACCTAAGGCATCGGACGGAATACTGGTTGCTGAATCTTTCTTATGTAACAAAACTAAAACTCGACATAACTGATGAATAACACCTCTGAAACACACATCAAAAATAACAAATATATAGTATTGTACAAGCATCATAATTTGAACACTAACAGGCAAACATTATTCAAATTATTATTATCTAAAATTTTATATACATGTATTATCCTAAACAGCCAAGACCATGTTACAAGTCAATTCAATGAAAGCAGAAATACGATATACAAATACAACCATACATTTACAAATGGCTGCACTTTCAAGAACTCAGTTTATTATAATTTTATAACTTCATTCATTTGACCAGCAGTTGACAGGCAAGATACGCCCACATTTTGCAAGAGATAGATAGAGAACGATAGAGAACAATCTAAAAACAAAAGCGATTTTTTGTACAATCAGGGGCCATAATCCAGAAAGTTATGGTCTGAAGTGTGCAAATATCAAAAGGGACTGAGATCTTTGGGACATAAACATACATTTACATTGTGACCTCTAGAGGGTCCACAACCTTCGTATTACATACTTTTACACAATTTGCATACAAAGAGTGGCCATTTTGTCAAACAGTTTTGTTCCGATTTTCCCGAAATTTGAATTGGTGATTGGTGATTTTTAAATCAGATAAAAAATTGTGACCTCTAGAGAATCCACAAGCTAAACAACACGATTATTCGTAAAATCTGGGACCATAATCCAGGAAGTTACCTTCAGATATCAAAAGGAACCAAGATATTTGTAATATAAACATAAATCTAAAGTTTCATCAAAATCGGGTAAAAAAATTGTGGCCTCTAGAGGGTCCACAACCTTGATATATCATATTTTTACACCATTTGCGAACGAGGGGGCGGCCATTTTGTCCGCCAGTTTTGGCCCAATTTTCACGAAATTCGAACTCAACCATTTTTAAATTTGATAATAATTGTGACCTCTAAAAGACCACAAACTAAAAATATGATTTTTCATACAATCAGGGACCATAATTCAGGAAGTTACAATCCGATATGCGCGAATATTGAAAGGAACCAAGATCTTTGGGTTATAAACATGCATTTCAAGCTATAAACATGTATTTGTGGACGGACGGACAGAGGTGACGGCATACTACATCCCCATAAAAATGTGGGCGTGTAAAAACTAAAGCTGGTAATTGTCTTTTGAGGGATTTTGAATGCATTTCAACTACACTATTGAGAAAGTTGAACCTCTAAAAAGAATATCAGTCTAAATATCGTTCAATTTCATTCAGTATTACAAAGGTATGATGGAATGAAACTTTTGCACCATAGGCAAAAGTGTTGGGTAAAATCTTTTCATTGGCAGTTGAAATTTTTTTAATTAAGCAGTGAAAAATTAGAAATTGTCCAAAAATGCAAATGATGTTAAATAAAATTTTCTAAGAAAATTCCTATACTTTATAAAGAATTTAACTATGATTATTTGTCAATGTTTGATTTCTTTAGACTTACTTGTAAGTAGGTACTCTAGGATCATCATCTTCCATGGCATGTAGCTTTTTACGTACTTCACCTAACACTGTCATCAATGTTTCTGTGTGAGGTCTGAGTTCTTCAAGTTGTGTGGCATAGGCTTGAGGGTCAATCACATTAACTTTTGGTTCAATTTGACTGTCTGTTTCTGTAAATATTTCATAAAACATAAGAGTCCATGTCCAATATTTGAACACTGCTATCTGTCAGGTGTCATTTAAATAATATATTTTAAAGAGACAATATGACATTAAGACAGATGACTGTGTGTAAACAAACTTATTGAAGTGAGGCGTACATATAGGGGATGCTTGATTCACAGTCCCAAATGTCAAAATTTCCTGCAATCGAGTTACGCAGAATTCAGTCCTGCCACAGATCGGTCAGAACCGACAACGGAAGTGGGGAGTAGAATCGTGACGTAATTAAACCTAATGAATATGTTTCGGCTGCATGGTTGGTTGAGATATATACTTATTCAGTCGACTCATGCGTTGTAGACCGAAATACCCACTTTTAACTCGATTGTCAGTATTTTTGGTATTGAGAGAATTCAATTCCAGAACGTTCAATCGAGTACCCCCATAGTGTTAGTGTAATGAAATAAAAATGACCTTAAGTGACAATATGATGGTGATCATTTTATCTGAAACAGATAATTGATCATGTGCACTGAATCGAAAAATCTTACAGCAATTGAATATGTACGGAATATTAAAATCATCTCTCAATGTTACCATTAAGAGATAGGAGAATTATCATTACTTTACTTACACTAGACCTAGACTCATAAAGACGACAGTGTGAAATTTGTAGAAATAAATGATTTGAATATGTTCTTGCACGTGTACGTTTAAAAATGTAGATGGTGATTGTAAAGTTCTATATAGAAATTTTATTCCGACTTGATTTGATGTCACTTTAAGGAATGAACTAACCACAAGACCTGCCATGTTTGATGATTTTGTCAATAAATCTACATGTTTAAATTTAATGTTCATGCTGTGTATGTTTATCAAATCAAGTTCATGTTGATGTTTTAATGATATAAATATTTAGTGCACACTAATTGCTTCATCTATGTTGCCTTAAAAAATACTTCTATGTGACATTTTAAGAATTTTTTTTATGATGTTGTCAAATAAATTTACATCTTTTTAAAGGGGCATTATGGGAGATTAGATAAAGAGCTGACAGTTCTCACAAAAAAAGTTAACGTAAACAGAATATGCTGAAAATTTGAGTCACATTGTTACACTCTGAACCGAGAGAGAGAGAAATGGGGTTCAACGTCCACTCGACACAAACTAGGTCATTTCGGGACTAACATATGGTTTAATTTTATTTCAATAATTTGCTTGCGCATAGGGGTCTTTAGCAGTAGGAGGAAACCGGAAGACCCGGAGAAAACCCACAAGGTTGGACAGGCGACCCTGCTTTTTGTCACGTACAACTGGGGAATCGAAACCACACCAGTTGACTCAATGACAGACTTTATGGTACAGCGCGCATGTGCTAACCATTCAGCCATCCACCCCCACCTGAACCAAGATATTAGCGATTGAATTTTGCATTTAGCTTTTGCATAATGTATGTTTAATATACATAAGCTTCTTGCCTGTAACAATACACAGGTATTAATATCCTGTGACGGATTTTGCCTAAATTTAATACATCACAATATTTTGTAGTATGATATTTGTTCAAAATATATTATGGGAGATTAGATAGAGAGTTGGCAGTTCTCGCTATAATAGTTAAAGATAGGTTGCCAGGTAACGAAACATACACCCACAGCAGCTAAATCGTCCGGGCAGTCAACAAGAGTTGTCGCATATTTTTACCTTTGTCGGTAATGAAACATTTATAATACACTAAAATCTGATTAAAAGAGCAACATCTCATTATGTAATTATCAGAAAATCATTAGAATTTTATTGGCCCATGCTAACGTTTAGTGTAAAAAAACCTTTAATATCATGAATTTAGCTGTTTAAATTATCAAAAATCATTGAAAACCAATATACTTGTTCATCTCAAGGCCTTAAACTCTGTGTATCAATCTAAAGTCAATCGAAATGATTATATAGGCGTAAACACGGTGTATAAATATAAAATCAATCAGATAACTTTGGTCCCTAAAGCATCTACAAGATTTTTCAAAGTAATCAAGGGCCATAACTATGGCAGTAATTACCGAAAATTGTTGAAAATCAATAGGATTCTTCATCTGATGACCTTAAACACTGTGTATAAATTTAAAGTCAATCGGATATTAATTTAGCCTCTAGAGACTCAACAAGTTTTTTGAAAGTGATCAAGGGCCATAACTCAAAGTGATCAAGGGCCATAACTCTGGCAGTAATTATGTGAAATTGTTGAAATTCTATAGGCCTCTTCATTTCATCACATTAAACACTGTGTATAAATCTAAAATCAATCGGATAGGCTTCTTTGTCTCATGACCTTAAACACTGTGTATAAATTAAATGTCAATTGTGTATTGACTTTTGCCTTTACAGCGTCCACAAGATTTTTCAAAATGATCAAGAGCCATAACTCTGGCAGTAATTATCGGAAATTGTTGAAATTCTATAGGCCTCTTCATTTCATCACATTAAACACTGTGTATAAATCTAAAATCAATCGGATAGGCTTCTTTGTCTCATGACCTTAAACACTGTGTATAAATTAAATGTCAATTGTGTATTGACTTTTGCCTTTACAGCGTCCACAAGATTTTTCAAAATGATCAAGAGCCATAACTCTGGCAGTAATTATCGGAAATCGATGAAAATCAATAGGCTTCTTCGTCTCATGACCTTAAACACTAGCCTCTAGAGCGTCCACAAACAATTGTGGACACTGGACGAGATGACAATATACAACCACATTTCAATGTGGGCGTATAAAAACTGGATTAGCTCATTTTAAAAAAACTGTAGCTTTGACTGTAACGATAATAAAGAAAGTCTTGATTATCCATTTTTGCGGTTAATCATCAATGGGCCTTGAACAGCAGATAGGATTCAAATCTAATGAAAATCGGACAAGTAAGATGGGAGCGAGAGCTGATTATGGTCTTGTCATGTGAATAAATGTCTAATATATAGTTTATATAACATTTCAGGCCTAAAGAAAGATCTGCAATAGGCAGATTTAGCTCTTGTATAATGTATGTTTAACTTTGCAAATATTTCCTACTATTATTGTCAAAATTTCCTTAAAACAGTTGACTCTTTGAGTAATTCAAGTTACTAGACTATTAGAACAATCAAACCAATAACCTACAATATTCACTTGAAGTACTGAATCAAATATAGTCAAGTTGTTACTTTATATGCCTTTTGTTATTTCTTAATACACTTGAGACACAAAAATGCACATAACTTTTATCAAATACAGAATATTTTTCATATAATATAAATGAAATGGGGTTTAATGTTTAACGTCCTATTGTTAATATAATATAATATATTAAAATATTGCAAAATGGCGAGAAGAAAATATTGCAACACAAATTTTGGCTGCAATCCTCAACCCAACTTTGAAAACATTAATTATTTCACAATAGATATGTGTACTTACCAAAGGCTTTATTATCATAAACTGGAAACTGAACAATAGAAAGAAAACAAGATTACAGTCCACACTCCATAATTTGATAAAAAAAGAAAAATTTATGAAGTTACAAACCGATACATGCCAAATTCATGAAGTTACAAATTGATACATGTCAAAATTGGACCCATTCGAGATCATTGGGCTATAGACATATATTTTCAGTTTCATCAAAATCAGATAAAAATTGTGAACTGTAGAGTGTCCACAATCATTATTTTTTCCTGGAGTTAATGACAAAATATTCAATTCAAATTAACATCAGAGTTTTAATTCTACATCAACCAACTAAAGTTTTATACTCAATTTGTTTGGTGTTAGGGCTAAAGAGTTATGGTTCTTCTCTTCCAAAGTCAGATTTTCCCAATGAATATAATATTCTTTGGATAGATTGTCCTAGTTATGTTTGTATATCTACTAATTAAACAGTTCCATGATAAAGAATGACCTTTCTGGGTCTACTAGCCATGAAGATTTAAAATGGAAATTGAACAAGCATGTCTTAAAGTCTTTTATTTTATATATCTTACCTGTTTCATATTACCCATCTCTATCTGACGAGATTTATAATTCTTTTCTTGTAAGTTAACATTTCTCCTGTAATTAGAAAATATTTTTCAATCCAACTGCATTTAGTAACTAGATAGAGTAATGAATTAAAACATATACTTATGGTAAACAGCTACTAATTATATTTGGGCAACTTTTTGAAGAGTATTCTCTCAATTTTATCCAGCAAATATATTAGTAGCTGTTTTCTTCCATAAGCAAGTGCATACAGTATTAACAAAATGATTCCACAGAAAATACATGATTGTCAAGCTATGCAAGATTATCGTTCTTTGTATTAACAAAATGTATGTACATGTAATTGATTCATGTGTAAAAAAGTAATCTGCTAACATTCTTGGTTTGAAAACATCAATATTTAAATGAGGAGACTTGTTTCTCCTTTGTCCTCAAAATATATTCACATGTACAGAATTACAATTGTTTGACAAAACCTTTTCATTAATTTGATCTGAATAGTGATACACCTACAGAAATGCTTAAAAAAATGTAAGAAACTTAAACCCACCAACACGAAATGAAAAGTTGAACAAATCTATTCCTTTTGCCCATTTCCTACAGGCTACAGGCTAGACACGCTTGCAACTGTTAGATGTACTTTTCCAACTGGACCTAACACTCTGTGTTGTACAAGAGTTGATTTTAGAAGTCGAATTCACGGCAAGTGCAAACACAGCCACTGGTTATCAAAACAATTATAAAAAAAAGTGACCAGTCAACAGCAGTTTGAACAGTTGTGTGTATTAAGTTGAAGCAAACTTAGATACATTTATCACCACTCAAAATCTATTGGCAATGACACTTGATACAATACAGAAGCAAATTTATGCTGATGTTTAGAATGACATCATATTTATATTTTCTAGCATACTATATTATTTGGTCCAATATAAAATCACAATAAATCCAAATAAAACGCCAATCCAGTTCTTCGTAAGGTTTTTAGTTACAGTTCCTCCATACACCAAATATATCCGTTATTATTATGGTTCACTGAAACAAGTTCCTTCACACATGTAGTAATATGCCTAATCTCAACAAAACTAGTATAAATTCCCTTTCCTGAATAACAGATCTTATTCCTAACAAACTAAAGACAGTTCTGATCTAAAGTTCTGTTGTTTAAGAAGATGAGTAAAAGATACATGTAAGAACTTGACAACAGATTATTTTTGACCACCAAGCCTTAAGGAAAGATAACGATAATCTCTAAAATCACAGATCAACAGTTGCTAAGGCTAAGTTAGTCAAAACGGACTCTTTTCATTATAAACGTCCATTGTTCACCAATCACCTCAGTGTTTAGTTTAAACATTATTTTAGTCAGTGATGCATGTACAGTTACAGTGGTGTGTAGTAAAATCAGTAATGACTATAGATTCTATTAGGCTACAATATCTATTCATTCACATTAAAGTTATGGACCACTAGTTAACTAAACTCTATGAAACCACATTCACAGAAACCATATGTCACGACTGCCACTAAAATACCATCACCTTCATAGTTTACGATTTTTATCTGATTTTAAAGTGATAAACTAAAATGGTGTCTATACTTTAAAGACATTTCAAAGTTTCTAATAATTTTAGAGACCAGTAAATTAGACGAGTACATGTTCGGACAAAATTGTTGTAGACATCCATACGTAATCCTATTAAAAAGCATGGCAACTTGGCAACTTCATACATGTCCAGGAATTTTATGGAGAGGGGTGTGGAAATATGAAAAAACAGTTATTCAAAAAAAAAAAAGTACATGGATCAAAAATAATTTATCAGGGATATAACTCCAAGGACCGACAAAAAGTCACACGAAAGGGGCCATTTGCCAAATATTTTATATTTGAATAGTCATATGAAAGGAATGCACTGACATAAATATACAGTATACCAATATTTTTGGCAAAATTTAGACTCCTAACATTTTTTTTAAAAACAGTGAACACCAATTGGCTTAGTCATTTAGATACAAAACCACAACAAAAATTAGCTGCTGTGTTAACATGTCACTAAAATTTTATTTATCTTGAATTAGTGGAAAGTCAAAATAGATGTTCAAATCTAATTAAATGTTGTTAAAACATTGATCAAATAATTCAAATTGGCCATGCTTTAAATAAGATAAAATCAACAATATGTAGTTTCAAATATGAAAAGAATGTAATCTGATAGCTATAAATAGTAATATGATACATAATATTATATAAGACGATTACTGGATGCCTATAATCTATCTAATCATTCAAAATCAATACTAGTACATGATATTATCAAAGGTCAAATTTCTATAAATAATATTTATTTCTTTGTGTCTACATTCCTTCAATGCCTGAAACTCAAATCATGTATTTTGTACAAAGTGTGTCACTTTAATTAAATATAATCAAGATCATACTCCTCTACAATTATGGATTCAGACTGCATTTCACGATCAAGCTCTAATATCAACAATAAAAGGATTAGTATTTAATTCTATTTAATAATAATGTATGGTCTTCTCTCAAAACATATATTGTATTCACGTAGCTTAAAGAATATATGCTAATTGCTATGTATATAGCTGCATCTAGAGATAAAAGATGAAAAGTTTGAGGAAAAGATGAGCATTCCATTATCAGTATTATATTTGTTTTAAGAAAATGAAACCTTGAACTAACTTTCAAAACCTCATAGTTCCCATTATAAAAACATTCTTTTATTCATTCTCCAGTGTATTAAGTTCTCAACTCATTTAACTAAATCAACCTTAGCCTTAGTTCAAATAGTGTGCAAATTTGCCAGAATAATTAAAATTCTAGGTCAATTTCTGCAAAATCTTCCGCAATGCTTTATTACATAATATTTGATTGGTTGTTAAGACGTAGTCATGTGATTTCTAGTGGAGCAGGGCTATTTCCTCTTTCGAAGAATACATCTTCAGTAGTGTCTTGGCTATTGTAAATACAGCAGTGATAGCGAACAAATATACAAGGACTAATGTAACAATGTAAGGTTTTACCACCCTACCTACTTGACCCAACAAAATGTCACTCGTTTTAATGACACAGGACTGTACTACCATTCGAAGACCAGCTAAAAACATCTCAATTTTCAACTTGTAGTTTATTGGGGGGAAATTAATCTACTTCAACTTTGATGGCAGGCAACTTAACCCTATTTACTAGTACATGCCTCTACATACATGTACATATAACACTATATAAAAGACTTAAATTTCCTTTTAGGACTCACCATTAGAAATTTTTAAGGAAGAAAATAAAAAAAACCATTATCACTGGTGAATTTAGGAAGCTCCACTCCCGATGCCACTGTTTTGCACAATGATCATTCAAAAATTATCATACAAAGGTTCAAAGTAAAATATTTTTCCTTTGTAAAATGTGCCAGATAAAGTAGATATCACAACTATAAATGCAAGAAGCAAATTACATTTAGACCCATCTAAGCTACCAATTACATTTAGACTCTCACAAACTATAAATTTCATCAAGATCCCTTTTAAGCTACAAATTCAATTTTCAAAATAAATCTACACATGCATCATTTTGAGCATTGAGAAATTTAACCACAATTATTTAAAAGCCAATTCTCTTAGAAGCAGCTAAACTTAAAATGGATGCTTTCTGTCTGAATAATATTGACAACAAAATTTCAAAATATAAAGACACATGGTGCTGATTCATGTCATAGAAATGTTTTTCATTTAAAAGAGCAAAACAACCTTTTTGATTTAGATTAAAAAGAAGTATTTTATTTGGTTGATCTGATGTTGATGTTGATTACTGATGGGGGCAAGTGCTGCTATACAATTAAATTTCTGTTTCAAAAGATTAAATGAAATGCCTTGTTTACTAATTTTAGTTATATTTTGATTCTATTGTGTGGAAATGAAATGAAATGGGGTTTAACATCCTACTGTTCTGCTCCAATTGGGCTAATGAAGACGTATATCGTATCGAAAGTTCAGTACAAAATTGGTTATGTCTCAACAAACGCTTTTAACACCTACGCTCAAGACACTTATACAAATGATAGCAATTAAATTAAAATGCTCTGAATTATGATTACATTTGAAATCTCAGCAATTATGTGGTAAAAGCTAGTTAGTGACAAAAATCAAAAGATATGTTGCTAGGCACTGAAACAAACACCCACTGCACTTAAGCTGTCTAGGTACTCTATAAAGGCTGTCACAATTTTGTTGATTTGTACATAATTAGAGCTTTGACAAGACACTGGACAATGGCAACAACCCATGAAGTAATTATCAGAAACAATTAATATTTGATATACATGTACCTATAGTTCTTCCTAGCACCAACATAAATAAAACATATTCCAGTAATCAGATCATAGCTGTAGCTGTTGGAGTTATCATAAGTGGCCATATAAATATAACCACAACCAAATGAAAGTATTAGAGAACTTACCTGGTTTTTCTCATATAAAAGAATACACCAAGAGCTATAATAATCAACAATAATAAACTAGCTGCTACACCAGCTACAATAGCTATAACTATATCTGTTGATTCACCATCAGATTCTGAAAAACAAAAACACACAATTTTTAATAAACAAATAATATTTTAAACAATTTAAATAAAAATATTTTGAATGGTCTAATAAAAATTGTATACCAAGCGCTAACTCAAATTTGTTTTTATTAAATCTAAGAAATTTTTAATTAGTAAAAGGTACAACCCTAACTACAGTAATAGGTTGATGTTTGAACAAAGTTTCATAACCATATCATGAATGGCTTATGAGACATGCTCTGGATTCCAGAGTCTGGAAACAAAATCCAAAAGAAGGAAGGAGCCCATTTCAATATTCCTTCCTAACTTTGTTCGACAACAATTACCTGAACAAACATTTCCCTGTAATGGCCCATCATGTGATATCTGTGCTTTACCATTACATTGTTCTATACATTCACCATTCTTACGCGATATAAAATTCACACATCTGAAAGGTAATTACTGACAATTAAACAGTGCTAGAAGATTCAATAATTTATACATATAAAATTAAAAACATTTCCTTTAAATATGACTCTGTATTCCTTGGGCGTTATGAAAATGAGTGTATTTGATAGAATAATTATAGACACCAAGATTCAGGTCATGTATGCCAAGTGCACACTTTCATTGCAATAACAGATAAATGTGAATTAGTACATTTTACCTTATACACTTTGATGATAAACACTCCACACAATCATTTATTTCACAATTATCTGAAAAATATCATTATGGTATTTAAACTAGTGAATTCAGGGGCAGATTTAAAAAGTTTTGCAAAGGCACCTTGTGTTGATCTAAGAATAAATGGATGAATAATGTACAGAGAAATATTTGAGAACCTTGAAGATTACTTTCATCGAGTTTAACTAAGACAAGCCTGGAAATAAGGCACATTCACTAGTGACTGACAGTTTTTCAGGTACAGTTCCAGGTCTGACTAAGATACTGTAAGGTGATCTAAAAGCAACATTTTTTATACCTTACCCGTGACTTAAAATATCTTGAAATTGGCCCATATGCAATCAAGGCAAACTATAAATTTATTAATAATTTTATTTATTCAGTAGACTAAAAGATGACAAGATTGATTGAATAGAAAATTATTTATATCAAGCATGTGTTCTCTGTTCATGACATTTTATAATCAATCTTGTATTATAAAAAATCAGTGAATATTATTAGAAAATTTATAGACATATACCAAATCAATCAACACTATCTCTTAAACAGATAGAGCATAATGCATACACCATCTTTATTTGAAAACATGGACTATCAGGCAATGAAAAAGATTCTCATTCATGGATCTTCATCTCATCATTTTGTTTCTTAACCTTTTTGCAGCTTATACTTTGTATGCTATATTCTTACAGTTTTTCATATAAAGTCAACAATTTAGTATAATTCCAGTCTGTCTCATCGGGCAATAAAGTCAGTCAATTAAAAAGACTACAGACAATCAAAGAGATTAATTAAGCTACATGTATGATAAATATAGTTGAATCTAATTAATTAAAGGCAATAGATTATGTATTTCCCATGGTTATAAATACATACATAATATAGAAAGAATATCAATTTCCTATGATTGGGTTAAAATTTTGAGAAGCTGTATCCCATTTTAGACAATTTTATGTTCATTTAGGAGATCACAGTACACCAAACCATAATTTTGTAGCTTATATTTTTTTTACATCAAGAATAACTAACTGACAGGAATATTTTGCCTTACAAAGATGAAGACTTCTTGAAAGTTTTTGGCTATCGTTGATTATTTTTACTGTCATTTGTTTTCTATCTTTTAATCATGGAAATCTAGTTAATTTTTTTTTTTATTAAAAGCTTATTTCCAAAGAGTACAAGGTTTGAAAACTGTGCATTACTATAATCAACAATCACATGGATGGACATATGGATTCATGCTGGCCAATGCAATGGTAATAAGAAAGGCACTAATACTGTATGTACCTGATATACAATCTCTGCCATTATTATGTGCACTATAACCAGGTAAACAATCACACACACCAGTTGTTATATTACAGTGATTTTTATATCCACAGTCTATACTACAATTACCTAGAAAAACATCAAATATATAATGTTAATATCTTTATTCAAACATCATGTTTTCGTATATAAGACAAAAGGAAAAGAAGAAGTGATCGAAATAAGAAGAGGATTAAATTTCATTTAGTTATTTTTACAAAAAATGAGTATCTGCACAGAAGATACATGTACATGTACATCTTCTTAGCTTACATTGAGAATACTTCATGATAAAGTGTGACATTATTCCATTTTCTCAATTAAAATATTTGGGGTCTATTGTAGGATTAATACAATTTAAATACAGGAATATAATTTTCTACCTGGTGGCAATATGAAATTCACTTCTAATACCATTGAAATAATGAAGATAATTAATGTCAAAAGTCATTTTACCACCTAAACTTATATAATACCTCTGTAGCAGACAACAGTTTGCAATAAACAAACTTGTCAATATGATAACACGCAATATAATTACAGTAATCGACACGAGATACAAAAAGTTTTATTTCTCACTAGCATAAAATTCAGCTGTCCTTAATAAATAAGCTGATATTATTACTGATATGAAATTAGCACCAATGTACATGTAATTGTGGATTAATTAATATCTTGAACTTGATAACTCAGGATGTATAATGTATCTCAAAATGCCTACACCTATGAGCTGGTGAACAGTGTATGAACTACATGAATACCAGTTCAGGAAAGAGCAATAGGATTTAAACAATATAATTCACACTAATTATACTATCACAAAACATTTTCACTTAAAATAAAGATACATTATGTAAGATTTAGATAAAGAGATCACCAGTCTTGCTACAATAGCTCAAAACTAGATAATGTAAAATGAAAAAATTGAAAATCTAATTCAAATTACTTCATTCTCCGTCAAGTTATGCTGTTTGTAGTTTTGACAAGATGTGTGCATAGTGGTAACCAGGGCACTGGTATATTCGAGACTTAGCCTCGCTTTCCCGTTTTTAAATTAAATTTTTAATCTTGAGTATCCGTTGCCATCGAGAGTTGATTATGGTCTTGTTTTGTTAATAAATGTCTAATTAATAGATTATATAACATTTCAGACCTAAACAAAAACCTGCAATAGGCAGATTTAGCTCTTGCATAATGTATGTTTAAATTCCCTTTAAATGATATGAAAACAGATATGAAATAAACAATTACCTTTAGTTCCTTTTGCTCATGTAGGCCTACAAGTACTTAATGCACATAAAAGCTTTACTTAACATGTGAATCTTACAATGTCATAAATTATAACATGGCTAACTTTAATCATATAAAAATGCCATGCGCGATAGACGTGTTATGTATAGTACAAGTACGTTATACATTAAATAATTTTATCATAAATTAAGATACAGGTGTAATAATAATAAACCTACCTGTATTACAACATACTGTTGATAACGTCATCAATAATACATATAGTATTGTTGGATAAATGAAAGATGAATTCATACTTCTATTGTTATACCTGGTTGGTATATTACCTCTTAATTCTCATCTGTAAAAATATAAGTAAATGTACCTGTATAATAAATGATACAATTTATAAGACTATAATATCATTTTTCTAAATTTTCAACGGATTCAAACTCCTACGTGTAACTGTAGGGTAACATATTTCCAAGCTATAAAGGAGCCTACATTTTCAATTACTTAGGCGTTGTTTACTTAGATGTCAGTTGATTTTATTATCGGTAGCTATAAAGACTAAAGTGTATGTCAACAGTAAAGTGGTATATGTCTGAACGAAAATATTCCATACCGGTAATGCTCATAATATTTTCAATTTCATAATATATTATTCAATTTAAGTTCTAACATATATTTTAATGTAGACTAATATCTTTTTATAAATTTAACATTTAAATTGATGTTATAGATTTTACTGGTACTTAAATATAAATACATAAATAATATACAAATTATTGGGAACTGGTGGTATCATGTAAAGCACATCGATACAAATACACTAAAAGAAACTGTTCAAATTTGTTGAAAGGACAAGTATGTTTATGTCAAAGGCTACATGTACATAGACTGTAGTCACCACAATATACTTGCTCTGCAACATGAATTTGAATTGCTACTAAATTTGAAATCTGTTAATATGTAAGTCTGCTTTTGCTTCTGCAAACATGTACATATGGCAATCTAACAACACTGACTAAATAACACACATGCATGCTGTATATTATTTTAAAATCTTTTTTAACAAATTACTTACGTTATCATAAAAAGTTACACAAATAGGATTATGCTGTTCTTACTTACGTCTAAATACCACACCTTTATATACTACATGTAGTTTCCTTACCACCCTTCTCAAATCTTATTTATTACAATATTTTAAAGATGCATTATGTAAGAGCTATTAACATGTATGCCTATTGCAGGTCTTTATTTTGGCTTCAAATGTTATATCAACTATAACATGACAAGCCGATAATCAACTCTCTAGGACACCAGATGGCTCTGGTTTTAACTAGATTAGAATGTTTTGGCCATTTAATGATTTAATCTAAAAATGGAAAAGCAAGGCTTAGTCTCAAATAATAAGTACCATTGTTAACATAATAAACAATCAATGCCACATATTGTCAAAACTCCAAACAGTGATAACTTTGCTCAGAATAAAGTAATTTGAATAAAATTTTCAATATATTCATTTTGCATTATCTATTTTTGAACTATTATAGCAAGAATGGCTAACACTGTACCTAAATCTTTACATTCATCTTTAAGATAAACATTAAAATTACTTCCTGTGCATGATTTAGAGCACCTGCTTATCAGTAGGCCTAATGAAAACAGGATACGTATATATTGATCCTGTCAAATTCAAACTTGAAATAAAGTGTTCTGATATGATTTATAGACAAAGAAATAAAAAGAAATGGGGTTTAACATCCTACTTTTCTGCACCAATTGGACTAATGAAGACAAAGTTTATACTCTAGACATGACATCTACTCAAACAGTTAAAGACGCATTACGTGAAAGATTTAGATAATTAAAAGAGTAGGTCGTTTAAATAGTTTACAAACAGATAAAGAACCAGCAGTTGCAAGGCAAGATATGCCCACATTTTGCGAGAGATAGATAGAGAACAAGCTAAAAAGAAAGTGATTTTTCGCACAATCAGGGGACATACTCCAGGAAGTTATGGTCTGAAATGCGCGAATATCGAAATGGACTGAGATATTTGGGATATAAAGATATATTTCAAGTTTCATCAAAATCGGATTCTTCTAGAGAGTCCACAACCTTAGTATTACATACTTTTATACTGAACATGCAAACTCTTTCTACAGATAGAAACCATCATTAAATGGTTTCAACACCCTTACCAGCATGAGGAATGACAGACCTTCACCTTGGCATATCTCAGGAAAGCTAAGAAAAAATCACAATAACTTACAAAAGTTTGACGCAATAACTCAACTAATCATACTCACAATAAGATATCTGAGTTAATGTACTTCGACCTGATTAAATTTAGAATGAATTGAATTGTTATCTAGTGAAAACCAATGAAATAATCATAAGTCTCCTTAGATCGTATTTTAGTATTAAATTAAGAGAGATTTTTCATGTTTCAGACAAACAAGCAAAAGTTCACATTAAATTTAATCTGCATGGGTTGCATGAGTGCCTACTCTTCGCTAATGTTAAAAACTTTTGGAATGAAGATTGACCATTAATTGCCAATGTAACTCATTAACCACTGTGTCTTTTCCTCACTGTGTGACTGACATTTACAATATACATATGTACACAAGCATACACCATCCATTTAATGATACAAGCAATGAATGTCCAGGACAAATCCATAAAATTATTAAACTTTTCACAAACTGTACACACTACATTAATTTCTTTCAATCCTCAATAGACTAAAATAACACACTGTGTAAGTGTAGAAGCTACAAATTTGTTGGTTGAATTTATAAAAAAGAAAGAGAATCTGGATGCCTTCACATTTAGAGTATTCTTTATAGATAAATAACATTCGTCATCTAAACCAACAAATCCTACACATCTTGTTTAACAATCAATCTCTTTCCCTCCACTGCCAATATTTAAATCTTGTTAGAAATTAGTGATGTTATAATTATTACATTTTCGTTGAATATATCAGACATATTTAATAAGTGGTTGCCATGCAACACACACAGAGATGGACAGAGAACTACATGTATGAAAATGGGTAAGGCTCATAATTTTATTCTACCAATGCTTCACATCAGTCCTTCATGTTTATAAAATTGTGAGGGAGCCATAAAAAGCTCCGGATACCTTGAATAAATGCAGTTTAAAAGTAAACAAAAACTGAAAGTAGTTTATTAATCTCAATATTTAGGAGAGCAATTTAGCTAATTTGCTGGAGTCTTTTTAATGACTCCTTCGAAGGAAAGCCGACGTGCATCGAGAGGAGCAGGAGCAAAAGCTCATCTTAAACATTGTTGGACTGTCACATCGAATTTGAAAAAAATCTGTTAACAAATGATTGTAGCCCCTGTATTGCATTCACAAAGTTTTGACTGAGGGGGCTTATCTCTGGAATGAAAGGTTGCGTAAACCTAATTATCGATAGGGTTTGTCCTCTCATGATGGGAGACAGGTTCATGTTTTCACCAGTGTCTTGTGTCGCACATACATGTTAGTGCAGGCATAATATATCACGAATCATCTTCTCACCATTTGTGAATTAAATTGCGAGAGGCTGAATCGATGTATCACGATTCTTTTTTATGTTTTTTTTTGTTGTTTCAGTAAGTAACCTGCCACTTTAAATTATCGATGTCACACATTATTCATAGGTACACAAACACTCTTAAATTGTTTTGGTCCTTATTTTGATCCACATCAATATCGTGGTATAAAACAGTTTCATTTCTCTGACATAAGCAGGACTAAAAATATCAATTATTTATAAATATTGTTTTCTTAGTAAGTATTGACCTTGTTATGAATCGTGATACGAATATCGCAGCACCTGAATCACAATATGTATCGTATCGTGACTGCAGTGGCAATACCAAGCGCTAATACATGTACATGTACTGGCTCTACTCTAGCAAGGTAGGTAAGCAAGGTCTGTTTTCTCACTGAAAAGTTCTTTTACATTGTACAGGCGTTCACAGGCTTTGAGCTGTAAAAACAGGGCCAGTAAAATTGACAGGGAAGCTTAACACTATCAACAACCCTACCTTACAAGCCAAGTGTAAGGAGTAGGCTACTAGGCCTACAGGCCATGCATTCACATGATGCCATTATTGTGATTATTCTATTAGTAAATTACTGCGTTTACTTAATCAGTGTTCAACAGTATCACTGCATTGATTCTGCACTATGCACATGTCAATCAATATCTATTTTAATATTTCCAGTGGAGGTTAATTATTTTAATATCACACTGAAGTGACACTGAACCTCACTGAGGATGTCTTGCTGTGGAAAAGACAGTCAACTCGTCGATATGGCTTTATTTTCAGCAGGAGATATTCAATATTATTTCCATACACATGTACCACATTGCTTTTTTTTCAGAACAAACAAAGCAGAATATTGACATGAAAAAATATATACACTACCATTACACCGGGAGCAAATAACTAGTGATGTTCACTTTTACTTCTTGTCAATTACCCAGACAGACTCTCTACCACCATAACAGATACTATAAATAGACACGTTCAACCGGGGCTGTTCCAATATAGCGGTCAACAAATTATTTTCAAAACAAACACGATGAAAGGATATAGTAAAACAAAATTCAATATATATCAATAGGTGTTAATCAAAGACTTTGTTTTCAACCATGGCAGCTGACACGGAGTCGGTACATTGGAACGTGGGGTATTTACCCTACTGGAGCAATTTAAAACAAAACAAACATATAGCTCTTCCCTACACCTCCCTAGAACTTCTACAGGAAGTGCTAATTCGCCATTTTTCCGTCATTGAAGTCAGTGTCAGCTATTAAAACATTAATTTTAACAATTTTACACAATTTAAGAATACCAGTATTTCAGAAAAGGTATATTTATTTGTATATTTGTCATTTTTGTGTGAATACCCATTTCTGTAATTGATTTGGTTGTGTATATTTGGTAATTTAGTTTATAAACAGGGAGTGACAAATCAGAATTTTTATAAATTTCTAACACTAGTATTAACAGACTGCCACTGGCACTTCTAGTTTACGTGTTGTTTGTTACGCAATTTTATTTTTGCTAGTAGAATCTAAATAAATAAAGCAGAAATAATACAAGATTATAAATAAAACCCAAAAATACAACACACTCTACTAATTTAGAGGCATAAGAAATACGTTTACACTCTAGGATCTTGGAAAATGGGGATGTCAAAAGTTTATTTCTTTTGTATAGTACGGTATCACACTCACAGCAGTGACCATGTGGCATATCCATATGACATTGAAACTACTAAACAGAAATGACAATACATTTTTCAAAGCAAATCATAACTTGAAATAGTGTGTACTTTCTCAGAATAACCTTAACTTAAATTGCTGCTCAACTCAGAATGAATAACTTATGCAGTCATGCTTTACCATGCAAACTGTTATTCATTATTAATATTAGTCCATTCCTTGTGAAAATTAATGAGCTATTACTGTCAGAAGTCAAGAATAGAACCAATTTAAATGTACTACTGTATCTATAGACTGTAAGGAATTACAAATACAAATTATTAAATAATGTTTAATAGCAAAGATCAAATGTTATGACAAATTTCAGATTTAAGCAATGACAACTACATCATATCTGAGTCATCACACTTGACAGAACAAAGTTTTTATGGGAAACAATCACTGGTTTATTCTAAAAGCATGACGTTTCGACAAGTATCCTCTTATCGTTATCACACTTGGTCTATGTCTCTCTGTAATAATACAATGTTCTTAATCAGATGTTTACTATTAGCTTCTTAAATTATTTATTAATATCTTTCTCAATTCTAGAAATGAATAGTAAACCTCTAGTGATCAGTCAAATTTATCTATAAGCTTTGTTAAATTGTAATCTAAGGAGGAATCCGTTTCAAATTAGTAAAATGGCAAAATCAAGACAATTTATATTGAGTGGAATTAGTGGATGACTAATCGATATCCCTATAGCATGGTGAAAAGGCTATATTGTTTTCACATTTTTTTTCCGCTTGATATTCTTGAATCAGTCTGATTGTCATATTGCTTTTTTTGTACAGCGTCTTGTGAAATCTGGGACTATCCCTTTAAACAATAGTCTGCCATACCATTTTAGGATTGTTCATGAATCAAATTTAGCTCATTACAGTATTACCAGTTCATATTAGTTTACATTTGATGGACTATATTTCAGTATTATTATATATGTTTAAACATACATTATGCACAAGCTAAATCTGTCTATTGCAGGTCTTTCTTTAGGCCCGAAATGTTATCTAAATTATTAATTAGACATTAATTAACCCATCCAGACCATAATCAACTCTAGATGGCATCGCTAGCCTGCGATCTTTAGCGGATTATGAGCAGATTTACTGCATAACTTTCCTTCATGATTTAACGCTTAAATGGATAATCAAGACTATGCTGTTTATCGTACTGACTTTAGTAATGATTATCAAGGCTAGCCGGAAATTTCAACTGCTTAGTTCTCGGTTCCTAGTGGATCAATTTGAATGAAATTTAAACAAATTGCCTTTACATTATCTAGTTTTTAACTATTATAGTGAGAACTACCTACTCAATTTCGAATCTCCCATAATGTATCTTTAATCAAATTAAAACTAGAATGTTATTTTCATTCCCCTGTCTCTTCGGGTCACTCCCAGTAGCATATCAAGACATGTTTAAGAAAATTACGTTCTGTACTATGATGATGATAGCATAATATAGCCAGTAGCGGATCTAGAAAAACTGTGAATAGAAGGTTGGGGGGGGGGGGCTGTTGAGGGACTGCAGTTCCAAATCTAGGGATCCATCCACATTCCCACCCACTAATGTTGTCAACAAAATACATAATAAAATTCATAAAATAACGAGCGCCACAGTAGAACATAGATCCTATTGCCTATATACATGTAGTTGTTTGTCGATTGTTATTTTGTGGGAAAGCATTTTTATTCAAGTTAACTTAAAGTTCATGTGATATTATGATTGTTATTGACTTTGTTATTGTTTTTTTATTTTTGTGAAACTTGGCCTCATGGGAGTGGGAGAGGGGACCCTTAAATCCGCACCTGAATATAGTTTCTAGCAAAGAAATGTCTTGATTATCAAAGACTTTCAACACTAATGCTAGGTTCCCACTGTCAAGATTCTGCGATTGAAATCGTGGTTTTATTTGTGTGGTAATCGTTGTGATCCTATCAGGTCTTAGCATATATTGAGGCCAGTCATACATGTAGCAACCTAACATAACAGAACTCTTGCATCATGGAATTGAACTGATAGGTTAATATGGAGTCATTAATTAATTGATCAGCATATTACTGAACATGCTGAAAAAAGAAAGGTCTTAGACCAAGATAAAGTGGAGTAAAGTTAACCATCGGAAAATAAAGAGATTGAAGTATTGGTGTAATTGATGTATCAATGGTGATATTGTGATAGCTGATGGCCCCATTTTATTTTATTTAAGTGATTTTATGCGATGTAAGTTCATAAATGTATGTTACAGTCAAAGTAGATAGAAGACCATTCAAGAAAAGGTTTCATTTTAATTGGATAAGCCAATATTTTAATTGACTATCCTAATTGCTCTGGAGGGTTTTAGAAGATAAAAATTCAAAGATTAAGGATATGAGCAATTAATTAAGACATGTTGATAGGTTAATTAGTCTGTCACCACATGGTGTTATCACCTCTATGTGTATTAACAATCATTTCTTGTAATAATTCTTGTTATATATTGATAGTTCAATTACACTGAACGGAAGATTAATAGTTTGGGTTCTGGTATAAGTATGTATATATAGAATGAATGATTACTGTTTTAAATAATGGTAGGCTTACCCTCTTGTAGTACATGTAGGCATCACGGTTTGATTCAGTACCTGGTTTGGCTTCGTTTCTTGCTGATGGGTCTCGCATGAAAAAACATCAAATATATGTTTATTTTGATCCCAGTTTTATATTGTAGCCTGTTTTATTACTTTACAAACAAGAATTAATTGATCATGTTGCTTCACTTTTTGTTTTCACTGTCTAGATCTTTTTATTGTCTCTACCGGTACCCCATAGACGGATACCAAAACAAACTGTGACACTGGTATTAATTAAAAACAAGGATATTTATCATCGCCACTGGAAACCTATTTGCACCCTTCAGGCATAATGTATTTGACTTTATGGTTAGGCTATGAATGAATGTGTACACTTACTTGTGCAGCTGGGAATTTATGACATATTTAGTTATGACAGGCAGCACATGAACTAGTATTAGTGGGATTAAGAATTAGACAAGTTTACATTGAATAATGTCAAATGTGATGACAGCATAATAAATATAAATGTGGTACCAAAGAAGACCTTTATGTTAAAATGTAATATTGGAAGGTTGTCTAATGATTAACTATCAAAAAATATATTATAAATACTAATAACTGTCACAGTATTGTAGGTACATGTAATTGTCTAAAGACCGGTTATTATATTTAGTTTGTCATCAAGTAGTGAAATATTATGATTAATATTATAAACTATATTAATTCATGATTCTTAAATTTTTTTATGTCCCTACATTTCTGTATCAGGTGTTGATAATTTATTTTACATGTACTTACTGCACATATTTACATGTCGGTATAAAATGTAAAGTTAAACTTTCCTTTTGATTTTTGAAAATTTCTTTAATTTGATATTCGGTACAAATTTGTTTTAGGTTTTGTAATTTACAGTTTAATCTGATTCTCCATTCCTTTTTCGGTTGTTAGGTGTCTGCATGTTCCAGCCCGCATGGTACATGGAGATCATTATATAGTCTGTTACCATGCAAGTCATGGGTTCTATTTTGTACATGGCAACTTGGCAAGGAGTAGGGTTCTCTACCACTGTGCACTTATCTTACATTATTTCTAAATTGACCTTGCTAAGTGGGTGAATGTAAAACCTAATCTTTCTCACTCTCCCATTTTCTTTTCAAATTAACTTTACTAGTGTTTTCTCATTTCAGGTTTTCAAATTGCCTATTAAAGAAATACATGTGTAAGGTTTTGTCTTTATTATTATAAAGACAAGCAGAAAGCGAAGCTCAAAACAAGGAGCTGATTTATATTTTTTTTGGGTGTTTTGTTCCATCTTAACCGCCAAAATTGCTACCATGCCAACAATCCGTAGGACTTTGAAGAATGTGGTGAAAAACTATTCGGACGCACAAGTTAAAGTGCGCGAGGCCACCTCAAATGACCCGTGGGGTCCCTCCAGTACATTAATGGGGGAGGTGGCTGATTTAACCTACAATGTTGTGGCATTCACGGAAATTATGCAGATGATATGGAAACGATTGAATGATGATGGCAAGAATTGGCGTCATGTTTATAAAGCGATGGTTTTATTAGATTACATTGTTAAAACGGGTAGCGAGAAGGTGGCTCAACAGTGTAAAGAAAACTTTCATGCAATAAAAACGCTGTCTAGTTTTCAATATATAGATGCTGATAATAAGGATCAAGGAATGAACGTAAGAGAGAAAGCCAAACAGCTTGTAGCACTCTTATCAGATGATGAAAGATTAAAAAATGAAAGAGCAAAAGCTCTCAAAGCTAAAGAAAGATTTGCACAGAACGCTATGGGTATAAGCAGCACAGGACAGGTAGGTATTTTCTGATGTAGAGAACTTTAGGCTGGTACATGTATGTATATCAAAAGATATATTATGTATAAAGTGGATTTAACGCCTAATTCCTTCTGTGTAGGTCGTGGAATTTTCTCAAAATCTGCTATAATGTCAGATCCGTATGGGCACGCTTTGCTAGACGATCACACATTATGAATTGACTTGAAAAACTCAAATCAAATCATTTTCTCAGGGTCCTCCAAGTTTCCTTACGTAGCTAAAGACTCCTACATGTACATGCTAGCGAATTATCGAAATAAAATTTAACCCTGTGTTACTCCCGAAATGACCTTAAATCCCATTTCTCTCTCATTTGTAGATCAGTCTTTGCTTTATTAAAGTACGAACAATGGACTGAAACTTCTGCATCTTTATATTTTTTATATAATTCAGTTTTTCTGGGAGGTCATTGTAAGTGAAATTGTATGACCTTAATTTTGACCCTTCTTTCTCTAGAAGCAAAGAGTTCAAAGCTTACCTTTTTATATAAAATGACATACATTGAGCAAACCATTGTGTAGGCCTAAAAATAGTAAAAGGTTGAACTTTAGCCTGAGAGCTGTTGTTATTTATGGTAAAAACTGATCAAGTCACACAATTCATGATACAGTTTATCACAATTGTACACAGGTCTACAATGGTTAGCATAGAAAGAGCTCACTTACTGGACCATCTAATAGAAGAGGTATAAATTTTACCTTACTGAATTAAGGTAATATTTTGATAAGAATAACATTTAAGGCATAAATTTAATAACATTTTACTCTATTTACAGACAAGTGGAGGAAGTCAGTTAGGAAGTCCCACATTATCTGGTGGGGCAGGTGGGTACTCTGATCCTTATGGTGGAGCGATTGCTATTGGACAGGATTTTGACAGTCAGTTTTATTAATAATTATTAACACCAATTTTATAATCTTTCTATCTTTACTTATTTGTAATTTTTTTTATTCTGGGTATATTTTGTTTTTTTGTGCACACAAAGCAAGAGATTATTAATTTACACCCTTACTAAAATATGTACTAATTCAGTAACTCCTTACATTACTTTATTACTGAGCTTTATTGATTTACGCATTCATTTAAATTTGTATGAAACATCAAGTTTTCAATGTATGTTATTGTAAAATTAAGTAGAGTGGTGCTGTATGGGCTGATCATTTGCTAGATCTAGACATTGAGGAATGTATCCAAGCACAAATATTACTGTGAAGATAGTATTACATTATTTGACTCAATACAGTACCTGATTGCATGATTATATTATGGAATTGCATTTTGAGTTTTGAATGTTCTTTCTTTATACTTCATTAATTGAAGGATTGACATGATTTCTACATGTACATTAGAAGAGGCATGGTTTTTACTTAGATAGAAAGAAATAGTAGGAAACAGAATATATTTGAAATACTTATATCAATGTAAATACTGTCACTGTCTCCACCACATGGATTGGAAATTGTGATGTTGCTGGTACCCGAAAACTACACATCAATTGGCTTTTATTAATCAAACACTGTATTTATATTTATACCCTATTCAAAGTAAAAGTTCCTGGATGAGAAGTCAATCTTGATAACAATTTTTATGTGTCCATATTAAACAGATTATATTGTTGGCACCTCAGTCACCCACTGTCCATGGCCACCTACATATATCTTTTATAAATATAATTCATGTGATTTTAAAATGTATCATAAGCCATACTGGTGTGAGTGGCAATATGTCTTTTATAGACCAGCCAGTATGGTAGTATCACCAAAACAAAACTGAAATTTATAATCCATATGGTGTAGAGAGTAGGAAATGGTTTAATATTATGTCATTTTACTGATACATATTGTATATTGAAGGTTCTCCATCTGATGGTGGTAGAAGAATGTCAACTGATGTAGCTCTAGCTAGACCCTCATCACTAGGTGAAGAAGAAATACAGTTACAGTTAGCACTAGCTATGAGTAAAGAAGAACATGATGAAGAAGTAAGAAAACAGAAAAGTGATGATATTAAATTACAGTTAGCTATAGATGAAAGTAAAAAACAACATGATGATGAGGTACTTAGTATATTTTATGTTGATATCACTCATGACTATAGTAAACTAGCTGCATATTTAAATTACATTATTTTTTTATTTTTTTTTTGGGGGGGGGGCTGTTTATAAATTGTTTACCTCCAGTTAGTAACCCTTACTACTTTGAAAGAAACAGAGTATCAGATTTTGTGTGTCCTCAGTTCAAAATAAAGATTATCTTCTGATGTGTGGATATAGGACAAGTACAAAACTATGGTAAAGACTTTTTACCAAGGACAGGGTACCCTCATGATTAGGGTTACTTACTCTACATGGGTCAGTAGCTCTGTGGCTTCTAGATGAAGAGTATTAGAAAACAAAGCATCAAACCCTAACCCTAATCCTGAGGGTACCCTGTCCTAGGTAAAAATTCTTTAACTAAAATACAAAATTCAGTAAATTCCTTTTATAAATGTATGCAGCTAATTTATTGTTTTTTGAGTTTATTTAGTAGAGAAAAGGAAGTGATATTTAGGTTGTTTTAGATTTTAGAATAGATTTATTAAAATTTAGAAACTGGTTGAAAGTACGAAATGAACTTCATATTGATAGTAATTGAATCCAAATTGTCTGTTTTGGTTGAAATTTCTACACATTAGATTAGTCTATTTTAATTTTTCAGTCTAATTTTATTATTGATTATTTTTTTGACATTTTCTTGTTAGAGAAAAAAGCTACAAGTAAGGGTTATATATTTGGATTTCTGTTTTTTCTCGCATGCTATTTACTTTATATAGTAATGCACCCTAGATGTCTTTAATTTTACCTCAACAGAAAATATCGTTCCAATTTATCGTGCTTAATATTTTATGATAGATAATAATCTTTTTGAATACAAGAGATGTCCTTGATTGTAATTAATAATATTCCCTTTTGATTAATTTCAAGTGCCTTTTGTGACACTTTTTTTCTATTTCTTGGTCTTAACTTAACTTGAACTACTTCAGTACTTTTTACTAATTTAAACTTCAGGCATGGTCCCTATTCAAGGATAAATCTACGTGACATTGCTGCTTTTTGTGTGCATTGCATAATAATGTTATGTCTAAACCTTTTCCCATATTTTAAATGTACCAAATTAGGCCATATAAAACAAATATTCTGGTTCTTAGATACGGCCACATCCCTTAAATCGGACACATGGTTCATTTTTATTTTAAACTAAAAACATTGTTAGTGGTTGTTGCACCTTCATATTTTCTGCCGTAAAGGGAGATAATTCTATTAAAATTTCCAGTTGAATTCTGAAGTGTACAGTACACAACCCTGACAAATGTTATTGACAATTTTATTATAAATGGCACTGAATGATCTTAAATTGACTACTTATTTTTGTAAAGATCTATTAGGTTAATGATTTTGTGGATGTTAATTATCCTGAGAAATGTATGTGGTAATGAGAAAGAAATAACCTAAGTTAAACTCCATGGCCAATGGAGATGTGAGATGTAAGGAGCAGTATCCACATAAGAAGTATTATACACAAGAAATAGTAATTGTGTACACAGCATGAATAAAGGATGACAGGATAAATGTAGATGTTTGTCATATAAGTTTAACAACATGATCTGTGACAAAATAAAAACAACAAAAAATAAATACCTTCCTCCAATATTCTATTTTTTGGAAGGATTCTTGGAGAACCAGAATATTAATTTTGTGTGGTCTTGCTAAAGGAATGTCAGTATTTACTGATGATTGGCTATTCCATAGTAAAACTGATGATAAATTAATACAAATTAAAGAAACTAAATAAATATTGTCCATTTCTGGTGACGAATATTGCAAAGTGAAATATATACATGTATAGCCTAAATAGCATTTACTACATGTACACTTTCAATTATAGATGACAATAAAACTTTTTACTATGTTTTCACTGCCGACTGTATATTTGAAAGTGATGTTACTAACAATACATATAGTTACTGTTGTAAACTAAGAACATTATGTTACAAATATGATGGAGAATGCAAGAAAGCGGGTCTCAGGATAATATGAAATGGACAATAGATGGTGTTCATTGTAAAGTTTTAAGTAGACTGTATTATTTTCCCATAACCCATTTTGTTGTCAACGCTTTTATCAGTATAAGTATACAGTAATATTATATTTTTTCCACATGTTAACCTAAATTCCATCTTCCTGCCATAATGGTTGAAATCTATTTTCTTCTCCATTAAATTATTTTTGTATAGAATAATAAATTAAACATTGATCTATTTTCATGGAAATATTTGATTAACTATTTTGTTGAAATTGCAAAGTACCTTGGGATCATTATGTAATCATTGGTACCTGTGACTTGTCTGACTGTTTTCTGTGTTCCTAACCCAAGTAATATTTGAGTTAGTTGACAAGTATCATATTGCTTGAAATATGACATGAGTCACAATACAGGGGCATATGATATAAATACATTAATTATTCTGCTGAAATGTTCATGCCACACTGTGCAACCCATGTTTCTGCAAAATAAGATCTCTATGCATTGGTGCTATAACTTGTCTGGCTGCAACATGAAACTTAGTAAAGTGTCAGATGATAAAGCTAATTGCATGATATATGCAGTTGATATACATGTAGATAAAGTAAAAAATGTGTGTTGACAAGGTTGATTAACAAGTTATTAGAAATGTGAAATGTACGTGGCTAATAATATGAGACATTACAACCAACTGCTTTGATGCATGTTTGGTGAGCTGTCTAAACTAATAATATTGTATACAAATATTTGGAATACAGAACAATGGAATAGTAAAATACTTGTCAGAATCAAACACACATGTATATTTACATGTAGATGATTATGTTAAGATTATTGTATGTTACTATCAATGAATGGGCAGCAGAAAGATCTTTACAATTAGGAGTATTGGATTTGAAAAGCTCATTTAAGAAACTGCCAATATTGGTCAAGTGTGTTTTTAGGGAAAAAAATAACAATCCTATTTCTATCGCTTTTGATTATATTAAAACTAATACCGGTAGTTTGAAAATTTTGTCTTCTTATTTCCAATTGATTATTTTCAGCCACCAACAGCCAATAATACAATATTGAACATGTCAGGGGGAGTAGCAGATCCATGGGGTGTTCCAGCTCAAAATTCACAACCTGCAGATCCATGGGGAGCACCGAAACCTCAACCAACCAATCAAGGTGTTGATGCTTGGGGTTCACCAGCTCGTGTTAAACCACCAGCAACATCAAGTGATCCATGGGGTGTATCAAGCCCATCTCCTGTTGTAAACCAATCTTCACCAGGTCAGTATCATTTAACAATCTGTTTGGTTATCCTTTTGGATACTACAAAATTGGTGTGGGGATCCCTATGTTAGTTTGTTTAAAGGACCTAAGTCCGTAACTCAAAATCCTCCAAAATCTTCGACATCGAAAACACGAATTATTGGTCAATTTAAATCAACATTGATGATGTAAACTTACCGGGAAAAGATGAGCCTCTGATATCCGATATTCAAGATAAAATATTTTTTTTTAACATTGGTACACGAATCGTGTACCATAATGCGCTTCAGCCCCAGTTGTATTGAGGGACGAGGCTAGACACATTGCACCAAATCAAATGGAGTTATGTAGACTAGAATAACTAGACGCTAGAAATTTGCACTCGATTGAGATTGCTGACTTATTTCGCCGAACATAACAGATTTGAAATTGGAGTAAAAACGGAAACCATTAAATGTAAATCAGTTTATATACATTCATATTACAGTATTATATGCGTTGCGACCCACTTTTGTGAATTTCTAGGTCCCAAATGTTAGCAATTTAGCTCCTTTAATAGAGATTGAAGCACTAACTGCCTAACAAAACAGCACACACAGTCCAAAATGTTGAAGGTTGTTGTAAGATCCTTTATAACCACAAAAAGCACAAATATAAGAATTAACCCAATGACAGGTGTTCTGGAAAGGGTAATGGTTGTCAAACAAAAAGGAAAAACAGGTGTACTTACATCACAAATTCAAACATTAAAATACCAGACATATCCCTGCTATTAATTTTTAATTTTTTTTTCGGGTCAGTAAAAACACACTTTGCAACATTTTAGTTTCTGAGCTTTGTATGTATGATTAGTAAAGGTGTGAGACAGGAAAAGGCTAGTCTTATTGAACCAGACTCAAAGTTTTTTTTTTATCTTCGAGTGGCTCAGTATTGAATGCAGACAGCCGGTTCATGCAGCATTTCATATCAAATTTAGGGAATTCATGAGTAATAATGGATGTAGCTGTGTTATAAGACCAAGAGTTTTGAGAGCAGACTTAGTGTCATTATTTCCAGTAATCTTCATTGAAATTATTGATTATTTGGTTTAAAGATTACCTTCTATTTGTTTTAGCTCCACAGATAGATCCATGGGGACTTCCCCCACAAGCCACAGCTAACCAGTCTGGTAATTTTGATGCATTTGGTACACCTAATGCTAATACAAACACACCTACAACTAATGGAACAAATAATATCGATGATGCATTTGATCTGCTGAGTGCTAGAAGTAATGAAAATTCCCCAGCTAAATCAAATGGTAATATGTTTTATTATTTAAAGTTTATTAGTCCGTGGCAGGGGGATTCGATTAATTTTACTGAATTACGGCCGTCTTTTAACTTAAAATCTATGAAAATTCTATTTTCCAGAAGTATTTGAGGGTATACTTTCAAATGTTGGATTGAAATTTGCCACACAGACGGATGTTTAGTAGACCTACAGATTAGTTCGCATTTTGTGGGGGATTCCGTTATTTCTAGACTGAATTTTTTGATTAAAATTTGGCACACTGCTGTTTATATTAGAGCTATAGATTTTATTTCATCTATGCTTATTTATTCACAGAAATGTATTCATGGTATAACCTGTTATGGATGCATGCATTGTAAAAATCGTAGAGGCTGCAATAGGGGACGTGTATGGCTTGTTATCTCATGGGTTTATTCACTGTTATTTCAATTTAAAAGTTCTGCATGACAGTGGAATCTGACATGTAACTATATATAAAATCTGGACTTTTTATTTGTTCAATGTGTTTTGTGTTCTAAAACAAAGTATTGTGAAAAACAAGATGAATATATGATTGCTGCCATTGCCTTATTGAATATATATCAGCACATAAATTCTATAATATCATTAAGTTTAGTAGTGCTGTTGGGTCCGGTGCTGGTTCACTTAAATGCCACTCTGTAGATAAACAAATAACCATACTGGTATACCGTGTGGTTAGATATCCATCTGATTAAAACACAGATCCAATTTCGTTTCGTTTTTTATAGTTCAAAATTTTGTTTTTACTTGTCTTTACTACACTTGGATCTGGAAGACTTGTTATTTAACTCATGTTCTGCTTGAAATGAGGGGTCAGCCAATCAAATGGTCTGTCGACCCGAGCGTTTTGACCTTTTTTGCGCGGAACTGTGGGTAGACATTACCAGCGATAGAAATCAAAACAAAGCAAAAGTAGATTTAAAAAAGCATGGCGGTCGCTAATTGGTTAATCGAATGACTGACGTTATCGTGTCAAATGTCACTTGCTTTGTACCTGACGTCATAGAATGTGAACTCCCACTATAACTTGTTAGATCTACATGAAGTGTAGGCTATCGAAAGTATAAAAAACGAAATGAAATATAGATCTATATTTTAATTAGATTGGGTTAGATATATAAGGTTTTCTAAACCATAATTACGGACTGTTGTTACCAAGTCTTCTGTCTGGTTGACACTGACTATTTTCTAAAGATCAGTGAATATATTTTGTAATATCCCAGTCAAACTAATCTTTGTGCAATTAATTTCATTATATATTTCCAGCTCAAACAGAAAATAATTCTAAAGATTTATGGGATTTAACTGGTATGAATTCAAGTATTGATCAAGCAACAACTAACGCTAGAAAAACACCTCAAGACTTTTTAGGAGCAAATGCTGCTCTCGTTAATTTAGATGAGTTGGTTGCTAAAAATCCACCAAAAGGTCTGTTTTACTGATGTAGTCAATTCATATTTACAGTTATTCTAATAAGAACAGGGCAATCTCACAGAAATTATCACAAACTTGAAGGATAAAAATGTTTTGGGTTCCAAGAACATGTTTACAGCTTAAATGAACACTTTAATTGTGGATTTTCAGACAAGATATTCTGTATAAAATTAAAAAAGTCTCTTTTTGTATTAGCACTACCAGATAGATATTCTCAAGGAAAAAAACCCCTAGAATCCCAACAGGCCAGAATAAAAGTTCAATAATAGAGTTTAGGACCACACTTTTATTTTAAAACATTCTGGTCCAGAAATTATTCAGATAGAATAATTCTAAACAAAGTTTGGCCATTTAAAATTTACATTGATTTCACAGTGATATCTTAAAAATCTGCCCTATTCTACATGAAGGTTATTATGCTCAGAAGTGCTCAATAATAGTCCAGACATTAGAATAGTGCATATTTTTTACTTCAAAAAGTATATATGAACTATCTGGCTTGTTGTGCAACACAAAGCGTCATTTGTTGCATTTGGATTATTTTCCACACAAACTAGACCCATTATAAATTTGTCACTAAAAGCTCCTTTTTTATTATAAACTTGCTGTTCCCACACTGTAAAAATAATCTTCTCCTTTTTCCAGGTAATAACCCATTTGCTAGCAGTGGCCAAATGAACAATCCCTTTGAAGGTTCTGCTCCTCGCGTTCCTATGAACCAGCTTCAAAACACCACACCTGGCTTCACTTCTGTTAATACTGGATTACCTACCCCTCTTTTACCTTATAATAATACCCAACCCCCTATACAACAACAAGGCTATAATCCCTTTTTATGAGTGTTGGACAGAGATGCCTCCAGAATATTTAGCATGGGGACTATTTGGTTTATTAATACCTAGAGAGCTATATATATCCTAGGAATGGAGACTTCTGAGATCTGAGATATATTATAGACTGTTCACACCATCTTCACATGATGTATGTATTTCACACAGAGAAATTTCCATTATGCTTGATATGAAAATGAGCCGATACTTCTTAGAAAGACTGAGAGATATGTATGCTAGTGGTCTAACAAGATGATATATCAACAGGGTTACAATATCATATCTATGTCATACAACAGGTAATAGTACGTCAACAAAACAAGCCAATTTGTGATCAACAAGGATGTTTCGTTTACGAGGAATATGTTTTATATTTACACATAGTGAGGTTCATATATCCTAGAAGTTGGTGTGAAGTACTGATCAAATTGTACATTTATTACTAGTTTATATATATTTTATACAGCTGATATCTTTATCTAATTGTACAAAGTGCGGAAGACAGAGAATCGTAACTGTCCGGTTTTTAACTGTATAATAAATGAGGAGACGTGTAATTCAGGAGAATATTTTGTAATGTTTATAAGATACAGATTTATGAACCATCTACAGATTGAGAACTGTATATCTAGATCTGAACTATGTATCTTGTGTGATAATAATATGACAATTCTAAGAAGAATTTCAACTGCTGTTCATGTAGTGTAAATTAGTACAAATCTTATTGAACTACAACCAATATAAAACATTTATTAAGATGACTGCTCTATGTAGTGTCTGCTACATCTCCAGTATTTATATCATTAAACAGTCATGAACATCTATCCGCAAAACAAATATCATGTCTAGATTGAATTGGGCGCTAGTGGGTTCTATCTATTGAAAATTTTCCAATTATTGCATTGATTTCCATTATTTTATTACTACATTATCTTACAGGCAGGTGTTAGTATTTTAAAGGCCAGGTAGGAACAACTATAATATTACTAATAACTATTATTATTACAGCAATAAACTATATGTGTAGATTTTCTGCTACCGGTCAAATTGGTGTTCGTCCATGATGAAATTACTATATCCTAAATAGGTTAAAATCACAAAAAGTTATGTTATTTATCTAGAAGAAAGGAATGGGTTGGGTTTCATTGCCTTATGATTTAAATCCTGTTTCTGGAAATAACGATGTCTGAATCCTTCCTGATGATGATGTGATTACTCATCACAATTGAAAGATGAAATTTTAACCAGATCAAAATCTGTATAGTTTATAATGAATAACATGCTGTTGGTGTATTCAAAACACCTGTTCTTCATGTCATTTTATTTAATTTCTAGACTAGTAACTTGATTTTACCCATTCTGGTTTCTCCAGACTCAAAAAGCTCAAACATATTGAAGGAGCTGTCCCAGATTTCACAAAAATGTGCAAACAAAATGCCAGGATGTGAAGAAATAGCCTGTGAACATTATATAAAGTTTCAACTTAAAATATTGAGCTGTTCAGAAAAAATCCTAAACTTGCTGAACAGGTTTACATATCCAAGTTAGAGAATTTCATTGTTTAAATGTATGAGTGACTTGGTATTCACGACAAGCGTGTGGCCAACCCCACCTGGAAACTGAAAGATTGTATTTCTTCCAAAACGTATTACTGAGCTTGAGACATTTACACAGGATAAAAGAGAACAGGGTTTTGAATACATGCAGTGTGTGCCTATATTGTTCCAGTCGGAATCTGACAACTCTTAATTTATTAATACTGATTGTTTGGGTGAATGTATCGAGTGTTCTGGGTCACAAATGAAATGTAAATAATGGCTGAATGTATAAGCATGTAATTGCTTTTTATTTTTACATTGAATTCTATGTTATACATGTCTTTAAATGTAATAATGCATGCATGCTGTCAAGACATTTTTTTATCAAAATTATTAATATGGCTGCTGTAATATATACAAGCCCAGTGTTTGCTCTTGAAACATCAATTTAACAATTTGCTTGTGTCCATTGTCATTTGTCAAGTTTTACATTTACATTAAACTATGTGTCATTTATTGATGAATGTATAATCCTTCATTAATATCATCAGTTTCAGGTCTATTGTGTCTCTCGGTTTAAAACTTAAGTTCATTTTGAAAAGCTGTTCTCACAAAAGTTGATGTCTTTAGAAAAATACCATTGTGTGTTTTTGCTGATCAGAGAATAGTTGTACATCTGAAGATTGTTCATGCACAGCATTCTATTGAAGAAATGTTATCCGACTAAAGCAGAAGCACATAGAAGGAGAAATTTGAGTTTTGATATATTTTTAAAATACTTGCTTTGATAGGATTGAATTCTTTTTCTCTACCAACAAATATATGAATTAAGACCATTGTTACACAAAAAATAAAGCAAATGAATCTGAGGCAAATGCTTTATTGAACTTCACACAGGTTCTTATAATGTTATTGCAGATGTCTACTACAAACAATATGCCTTTTAAACATGACCATTGTATAAATTTTTACAACGTGTGGCCTTAAGCTGTTGACATGTATTTTAAGTTAATTAGAAAATGTAACTGTGTTTGTCTTAATTGTATTATTTTATGATAAAATAAGCAATAGTCTATTATATACAACAGATAGTAGTGACTAATCACTTGGTTTTGTTTAAAGATCTAAACTAGTGTCAATCAAAAAGTATTCTTAAGAGCATTTAAATATTAAAATACATTATTATTTCCAAGTATTATTTTATAAAATGTATTGAAGGGTAGGTCACACTAAACTATTATCATCACTGGTTTTTGACTCAATTCAACTCTTGAAGTCAAGGATATATTTTTAAAAAAAGGAATTTCCTAAGAGACAACTAATACTATAGAATAAATCATGATTCTAGTTTTAATAATCCTAAAGAAATACATATATATATCATTTTATAGCCTATATCAATGTATTTATTATTATACTGTTATTTAAGTTATATATTAATCATAGGTTATATTTCAATTTCTCAGTACATCATATAAGTTTTGAAAACATTTGGTATAAATATATATTTTAATGTTATCTCAGTTGATATTTTAAATGTTAGTCATGTCAAAGACCAAGTTGATTTATTTAATGCTCATTTGTTTTCACCATAAACTGTTAATTATGAAATTAATTTATTATATTATTTGCATGAGTTCTATTAAGATTTATATGATATATATTGTTCTTGTCTAACAGAGCTTTTTACTTCAATGACTGTGTATTTGTGGAACTTCAATTGATAGATGTACTATGTTTTCAACACCATCAAATAAAACTGAAATTAAAACTATGATATCCAAGGTGTTATCAACAGTAATTTACATCATTGGTAGGGTGGTCCATGTTAAAATTAAAAACTGGTCTAAATCATGATGTCATAATTATTAAATAGTTAATCAACCACACTTTCAGATATAAATCCATAATTACTACTCATGACTAGAGATATACCCATAATAATCTCCCAAATATTTAGCTAGCTATGCCTCCATCATAGCCCTTAATCTCTTCTAGTGGTGGAGCCTAAACAAAACTCTGTCAACCAGTCTACTGTTACAATGTAATATATTGAAAAATTACATGAAACTTGAGTTTTAGGACTGATTATTGACCCCCTCCCAGAAAATTATAAAAAAATATGTTATAGTACATGGACTTGAGCTAACAAATCCAAAATTTTATCTCTCTAGGTTGGAAACTCACTGAGATATGGCCAATTGAAAGTAGGGTACTGAAACGGATCATAAATTCAGTAATTTTTTTCAGGTTTTCGGATGCGTTAAACTCACATTTATAATTGGAGTAGAATTCTAACTTTGTTATCTAAGACAAGTTTTGATGTAGATTATGAATTTAGCATCACCCGCAATGTGTGATTCACACAGTTCGTGCCACCAGGTGGCAAAATGTGGAACACAATAAATAAACTATTCACTTTTTTTCCAGGATTTCCACAGCCACTATTGTATACACAACCTCCACAATTGGCATAGTTAATGTCAGTTTGTCTTTCATCAATTTACAACAGATATCGATGGGATATATACTTTTCCAAATATTCAGTCTCGATATTCAATGCACACTGAAAACGTACAAAATATACCCATTTTCACCGTCAATTTTGGCCATGTGGAAGAGAGGTTAAAATTCTGAAAAAGTTCGATAATGAAACTTGAATTATTCAACTATAACATACATTAAAGTCCATCTTGTGTATTTGATGCCTTATATTTTTAATTGGCACATGAAATATGTGCAGTAATGAAGTTTTAAGGGCTGTTATAAAAAATGTTGACATTATACGTTGATTTTAAAATAACTTCTAAATGACCTATACTCCTCAAACGTGTATATTTTGAGTGACTGAGTGGGTTTTAATGATCAGATTAAAATTATTTCGGAAAGACTTAGGCCCCTGAAATTTTGCGTAGATTACAAATATGTAATCTTTTTGGATGCCTTTAGTTTCACCTGGCAAATAACATCTTGAAAATAAGTTAACTGTCCCCTGCCTTTCGAAGAAAGCAGGGGCGGGGGGGCACTATTAAAATGGGTTCGTCCATCTGTCTGTCCTTCACACTTTCAGGGACACAATAACTCTCCTAATTGAGCTAGAATGTGCAAATTTGGTGTATGTGTTTATTAGGTCGATACCTCGATGGAGTTCGAAGATGACCATTTTCTGCTTAGGGTAAGCAGAGATAAGCAATTTGATTGGTTGATGCTTTGGTACACAATAACTTTAGTTCTAATTAAGTGAAAGTGATGAAATTTGTTGTATAGTTTCATTATGTCAATACCTTAATTAAGTTTGATAATGAACATTTTCTGCTCAGGGTTAACAGAGCGATAAGCAATTTGTTTGGTCAAGACTTTCGAACACGATAACTTTAGTTCTAATTAAGTGAGAGTTAAGGTCCGTTCATACTACATCCGTATCTGTAAATACGTGCGTGAATACGTACTGGTATACTTTAATCATTTTTAGAGAAAGGGTTCAAATAGAATCCGGCACGTATTGCGCACAAAAACAACTGCGTCCGTTAAGCCGGATTGATTGCTCCCAGAGTGTATTTTTGTAAAGTGCGTCCGGCATTTCGGCTGTGAGCCGAGATTTAGCCAATCAGCGAGTACTTTCTCCTTATTACATCATCTCTCAAAAAAGAAAATCAATCTCTGACAGACATTTCAGCCTTGAAAGCCGGACGTTTTCTATTTGAACAGCAAAACGCGGATACGGATGTAGTATGAACAGAGCTTAATGAAACTTGATGTATAGTTTCATCACATCAATACCTTGATATAGTATCATCTTGAAACACGGAGGATCATCCTACCTTCATGTATTTCCAGAGCTCTGATATAGGGTTTGCATAACCACTCGACAAACTAGGTTATTTCTGTAGTAACCTATTTCAATAAATTGCTAGCGCATATTTGTCTTTAGCAGTGGGAGGACCCGGAGAAAACCCATGACTTAACTAAAAGATTGTTGTTACAAGAGAAATTGGCAAAAATAAATACATGCCCAATGATAAATTTTGATTGACAGAAATTCATTATATTACTGATACAGGGCCCTTATTATTTACTTGCTTTCATCCTGAATAAGTTAACCAAAAGATTGCAGAAACAAAAAACAAAAATCTTACCATTGATATCATTCTGTGATATGGTCAGGGTAAATTGGAATTTCTGTCATCTTTGAGTATTCCCAAAATAAACTACTTGTTCTGTTTAAAAATATTTTATTGCAAACTTTTCAACCAATGCTAAATACAAAATGAACAAGCTAGCTGTATATTTCAACTTATGTAATAATAGTAAAAAACCAATTCATGTAATAATAGTACAAAACCAATTTTAAATCCAGAAAAAAAAAATTAAACATTAACTATAAACATAAATGTATACATAACAAGTCTTTAACAAAGTTCTTTTTTCAAATTTCTACTTCCGTTAAATAATTAAGAAATGAGAAATTTTCAACATTGAACAGATGATAATACATAGATGAGCTGAAAGAATGAAGAATCCCACTTTTCTTGTACATGGGTTTAAAGTTGTTATTTTGAGTACTGAGCTGTCAAATTTCAACAACTTAATTATGTGCGAGACATTGCATAATATACTGATGTTGCATAAAGACATTAGCCCATATGTTTTATCACAATATTATGCAATCTCTCACTCAACTTGAAATACAGACCTACTATCACACATGTGAATTTCTATGAAATCATCACACGGGTCCAATATTTTCTGCCATCTGATGTAAACAATGTATGGTTGGGACAGCATCTGTACCATTAATTGAATGAATGCCCTCACCACACCAGTAAATTAAACAACTTTAAGTACTGTCAACTGTACTCATACATATCCCTCTGTCTGAATTCTAAAATCTTAGATATCATTTATGGACCAATTGCTTTCATTAAACTGTTTAATTATTTAACGATTTCATAAAATTATCCAAATTATATTCTGTATCATATTGTGGTTCTTCCCACAAGCCTTCCAAGCTCTGTAGAATGGCTTTCATACTTTCTTTCTTGGGGGGTTCATCAGTAGATTTGGAGGGTGCTGCACTTTCTCCCTTTTTAGTATCATCCAATGAGAAGAGATCTAACAACTGATCTGTACCCATTGTTTGAAGGCTAGAGTTGTCTTGAGTAATGACAGTGTTTGCAATAGTTAGTTTAAATTTTTGGAGACTGAAACAAAATAAAAATTGCAATTATAATCAATACATTTTATTGACCTCCTTGATATTATCCACATTTCTTATACTGTTGCAATCTGGCATTAAGAGGATGTTACAAGATGTTTAATATCTTGAAATACTAGTTTTAATTTTGAGCTCAACAACCCGAAAATGTACATGAAATGAAATGGGCTTTATCGTCATGCAGTGTACTATAAGGAAAATTTTCCCGGACACCAGGAACTGTTCTTTTACATGCGTGCCAACATTCTTACCAGGTCATTCATCTTGTACCACTGAAAATGGGGAACCACAGCCGAAAATGCCAGGACCTTCCAGTTTGGGAGCTACCATGGCTCCCCAAAAACTACATATACATCGTAATAAGTTATTTACTTGAAACATGGGTTAACCAATTCAAACATCTCAATGACCGAATAAATAAAATTACAATGGATTTGGACAATATACATACCCCATAATTTTTTCTTCCAATGTTCCTCTGGTAACAAGTCTATAAACATTCACGACTTTCTTCTGACCTATTCTATGAGCACGATCCATAGCCTAAAATAAGACAATAAATAAACTAAAACAATTCTTATTTTGGTAACATAATTCTGTATTTCTTTTACTCAATGGTTCCACATATTTCATATCTCAATCACATCATCTATCAATGATCAATTACATTGAAAATAAAATACTACAGCTAGTTAATGATGCATGATTTAGAGAAAGAGATGGCTGTTCTTGCTAAAATAGTTCAAAAATAGATAATGATTTCAGTTAAATTACTTTATTCTGAGAGAACTCATGAATGTTTGAAGTTTTGACAAGAAATAGACATGATTGGCAGATGGAAACTCATTCATATTCTTGACTGGTAAGTACCATTGCCATGATTATTAATGAAGTCTCGATTGTCAGTCTATTCATCAGTCATATAATCGTTTTATACATTAATTGTTGGCATTGTGTAATCCACGCAATATCTAAGCCATCCAATGGTCTAGGGAGTTGATTATATGTTTGTCATGTGAATAAAATTGGAAATAATAATATATATAACATTTGATGCCAGAAACACACCCGGCAATAGGCAAGTTTAGCTCTTACATAAGGCTTCACGAACAGTTTCTTATTCTTGTTTTTACGCGAAATAATATCAACTCTTTTCAGCTCGTGTGATTTAAAATAAAATTAATAATAAGAGGAGAAATACAGGAGATGTATTATCATGTAAACACTTTACCTGTAGATCTTTCATAGGATTCCAGTCATGTTCTACAAATATCACAGTATCTGCTCCTGTTAGATTTAAACCTAAACCTCCGACATGTGTTGTTAATAATAATAAATCTATTGATGGATCATTGTTAAACCTGCAAATATCATACAAACATTTACACAAAAATACAATTAACAATTATAAATTATTTCAGCAGCCTTTAGTATTGAACTGGAAATACACACATCACAATATAATAAACAGTAATTGTATTCCATAGAATTGTGACCTGTTTAAGCACAAGAGTCTGACCTTCTATCCGTATATATATGCATACACCATGTCCAACCAGACAATATATAATAAAAAAGAACAGGAATGCAATGCCTGTTGAAGACTCGATTTTACCTGCTCTCGCTTCGGCACGTTTTTTTTTTCAACAATTTGTAATGTCAGGCAATCAAACCTCTGTCGATTCACTCAGATCTGTTTTTTCTTCAATCTAGTCGTTTTGATTTGCATAAATACTCCCACAAAACGATATCATAGCCACTTGTTTCCAATATTTACATTACTTTCGTCCGTTTCCATTTTGTCACGGCCGCCATGCACTGACATCATACAAAATCAATCCACGGTGAGTAGACCATTGAAACAAGTGCCAAAGATATTTTTAGTTTTTCTCTCCCTTTCCATTTTCCCCCTTTTGCATGGCGATTTTTGTTGACTTTTGGGTGTAGAATCGAAGAAGAGCGTTTGGTGAATATTCATCATTTTGAGGCGGAAGTATGCAAGACTTCAGAGGTTGGTTAGCTTTTTGTGTGATGTCGGCGCATGGCGGCCGTGACAAAATGGAAACGGATGAAAGTAATGTAAATATTGGAAACAAGTGGCTATGATATCGTTTTGTGGGAGTATTTATGCAAATCAAAACGACTAGATTGAAGAAAAAACATATGTGAGTGAATCGACAGAGGTTTGATTGCCTGACATTACGAATTGTTGAAAAAAAAAACGAGCCGAAGCGGGAGCAGGTAAAATCGAGTCTTCAACAGGCATTGCATTCCTGTTCTTTTTGTCCCCCGCCTTTCGAAGAAAGCAGGGGACTATTAAAATGGGTTCGTCCGTCTGTCTGTCCGTCCGTCTGTCTGTCTGTCCGTCTGTCTGTCCGTCACACTTTTTGGGACACAATAACTCTCTTCCTAATTGAGCTAGAATGTTCAAACTTGGTGTATGTGTTTATTAGGTCAATGCCTTGATGGAGTTCGAAGATGAGCATTTTCCGCTTAGGGTAAGCAGAGATAAGCAATTTGATTGGTTGATGCTTTGGGACACGATAACTCTCTTCCTAATTGGGCTAGAATGTTCAAACTTGGTGTATGTGTTGATTAGGTCAATGCCTTGATGGAGTTCGAAGATGAGCATTTTCCGCTTAGGGTAAGCAGAGATAAGCAATTTGATTGGTTGATGCTTTGGGACACGATAACTTTTAATTGAGCTAGAATGTTCAAACTTGGTGTATGTGTTTATTAGGTCAATGCCTTGATGGAGTTCGAAGATGAGCATTTTCCGCTTAGGGTAAGCAGAGATAAGCAATTTGATTGGTTGATACTTTGGGGCACGATAACTCTCTTCCTAATTGAGCTAGAATGTTCAAACTTGGTGTATGTGTTGATTAGGTCAATGCCTTGATGGAGTTCGAAGATGAGCATTTTCCGCTTAGGGTAAGCAGAGATAAGCAATTTGATTGGTTGAACTGTTTGATTGTTCAATACTTTGTAAAAGATAATTTGTGATAAATTTATATGTGTCCTCTAATTATTTTCCTATTTCGGCGGGGGACATCAGCCTCACTGTTGGCTTGTTTTATTGTATATTGTCTGGTTGGACATGGTGTATGCATATATATATATATATATATATATACGGATAGAAGGTCAGACTCCTGTGGTTTAAGTACAACTCAGGGGACACTTTCAGCTGGCCCCCGAATACATTCACTTGATTTGATATTTGTTGTTTATTTCTTGCAATGTTCGTTTAGTTTATCTTATTGCTTTGGTTTTGTATGTAATTCGGTCTTCCTACACTTATTATTGTAGTTATTAATAGATTGTAGGGGAAAGTAAACATTTGACCAGTAAAAAAAGCTGAATTGGAGAGTGTGTACATACAAAAAAAATACAATTTAGTTTTACTGGAACTTTAAATTATTCATCGCTTTTCAGAGGAAAATATGCAAATTTAAAAACAGTATTCCTGTTTTCCATTAACATATTTTGTCAATACAAAATGTGATGCTCTAGTATTTATGCCACTAGCATAGTTACAAATTTGGATAAAAACTGAGTTGTTCTTATGTCCGATTGCTGAAACTCTTAACCTCATCTATATATAGAGAGATATGGATATGGTTAAATGTTATGTGTAATTAAGAGGATATGGTTAAATGTTGTGTAATTAAGAGGATATGGTTAAATGTCATGTGTAATAAAGAGGATATGGTTAAATGTCATGTGTAATAAAGAGGATATGGTTAAATGTTATGTGTAATTAAGAGGATATGGTTAAATGTTGTGTAATTAAGAGGATATGGTTAAATGTCATGTATAATAAAAAAGAATACAGTTAAATGTAATGTGTAATAGGATATTTACCTGTGAACTATATCATGTCTAGAACCAGCTGGCACACTACCATCTAATCTTAAATACATCACAGACGGCATCTGATTTCTGTCGATATAAAACAATATATTAAAAAAAATGTTCAGATAGATATCACTGAATATCATACATTTATTTTATCTCCCTATACTAGTCTCATTTTTTAACAGCATCAAGGTTCAAATCATGCAAAAAGCTGAGGACAAAATCTGTTTTCACCACCATTTATCCATAAAGCTAAGCCTGTTCTGAAAATCCCTTCAGAATACATTGAATATTGTTTATATTTAAAACAGGGCAACAGCAAGGCTGATATTCAATCTCAAATTAAATAGATGACACTGACTGGTGTTATTAAACTATACACTCAATTAGAAGCTGTATTATCAGGTTCCAATAGTTTTCAACGTGCACTGAACGCAAACCATAGTTCTAATGTCCCCAACATTGTATTAAGCAATCTTTTAGAGGCATTTAGTAACTGGATAGAGCAATACACAATAACACATACTCATGGAAGAACATTTCCTCATTTATTTGGGCAACGTTTCGAAGAGTATTCTCTCTTGAGAATGTTGAGAGAATATTCTTATAAACGTCCCTAAAAGGATCAGTAATTGTTCTTCCATAAGTATGTGTTATAGTTTATTGTATTAAGTATTTAGTAGAGTTTAGGTGAAGTACTCACTTGAGTAAATCATGTTCTACTATATTTAACATACTCTTTAACTGACAGAATAGTAGAACACGATGTTGATTAACAACAGGAACATCTGTACCCAGAACATTACCTCCACCTACAGACGTTGTACTAACACCAATCCCACAATCATTTAATAATTGTCTGAAATATAGAAAAAAAAAACAATAATCACTGTCTCAAAAATAGCAGAAATAAAACAATCATTTAACATTTGAGAGTTTTTTGTAGGCCTATATATGTCCAATTTAAAATGATTTTATATACAGAGAGACTGATTGTTACAGTTCAGTTCCCATTTGGATGGTACCTGCACATACCTGTGTGTCTAGTTACTTGGACAGTAAAAAATCTAAGAGTGCAGTGGCATCAAGGTGCTTAAAGAAGGCCCGAGGCTGATGGAAACAGAGGAAGACCTTCAAATAACTATTCATCAAACTACTTTGGGCTTATGTATCATCTATTCATCTGTAATCGTTCCATAGCATGAAATCTATATCCATGGAGGACCTGCACATTTGATTTTAGAAAAGTTCTTCTGCCCTCTGCTCTTAAAAACATCTCGGCTTTCAAATGCTAAATGATGTACACATCAAATAACCTTTGATAGTTGGAATTTGATGCAGAGTTGCAAAGACAAATTGTATGGCATTAGATAGATAAAAGTTAAACTTACTTTAAAGCTGTTAATTTAGGAGCATGTTGTATATCGTGTAGTGATGTTTTATCCTGTTTTAATTTATTCATAATCAGATCATATTTGGGATGACTGGATGTTAGGACTAATGATGGATGATTACAAACTTTACGTAGATATTGCAATGCCTGAAGATACAAGAAATTAACACGATAATTAATACTGGACAAATTTTGATACGGCCTTTCAGTGTGCTTATTTGATTCACTGACAGAAGTCAACAAGAATTCAATACAAACATGGCTCATCAGTTAGACTTAGCAGTATTCAACTAAAAAAGAACACTGAATTGTGATGCACCAAATTCTACTGAAAATCAATTTTTGTTTACAGATATGTTATCACTTTCTTGTGTTATTAATAAATAACAATATACCTGGAATATGTGAGTAGGTGCCTGACTTTTCTTCTCTTTTCCATCTTGAGAAGTAACTGTTTCATCTATATCATTTCTAGCACGAGATCTTGCAAAATCTTCATACAGTTCAACCTGGAATCAAATGAAAAGAATACAACAAAATAACACAAAATCAGAGATACAGTTTTCAAACTGAAGAAATGTTATTTTATATCAATCTGACTTTTAAGGTGTCAAAACTTGGATAAATTGAGACATGTATGTACTCTACACATGCCTGTGGTGGACTCAGATGACAATTATATAATCTTGTGTAATGTTACCTGTAGTGGACTTAGTTCACAATAATAGCCTTATGTAATTTTACCTGTAGTGGACTTAGATCACAATAATAATCTTGTATAATTTTGGGTGGTAAATCTTGTAAAACATCTTCTTTTAACCTACGCAGCACAAATGGTAAAACTTGTCTATGTAAAGCTTCCATAGCTAAGGCACCTGAAATATAACAACATATTTTAGCGGTATCACAATACATAACATACAATAGAATGAAGCTGAATTTTGCTTTATTGTTGATGTTAATGTTTATGGATTATGTATGTCATAAGAGAGAGAGAGAGAGAGAGAGAGAGGGTTTAACATCCACTTGACACAAACTAGGTCATTTCGGGACTAACATATGGTTCAATTTTATTTCAATAATTAGCTTACGCACAAGGGTCTTTAGCAGTGGGAGGAAACCAGAGGACCTGGAGAAAACCCACAAGATTGGACAGGCTACCCCATTCCTTGTCATGTACAACCGGGGAATTGAAGCCATGCCAGTTGACTCAATGACAGACCTTATGATACAACACACACAATGTCATGTAATGAGTTATAGTGGATATTATTTTAACATAAGCATATATGACCAACAGGATATTGAAATCTTGAATGCTAGGAAGTTTCGAAAAGAGAAATGGGGTAAATGGAGGGGTCAGGCTCCAACTTTTTGTCTTCAATTATATTATCTTACCAGCTTCCTGATCTTTTGTTGTACTTTTAGCATCTCGACTCTGTATGATAGGTTTACCATAACGAGCTTGGAATTGTTTCTCAGTGCCAAGAAATCCTGGCATCAAGAAGTCAAATAGAGACCACAGATCTAAGACATTGTTCTGTATGGGAGTTCCTGATAATATTAATCTATGATTACAGGTCAACTGTTTCACAGCTCTCGATAACTGAAAGAAACAAGTGCTTTTTTCAGCAATTCAACAGTACTAATAATAACATACTATACATTTTCTCTCTGTAATTTTAAATTCATTATTCTCATTCATGTTTTTAAGAGTTTAAATCAATTTCATTAGACAAAAGTATTTCTTCTCAAAATATCATTGCATTATAACTTAATTTCTACCCACCAAAAACTATGAAATTGGACAATCGTTTATTAATTTACTTGGTTATCATACCTTTGTTTTACCATTTCTTATGATATGTCCTTCATCAAGTATACAATAGTTCCAATTAAAGGTTGTAAAAAAATCGATATCATTTCTAACAACATCATATGAGGCAACAATTAAATTGTGCTTCTTCACTTTCTTCTGTAACCTACACAAAATAAATTAGTTAAAGAATACATCTTATATTTGCATTAATTGTCAATGTTAAAATAAAACTTGCAAATTTTAAGCAAAGTCAATTTTTTTTTAATTAAAGAAGTTAATTCACTTCACAAATAAAATAACTTGTTTTTATAATGAAGTATGAGTCTACACAATATGAAATAATTTGTTGTCATTAATCAGCCTTTATTCACTCTTAGTGTAAACAAACCTTATTTTGGTTTCCAACTAATTTAAGAATCAAGCGTTTTCAGACATTTTATTTGAGAAATCTGTGAGCTTGTAGACTGAATAAGTTTATATATGATCACATAGTATGTGGTTTCTTTTTATTAATTAATAACAATATTACTAATTTAAATCCTTTAAAGACTGAAACAAATATGGACTAAATGAGATTATGTCATAAATTGATATCACATGCATCATTTTAAAATTATTTCTAAAACTCACCTGATTCGCTCACCAGGAGGACCAGCATACATTAGTGGATTTAAAAAATTTGCATCAACAAATTTGTTAATTTCATAAACCCAATGACCAACTAATGTAGGTGGACATACTACTATAGATGGTAGTGGAACAGTGTCGGGACTTTCTTTTTCCTTGAAAATAAATAAAATACAATTAACGAAATATGAAATGAAATGAAATGAAATGGAGTTTAACGTCCTACTGTTCTGCTCCTAAGCTGGGCTAATGAAGACGGGCATACGCCATACAGTGTGCTATGAGGGAAATTTTGCCCGGACAGCGGCACTACGGCCTACTCTTATATCGAATTCCAACTGCCAAGGGATCTTTTACGTGCACGCCAATGTGTACACGGGACCTCGGTTTTTCGTCCCATCCGAACGACTAGACAGCTTTCCTTGTCAGCCCCTCCGTCCTGCATCACTGACAAGGGAGAACCACGCCGGAAAATCTGGATGAACTTTCTCGGCCAATGCAGGGATCGAACACCCGACCTCCAGGCTAGCGAGCTAGCGTCTTACCCACTTAGCCACGTGATCCCCATTAACAAAATAAAACATAATGTCAATTATAGTCACATGTTATAAAGGAAACTTTTTCACATGTTAAAAAGATAGGTTACCAGGCAACAAAACATACACCCAAAGCAGCTAAGTCGTCCGGGCAGTCAACAAGGGTTGTCACATACTTTTGTCAGTAATGAAAACATTTACAACACAATAAAATCTGAGTACAAGTAATAACCCATTAAGTAATTATCAGAAATCAAAAGAATTTGTTTTGTTTCTAGTTCTACCCTATAGTAAACAAAAACATTCATTATCAAGGGCCATAAATCTGGAAGTAATTGTCAGAAATTGTTGAAAATCAATAGGTCTTTTCGTCTAATGTTCTCAAAAACACTGTGCATAAAGCTAAGTTTTTTGGATATTAACTCTAGCCTCTAGAGCGTCCACAAGATTCTTCAAAGTGATAAAGGGCCATAACTCTGCAGTATTATAGGATAATTGGCCTGTCAAGTTACACAGTCTAGTTGTTAGGATGGGACAAAAAAAACCTGAGATTATGCGTACACAGTGGCATACACGTAAACGAAACCTTGAGAGTTGGAATTTGATCAAGAGTATGCAGAATTGCTGCTGTCCTTGCAAAACTTCTGCTAATAGCACACTGCACAGCATATGCCCACATTCATTAGCCTAGCTGATGCAGAACAGTTGGATGTTAAAATCTGAAAAGATTTACCATTGTTATATTTAATGTAGACCCCACAATGTGAACAGCCAAAACTTAATGCGGCTTTAATTATATTGAAACCTCATCCACAGATCTATCTATACATCTACTGATCTATCTATAAATTACTGATCCATTTGAGAAGACACAGAATAAAAATAAATGGAACTAACCTTATGTTTTGTGTCACGGTGATAATGATCTGTAGCTAGTATACATATAGATTGTAGTGTTTTGCCTAAACCCATATCATCACATAATATACCATGTAATTTATATTTATTTAGAAAACCTAACCAATTAACACCATCCTGAAACAATCCAAAAAATAAACAGTCAACTTCCTTAATTTCATAAAGTTAAATAGTGAAATATTCCAAATATAAGAGATAAATACTTCATATCATGGTAAAACCCAGACCATTGCAGGATATCTTGTCTATTATGATTAGGTGAAATAGGTGATTTTGAGATTATGATTATAAATTTGATTTTATTAGCTTTTCAAGTAGATCTCATCATTCTTCTCACAAAACTTTTTACAGATTCAAAATCAGATAATAAAAAAATTTTTTATGGAGGCTCAAAGTTGCGATTTTTGACTTTTCGTGGATAAAGGTTTTTCAAAGCTTTGAAAAAGTCATTTTTGGTGATTTTTGTGTTGCCATATTTCATTTCATAGTAAAACTATCAAAAATGTAGATGTAATTTCATGTACTAATACAACTTTAAGGCAAATTATGTTTCAATTTTCACATTTTTGTAACAATTACTCTGATTTTCCCAGCAACTCAAAAATACATAGGTTTACTCAAAAATTCCATTTTGTCAAAGTGATTTGGTCAATTTTGATCAAAAATGATTTTGACCATGTTATATCTGAAATATTGAACCTAGTTTTTATGCAGTTTAAAATCAGTACCTATGAAGTAAGATAGGGAAAAAAAAGGCAAAAATATCTATATATGCCTTCATTTTTTAACAATTTTCCTCAGGAGCAAATTGCCTATTTTTTGGGGCGTTTTTGAGACATTATGTGAACATGTCAAAAAGGTTGTGAATTTTTAAAAACACATATTTCTAATCCGCCCTATTTACCATAACCCAAAAGTTTATCACCACATTTTAAAGTAAGCAATTTAAAATATTTGAAACCTATGTAATATCAAATTATATGGATTGTGTAAGTTTGAGATAAATATGAAGGAGTTTGAGTTGTTACCATATCAACCTCAGTAGCAAATTGCCCATATATCAAACAAAACAATAAGATATTGGCTTTCAATGTATGTTAAATTAAAAATATTGCAAAAGATTAAATAGCAACTGTGTGACGTTAAGTTGAGAAAGGTTACAAATTGGGGAAAAAACACTTTCTTCCAACGCGAGCAATAGAGTTTGTGACACCTATAATGATCAATGTTTGATAAAAGAATCATCTGTTATCCTTACTTGTTGATATTTACGTAATTCAGCTTTAATATCAACTGTTATTTTATAACACTCAATCTTAGAACCATCTAATAATTGCTCTAAAAACTCTCTCTGTTTCTCTTTTCTTTCTATCATTTCAGCATTCATTTCAGGTGGATCTGGTATACCAGCCTAAAGTAATAAAACAAAATTCATTAATATAAAATGAGTAAGTAACTATTAAGGCTATAAACAAAGCTAATAAAGTCATAGATAGATGTACTTTTGAATTTCAGAAATTTAATATTTCGTGACTTCATAAATATAAAGATGTAAGATACAGTATTAAAAAAAAATAAGCTGTTTTCTTTTCAATCTTCTTTCAAAATTAATACTAAAATTCAACATCATTATTAACAATCTTAAGACTAAAAGGGAATGATATGCAATTTAACCATTATCACTGGAGAGAAAATAAAAACAGTTATTGTAAACTGCAATACAGCTAGTTATACATGTATGTCTTCAAAAAGAATAACACCATTATTATTTATCTGTGATGTAAAATATAAGTAGGGAAGAACAAACCTCTAATGGCAGGAGACGTATCATATTAGCGAAACAATGAGTAGCCATTAATCTAACGGCTTCATTTTGATCACACATACAACCTAATATAGGTACAACTAGTAATACTATATATGGTAATATATCTATACCTAATAACTCTATTATATCTTATTATTGATTAAGGTCATTAAATAATAATTGAGGTGGTTGTTGTTTTCCATATTTTTTTTTTTTTTAAATTACCAAAAACCTGCACAACAATGTGGAATAGTTAACACTTTAAGCACAGTGCGAACAATGCACAATGACATATAAATCATCTTGGGATTAAATTATTTTGAGAGAGAGAGAGAAAGAGAGAGAGAGAGAGAGAAGAGAGAGAGAGAGAGAGAGAGAGTTTAACATCCACTTGACACAAACTAGGACATTTCGGGACTAACACATGGTTCAATTTTATTTCAACAATTCACTTGCGCGTAGGGGTCTTTAGTAGTGGGAGGAAAACTTGAGGACCTGGAGGAAACCCACGAGGTTGAACAGGCGTCCCTACTCCTGGTCACGTACAACCGGGAAATCGTAACCACGCCAGTTGACTCAATGACAGACTTTATGATACAGCACACACGTGCTAACCATTCGGCCATCCAACCCCTCAAATTATTTTGAACAATTGTTTCAACAACAGACTTTGGTTTTTGGTTTGGGGTTTTCAAGATACACTAAGACCCCATTTCGAAAAGCACATGAAGACTATGTGTAATTAAATCAAACAGTTAAATATACAAGTATGTAACAGATATGAGAAGTTTTAAACTAATTGTATGATATTATGAAGTAAGAAAATATGGCTATATCTAAATTACCATAAGGGACATACACTATTAAAAGGATACTTGCTAGAGCTTCGGAGGCACCCTGGCGTTTTATTTCACTGTCTGTAGATGCTAACATGGGTATAATAGTTTCTATAATAAAATGCATAGTATGATGTGTTTGGAGTTGACATAATGTAGCTATACATCTAGCTGCAATATGTCGTACAGCTGTATATTTATGTTGTAAACAAACTGATAACAATGGAAGTTTTGCTATAACCTGTAAAATAGAAAAAAATGATAACCAGACTTTAATACACAATCTTCATTTTACAATATCTGTTACTGAAGACAAAATATCCTATGAGTTATAAGAGAGGAATCCCATTCGATTCCATATCTAATCATACCACAATTATGAGCGAATGGAGCCTCCCCTTCCCAATATGCGATTATGTGTTGTCAGTAGTCCATAGCTATATTGTACACACCACAGCCTGCTATGTGCTAATGATTAGATACGAGGTTTTAGTCATCTAATTAAACTTGACGTTGACAGAAAAGGATTTCTTTCTTTTTCTACTGAATGTTGACTTTCTATAATTCTATTTTTATACATCATAGGATTAAGAGAAATATAACAGGTGTAGTTAACAATAATTTTACAGGATGTACATGAGGACCTAACTGACCCCAAGGGAACATACCTTTAAGACAGTATTTACACATTCACTCCATAAGTGTAAAATTATTTTATTTTATCACAAATATTTGTTCAATAAGTGTAAAAGTATCATAGATATCTATTCAATAAGTGTAAAAGTATCATCAGTATAAAACTATGTTTATCTATTCATAGATATTTATCAAATATGTTTATTTTATCAGAGATGTTTATTCAATGAGTATAAAACAAGATTTATCGTATCATATTTATTAAATCAGTATAAAACTACAAACATGTTTATTTTATCATAGATATTAATTAAATCAGTATAAAACTACAAGCATGTTTGTTTTATCACAGATATTAATTAAATCAGTATAAAACTACCAGCATGTTTATTTTATCACAGATATTAATTAAATCAGTATAAAACTACAAGCATCTTTATTTTATCACAAATAGTTATTAAATCAGTATAAAACTACCATTATGTTTATTTCATCATAGATGAAACCATGGTACTCGCCCCTGACATTGTATCAAATGGCCTAACTGCACCATCAAAGAAATAATTACCTGAGCTAATACTGTGGAATGAAAAGAAGAACTAACAGTTTCTAAAACTTGCAATGAGTTTACTAGTTCTTGAGACAAATTTTCATCATCTGAATTTTCTACAATAAAAATTCAAACATAGGTCTTTTAGCAATGGAATATACAGGTAAATAATCATAGAAATGGCACTTCAAAGATACAACAGACTGTGTACTGTAGGTTTATCACTTGCATCCATACCAAGTTTTTGTCAAATAACCATCAACAGCTTGGTCACACCATTTGAAACTTTGTTGACCTAATATTAATTCTCATTACATATTTCAAAAGTCATGCATTTGAGTCACAAGGGCCCACGAATTTACTAAAAATATGCTTCCAAAGAATTGTTATTAAAACTTACTATTGGTATCCTGTACAGTTAATAGTTGATTTATACAACATTCCCACAATACTGGTACTTTAGTCTGCATTTTATCACTAAAATAAGCACATATAGTAGATAATGCTACATCAGCACCCCGTCGCTGTATCTTTAACATCTGTTGAACCTGATAATCAAAATTATTACTTTAAAAGAGAGAGAGAGAGAGAGAGAGAGAGAGAGATGGGTTTAACATCCATTTAGGTCATTTCGGATTAACACTTGGTTCAATTTTATTTCAAGAATTTGCTTGTGTGAAGGGGCCTTTAGCAGTGTGGTGTGACCAACCCGGAGGACCCAGAGAAAACCCACAGGGTTGGACAGGCGACCCTACTCCTTGTCACGTACAATCGGGGAATCGAAACCACGCCAGTTGACTCAATGATAGACCTTATGATACAGCGCATACGTGTTAACCATTCGGACATCCAACCTCCCTTATTACTCTAAAAGATCTTATCAAAATAAATAAATTGTAGAATTAGCTACATATTTCAAGATTCAAACAATTATAATAATTCCTGCCCCTCCCCACCCAAAAAGAAACCAACATGGCTAACAAAGAATATACACCCCACAAGTAGATTTTTCGTAAGATGGTTGTAACTGTAAGGCTAATCGCAATAACTACATATAAGATTGATAGGCCTGAATTTGGATAGATTTCCTCTTTGTCATTAGCTAAATAATCTCAAATGTTAAAAAAATATCTCAAAAGTTCTGGCCTGCACATAGAGAGGTGATGACGATATACTCCCACATGAAGTGTGCCCATATAAAAATCACCAAAGAGAACATTTTTAAAAAAGATATAACTAATTCTTACCTCAGAATCTTCTTGTAATAATTCACTAGGTACATCAACGTCTGCTGATTTAATACTTAAACTTCTACGTAACCATTTTCTATTCTTTTCGGGAGCCTATAACACCAGAAAATAATTTATGTTTACCAAAATCAAACTAATATGTCAGTATAAACATTAAATAAAGAGTTTAAAATCATACACAACCAAAAGCAATTTGGTTCAAAAATGATTCAATTTGATCAGTTTCAAGTTAGGCCATTTTAAGTTAATAAAGTAATAATTCTAAATTTTTCGTTCAATTCAGTCCATGAATTTGTGTTTTTTAATACTTGGATGTTCTTAGTGATATAATAATAGCTAGTGCCTTTAATAGTTTTCTTACTGAATGTTATCTTTGTTTTTAATAAGAAAACACAAAAAGTACATATATACCTTCTGTAAATTACTTAATGTTAAAATACCAGTATTTATATCACAGGTTACTTCATGTGGCTGATTTTCTGTTAAAATGCAAAAATATCATGTCTATACCTGTTCACCAGCTTACTTTATTGAATATTATTTACATATATAAACATATTTATACCTAATCTCAATATTCCTTATAGTTACATGTACACATATTTATTCGAAATATTTACACATCATTCCTAATCATGTTATTCCTCATATTTACATTTCCAAATATTCTTTCCTAATCATGTTATTTCTAATATTTACACATTCATTCCTAACCTATGGAAGGATAAGTCAGCAGTAAAAAATATGTATTTTAGTTTTACAATTTGCAATTTCCATTGCCCCACAATACCACCATTGTCACAGTGTTAAAATACAGAAAACACTTTTCAATAATAAAAATACAGAATAATAGTTATTTTGCACATTACACTTCTCCATTCTGCATAATAGACAAATGCGTAATAGAACTTAGCATATTAGAACATTTACCTTATATGTGATCTACGACGAAGCTCATTAGCATACGGACAAAAATCTGGACTAGGACGGAAATTAATAACTTATGCGATCAATCTACAAGGTCAAGGTCAGTAGAAGGTTCTCATATTTACAGACCTTGGAAAATGATTAATGAAATGGCGTTATAATGTCCTACTGTTATTCTCCGACTGGGCTATTATAAATGGGCATACGCCATGCAGTGTGCTATGAGGGAAAATTTGCCTGGACAGCAAAGCTATATACGGCCTACTTTTGTATTGAATTCCAACTGCCAAGGGATCTCTAAGTCCACGCAAATCTGTATCACATATTTATTCCTAACCATGTTATTCCTAATATTTACACATAATTATTCTTTAGAACTAAGTTATTCCTAATATTTACACCTAAGCATATTTATTCATAATATCAACATATTAATTCCTAAATATGTTTTCCTAATATTTACATAAACATTTATTCCCAATATTTACATATGCACATAATTATTCCCAACCAAGTTATTCCCAATATTTACATACACAGATATTTATTCCCAACCAAGATATTCCCAATATTTACATATACACACATTTATTTCTAGGCAATCTATTTCTAATCACAATATTACTAATATTAACATACAACACCCATCTATTTTTAATCATGCTATTTCTAATTATGCTATTTCTAATCAGACTCATGCTAATAATGCTATTTATATCATATTCTTTCTTATCATGCTATTTCTAATCATGTCATTCCTAATAATGACAATGATTTACAATCTACATTTGGAAAGGTTGTCAATCCCTAAGCTGCTTAAGTGAAATGAAACAAGGCTATTGGTTTCTGTTTCTATCTATATGAATCTGCCCAAAATGAAATTACTAAATTAATTATTAAGTTTAATACCTGTTGTCTTGACTGCTATAGGTTGGTGTACTAATGGAGTATAAGATGAATCACAGCATAAGAAATTACATAGATTTTTAATTATTTTAGAAATAGGGTTAGGATTCTTCTCAAGAACAAACTCAATCATTCTGGCTAAAGACTTGGCTGCTTCTGCCTGAAGATATAAACAATCATTATATAGCATCAAAATACACATATATTTCCAGAATAGAAAGAAATGATATTTAGATTAAGTAAGAAGATACATGTGTTCTTAATCGGCTGTTTTTTCGCGGCTATTGATGTTTAATCTAGCCGATTGGTGAAACAATGAACCAGCCACTATTGGTATCATAAATCAATCTACTATCGGCTAAATTACATCAGGTTAATTATTACATGTTAATTAAGAAGTCAATCAACTTGCTTGTCGGCTACAACAACAGCCTAACCTTAGTGAGAATCAGCCACCTGTGGTTCATAATCTGAGTAGTCTAATTAGTACATTTAACAGTAATTTGGATAAAACAAGCTTGCTGATTATTCATAACAGGTTCAGTAAGCTGCTTTTGTAAAAACGTGGCGAAAGACGATCTCGGCATGGTTTGCCAATCAAGCATCTTCCACGCTCTGTATGAATTCCAGGTACCGGTAGATATTTAGATATTAAAATAATAACTGGATCATACATTGATGGATTCACTGACCAGGTGTTAGATAAATTTATATCTTCATTGAGTACAATCCTCCGATAGACTGAACAATGCCGAATTCCAATGACACGTGACATATCGCTTGGAATTTGGTCAATAAACCACTTTTAAATAACGTTTACCGTTATGTTTTTTTTTTATTATATACACATTCTGACAAAGGCTTAATTTTAAAAATATTATCGTTTTTATTGAAAGCTATATCATAATTGTACGGAATTTTATTTTAAAGCAATTTCAATTATGGTTGTCATGTGACAATTGTGCCGTTTGTCTATCATCGACGAATGAATAAAAACAAGTGCAATGTACGTGACTAGTTACGTGCTAGACAAAAAACTACAAATTGTATTATAAAGAACAGACATGGTGCCGTATCAGTATATTTTGGCTGCAGCATTTTCTGATACTGGCAATAGTAGAAAAAGCTAATATTTTTGATCATCGACTGATAAAACATGAACGTTTCATCGAATAAACGAAGATAGTAATTTATTCAGGAGTATTACTGACGTGAACTTGATAGCTGGTACGTGAATTAAATATGGAAAATTTTCAAAAGATGTACCTAATTGTCGTTATTTTTGTGGTAATCACATACATCAGAATACGACATTCTCCATAACAAATTACCAAGAATTATTTTGGTAGAAGTCTTGTTATATTAAAGGGAATGGAAGCTTATAATTAACCCATTTCCTACCGGGACCTCAATTGACCCAATTCTGGCCTGTTAGTTTCAAAATGGATTAAGAACCCTGGGGCCTCTTTCACGAAATCTTAACTAAAGATAAAATCCAAATTTTAGTAGATACTTGATTGGCCAAGGACTAAAATCAATTTCATATTATCCAATCAAATTAGTAAAATTTGGATTTTATCTTCGTTAAAATTTCGTGAAATAGGCCCCAGGTAGATACTCCCACTCCCACCAAATTGACAGAACTACAATTAACTATTATAGTGTAAAATGGATAGGAATGGGGTTTAATGCCCAGCTAATTCAAATTTACCAATACAGCATCGTACCCTCCTATTCTTCTTTGATTTTCAACTGTCAAGGGCTCTTTAAAGTTCACAGCAATTTGAACACAAGTAGACCACAGTTTTTCTTCCCATCTAAACCACTAGACACACCACCGCTGATACATGAACATCAGGTATGAAAAATCCTGAAGGTTCTTTTTGACCCATATTAGAATTCGAACTCTTCCCAAATTGCTCGACTACTATGGCCCCAAGTATAGAATTGTGTTCTGTCACCATTCTGTCAATCAAGATAACACAGGGGGTGTTAGCAGAACTGTTTCAGTTCAATTGATGCATGTTTTGTAACCCAATATCCTTGCGTAGTAATATAACTATGCTGATGACATTTTAAAGTCAAATACATATCCAACAAACCTGGATATTTCGATTGTCTTCCTTCTTGATACAGTCCATCAATGGCCGTACAACAGGATTTAATTTCTCAGGAAAAACAGACAGTACTACTGCTGCCATAGCCAGACTACTTAACACTCTTAAATAAACAGAAACACAGATCTATGATGTTCAAAACATTTCCAGGGCTTAGAATTTCTAAAATTCAAAATCAATTGATCCAAAAATTAAAAATTATTTTATCTAGAATCTAAAGCCTAAAAGAGATTGGTTAATATGATGCCTAAGATATTTATATCATTAAATCAATGGATTTAGAGTATTAAAATAAATTTTGTCTCCTACCGAACAGTTAATGTCTGTTGTTCTAATGTTGTTTGAGTGACAGTTATCTGTAATTGTTTTCGTCTGTCATCCAGCATCTGCAGCACCTTGGGTTTCAATGAAATTTTTACCTGATCAAATACAGTTGACGTCAGTTGTCCTGCTTGATCAAGACTTAAGATAGATCTATAAGTAGAAATTGTTTTATTTATTCCAAAATTAAATATTTAAAAAAATTAAAAATGTGGAAAAGAAATTATTGCTGAAGACTAAACACCTTGCTCACTACCAAATAATTGTTCAGGTAACTATAAAACCATCATGTTCTGTAAAAACTTTATCAACACTACATAGGAGGGACTTATTTTATGGAAGAATAGTGTTTTGCAAATTAAATCAGTTGCCTCATAAATTTTCTACTATTATTAATGAATAATCATTGATGCAATAAACCTATATTCTTATAAAAACATGGGTGTTAAGGTTATTATGGTCGACACCAGATAATAATATAAAAGTTCGAAATATTTCTCATTTAAATGGTGCAAAATCTGACTACTGACATTATAGGTCTCTCTGCCACTTCCTAGAAGACATTTTATTTGCATAAAATAAAATGGTCATATACTATCAATGAAACCGTACTTAATAAAACTTACGCAGGAGGAAAAAGTGAATCCATTTCTACACCTTGTTGCTTTAATGAGGCTATAAAATCTCGACAATCAGATTGCATTCTGGTAAAAGCTAAAGCTATTTCATCAAAATATATAGCCTCACTTAAACATTCCAATAACTTAGTTTTAACATCTTCTGGACAATCACAATTCTACAACGAAAAAAAAGGTTAAAATTGAATAGTTATCTTTTTTTTTTTAGTTTTTTAGAAATAAAAACAAAAATGGACAACACAATACTTTGGTAACTTTGAGACTTATGTTTGTGTGAATTTTGATTGGATAGCAAAATTTCAACCTAATCAATTGTCTATATTGCAAATGTCATGGGATAATTTAGGTGCACATGGCTGCAACCTGGTTTTTCTTTCTATCCATATCCAAATCACAAAGTAACATATTAATTGTAAGCCCGGCAGACGCTGCAGCATTCAAGTTGGAATTGTATTAACTGAAAATGACACTGAAACTGAAAATGACACTGAATTTGTTTAAGGATGTTGACAAGATTTATTAAGAGTATAATAAGGTCTTGGTTCTTCAAACACTTTCACTTACTTTATTGAGCAATGCCCACTGATATAAAACCTGGCCAATAACATATCGTTGTAAAGCCGATTTAGTATTTAAATGAAATATAAACAGTTTTCTCAGTGAATCAACCGGTTTTTCGGCATCTTTAGGATAATTTGGTACAGGCTTTGTAATGTAACCTGCTAATAAACCCAACAATCTACAAAATAAATATATATAATTTACATATTGTTTACTGTAAACAAAAAGACATTTATCCACTACATTATTATGGGTAGATCTAAAGAAATATACTGTTTGTGATAATATATCCTATTAAACGAGTTTATTTATACAATATGTAATAGCATATTCAAATGTTTGTTTGGTTCCTAGACATTAGATTTTTCCAAGTTCAATAAAGTACTCAATGAGTTAATTAAAGGGAGATAACTCAGTAACCGGTTTTGAGCCTCTTATTATCTCCCCTTAGACCACAAGTCAAAGAAGAACTGGTTGTTAATTCATAGAAATTTCTTCCAATAGATTGATGCCATTAACTTAAAGAGGGAACAGACAGAACAACCAAAGCCTAAATAATGACCCACAGTTAAAACATATTACAATTCCAGAAATGCACCCCATAATAGAAGTTGTATTCGCAATAACAGCTTATCAGGAACAAATTTGTAAAGTGTTGAACTATTTGTAGTGTTGTATTAGAGTAATATCTTACTTTGTACCAGCTATTCTAGATCTCATCACATCAATATCTCGTTCAACTATAGTTTTATTCAATGACTGTGCACCACCTATATATTCACGATTATCTTTATCTAATATAGGTCCAGAATCTGATGGACAACGCTTTCCTACAGTCTGCTCCTGAAATTATTTCAATATTAAAATGTTGAATTAAACTAAATACGAGGGTGGACATGTGGCACTTTTATGTCATTTTAACAATAAGTCAGGATATTTAGAACAAAGACATATCAAAAATCCCATATGGCTAGATTTTTGGGTTTAAAAAAAAAACAAAAACAAAACAAAAAAAAAACTATATGTACTCTGTCCAAAGCTATAAAATTCAAAATGGGAATGGGAAGATATATAAATCTACAAGAAGAAAACGTAAGAAATTGTGGCAAGACACCAGTGAGTATAATATACATCGGCATTAAATGTAGGAACAACAATATTCAGTAATGTGCAGTCCCCCACCTTTTTAAACTAGCCACCTTAAATCTCTACTATAAACTCCATAATTCTTATATGGTTTTGATACATCATTGAATGAAAAGTGACAAGAGAATACCTACCCTCACTTTATGTTTAGCTTCTAACAAATAAGTTGGTTCAAATGGGGTTCTCGATGGTTGCATAAGAAGGCAGAGCCATACTCCTAACCAAGGCACTGAAGCAACAATGAGGTAGTCTAGTTGTGCTTTTTCTAGTAACACTGACCAAACTTTCTGAACTAGGTTTAATACATCCACATCATTTTCCAATAAACTACGTTGATATATGTGGCGCAAAGCATCTGATAAAATGGGTGTTAACCACTGAGACACGGGTTGCTGCAAAACATTAATTTCACATCAAAGTAACAAACAGGACAATATTCAAAAATAAAACTGTGTCAATAAAAACATTTATAATGTAGAGATCATTGATCCAACACAAGAATCCTTAGTGTATTGTGTAGCTATTGAATATCTAACCCATTTCAACTTGTCATGTAATCATATACCTTATATTTGTCTCTTCTTTATAATTATAATACAGAGAGAGAGAGAGAGAGAGAGAGATGAGGTCTAACATCCACATATGGATGTTTTTCTTTGTTCCATATTTTGTGTATATATATATAGAGAGAAATGCCTACATCTTTTTTGATATCAAAAAATATCAACACAAGTTGATAAAGTAATAAAAACGAGGCTCCAAGGAAACAGAATGAAAAGAACATATCCAGAATCAAACTTTTTTCTTGTGTTAAAATTAAAATGAATAACTTTTTCTTAATGTTAATATGAACAAGATTTTGTCTTATGTTAAAATGAACAACTTTAAGGTCATTCACCTTACTAATCTTATATTAGTAGAAAAATCACTAACCTGTTGATCTGGTATATTTAACAACGTATAAAATGTTTCTAGAGCTGCTTTACGTACTGACAGGATATTGTGTCGAAAAAATGGCCACAATCTTGGTGTTAGTTCGGATAAGGCTTGAGATGTACTGTAATATGGAAAAAACAAAAAAAAAACAAACAAAGTTAACAATGAAATATAAAGTAGCAAAGCCTCATTTTAAAAAAAGCCATACAAAAATAAACATTGTGTTTTGAGTACGAAATTACTAGAATTATCTTATAATAGTGTTGAAACTATTATGTTGTGGTTCAAATAAAATAATGTTTCAAGTACTGTTGTATGTTTTTAATAAGAAATTTAAGTGCTTAAATCAAAATAAAGACATTATTATCCTATATAAAACTGAATTTCAGAATTTTAGCGTAATTGCGGCATTGGACAGAGAAAAATGAAATTATTTACTTGGGGATTTAAGAAAATAAAACCTTAGTAATAAGTGTATTTCATGATCTCATTTATAGGTTTTGGGAAATATGGGCTTTTCAGCGATTTTTCGGTTCCGATTGTAAATACCGTTCCAATTTCGAATATTCCAGTGTCAGACAACAATGACATGGATCCGTTTTCCAGTGCTCTTACTAGATTGATGAATTTAGTTAACATTTGGAAGTACACAAAATGAAATGAAACAGGTTTTAACTATGGGCATGAGAAATTGTTTTGTCTGACTGTGGTGAAGAATGCTAGATCGGAGACGGTCCTACACATATGACGTCATATGTCGATTGTGGGTTAGGGTAAGGGTTAGGCTTGGTCCAGAGTTAGGATTAGGGTTAGCGTTACATCTCGAGACCCTAACCCACAATCCACATATGACGTCATATGTGCTAAAATGTGCCGGACCATCTCCGATATAGCGTTCTCTGAATGTGGTACTACAGGCTCTTCTATCCTGCACTACTAGTTATATTTAAACAAGGTTACTAACCTGGTTGTGGTTGTTGATGGTTTAGATAACAGAGTAGATAATAATATCATAATACTATTAGTTGATGCTGTTAAATCATCTAAATCTAACAATGTCTGCCATAAACAATCTATTACTACAGGGGTCTGGAATATAAAATTAATTAAATTTCATATACTATTATGTACATATGAGGAGACACCTACTCCTCTTTGTCATGTACATATCCAGGAACGAACCTGACACCACCCGTAATTACATTACAATGTTGCAAAATGTAAATGAATGATAGCACTTGGTTCATCTGTGAGAGGACACATGTAATCACAAAATTATAGCATCTAAGCACATCAAAACTGTCTGATTCAGAAATTTTTCTTAGTTTTGAGAGTAATATACTCCGATCGATGGCTTGTCATTACCTGTTGTGGCATTAACAACACTAATTTGTCGCTGACAGGAATCAAAGCTGCTGCTGCTACAGCTCGGACATCATCATCTGGATCCTGTAGACCTCGAAATACAGCTGGTAATACAATAGGTAATAATGCATCTGTTAAATCCTACAAAAACATAAATATATATTATATACTTTTTAAGATAAATTCAGCTAGTAATACCAAAGGTAATAACATAACATAGGTTGCCAGGGAATGAAACATACATCCCACAGCAGCTTAGTCGCCTGAACAGTCAACAAAGGTGGTTGTCACATATTTATTTTTTGTAGGTAATAGGAGCATTACAAAATCACTAACTAAAGCGTCCACAACATATTTGAAAGTATGACACTCTGACAGTAATTATAGGAAATCATTGAAAATCAATAGGCTTCTTTGTTCCATGAACATTAAAATACTGTGTATAAACTTCAAGTCAATCAAATGATAACATAAGCCTCTAGGACGTCCACAATATTTAACAAAATGATGAAGAGTAATAACTCTGACAGGAATCGTCAGAAATTGTTTTAAAACAGGAACATAGACACCGAGTATACAATGGGATTACAACTTTAGTCCCTACAAGCAATCTGACTGACAAAAGGTGACAACAATATACAGCCAGAGGTCGCAGTGGATCAATTTTGAGTTGAGTAAAAATACGCAGACATTCAAAAATTATACGTTTTTGCTCTCTACATCTGCGTCATTTAGAGTCTTTCAAAATACTCAATAGAAGTAAAAATCGTTACGTGAACAACCCTATTTTAAGCGTCCTTATTTCATTGATACTGTATTCAGTCTAATGACGACTGAAGGTTGATGGCATATCTATGGTTGACGGCACAGTCATTTCAATCTTTCACTTCGACAGGAAGTAAAGAGCAAAATATCGCTATGGAAGCCAACAGTTTATTGTGTTTTAGCCAATCCAAAGTCTTGTATGAAATGCGCTTTATTGCTTCCAGTGCAGCAAAATAGGGAGTCTCAGAATAGCTATGTATAGAAAGCTTACTGTCATAATTAAAGATTATGAACGAAATAAGAGGAAATATAAAAACCTATGAAGATTACGTATAGTAGTGGTGTGTAAATGCCGCGTGAAGCGCAGAAATTGATGACGTAGTGTACAAACTACGAAATAGAATAATCTAATTATTCTCACGTCGGGGAAATTTTCTGCGTGTAAATTACGCAGCGTCCGTCAATATTTGCGTTAATTATGAAAAAAGCGTGAAAAACGTGGATTTTTGCTTGACTGCGACCTCTGTATACAGCTACATAATTTTCTTCCCTCTCCACACAATTTTCTCCTGCAAAAATGCAGCTTGATCAAAAGTGTTCTGTCATATCATAATGACAAATTTCGACCGAGTCTGCGACCCATAAAAAAGATGATTGATGACTAACCTGTCTAACGGCTAGAAGATATTTGATACCTAATAGACCACCATGTCGTACCTCCCACTGACTCTGTGATAACAGTTGTAATAAAACACTTGTAACACCCTGTACCCCTTCTACATCTAAAAACTTTAACGCAACACCTAGATTCTGTGAACACGTTTCTCTTACAGGAGCAACAACCTTTAATAAGTGTTATCATAATAATTATAATTTATAACTAATTTTATAACAACAAAGTTATGTTTATAATTATATTGCTTCAGAAACATAACAAAAGATATTAAAATTAAGGAGCACAGCAGATAATCAAATTAAATTGTCCCGATCGCACAAGAGGTGTCTAAAGGGTAAACACAAGAATTCCGGGACAACCCAGCATACACTGTCTAACTACAATGATATCTACCAAATTCCATATGTATGATTAAATCACACCACATTCATTATCAGGCCTGGCTGAACTGTGAAAGACTTCAATTTTGTGTCATTTGATTTTAATTCCTCCAATTTGAAACTATAATCCATCCCTCCCCCTCAAGACATTGTATTGTGAAATAGCCCTTAACTTCATCTTACAAATATTGAGTTTTAATCTTTTAAGTTAGTTTCTTAGACTCACTTGGTTAAAAATAATTTATGGGAGATAAGATAAAGAGATGGCAGTTCTCGCTATAATAGTTAGAAACTAGATAGTGTAAAGGTAATTTGCTGGAAATTTCAGTCAAATTGATCCACTATGAGCCGAGAAAGAAGCGGGTGAAATTTTTGCACAGTCTCGGTCATCATTACTAAAATCATTAATATAAACAGCATAGTCGCGATTATCCACTTTTTCTGATTTAATTATCAACGGCCGTTAGCGGCATATAGGAATCTAATCCAGTCAACATCGAAGACTAGCCTTGACATCAAGAGTTTATTATGGTCTGGATAAGTTAATTAATGTCTAATTGATAATTTAGATAACATTTCAGGCCTAAAGAAAGATTTGTAATAAGCAGATTTTGCTCTTGCATAATGCATGTTTAACTGAATCAGACTGTGATACAAAAGGCACAGCTGTATACTTTATATAAAAATTATTGTTCAGCTCCGACTGGGCTAATCAAGACAGGTATTTTTGCTATGAGGGTAATGTTGCTCGAACAGCGGCACTACAGCCTACTCTTATATCGAATTCCAACTACATGGGGATCTTTAACGTGCACATCAATGTGTACACAGGACCTTGTGTTTTCATCCCATCAGAAAACTATACATTGTCACTTGCCAGGCCCTAGGTCCTGCACCACTGACAAGGGGAAACCATGACAGAATATCTCGATGAACTTTATCGGCCAACGTGGGAATCGAACACGGGACTTCGCGGTTAGCGAGCCAACATCTTACTCACTGAGTCACCATGGCTCCCTAAAAATAAAAGTCATTGGAGACCTTTTGCATAATATAAATCTCACCTCATCTGAAACAAAATCACCAAATCTGTCTAATACCAAAACACACAGCAGACGCAGAGACAAATCAGATAACCATATCTGATTGACAGCCGTCATCTAAAACATATTAACAATATGTAACTTGAAATCCAAATTTATGAGGTTATCAAGAAATCCAGACCATTTATCTATGAAACTATTAGGAAATCCATACTTCTCTATTATTTCTCTTTTTCTCTAGAGATATGAGGTTATTAGGAAATACAGACGATTTCCCATTAGAAAATACACTATTTTAAATACCTGATCTGATGGTGTATCACTTGACTTACTAGCTCCTCGACCATGTTGTTTTATAACTTCTCTAAGTCCTGTAGCAGCACCATGCCTAATCTCCCATGAACTATTAAACAAATCATTCATCAGTACTTCACAAAATGTCTCAAACGGCCATTCATCCATCTGGTAAAAAAAATACAATGATTAGAGAAGATTTTAAGCGTTTGAAAACCAAAGATTGAAAGGAGATGTTCTCTATGTCTATATTAAGAAACGAATAAGGAAAAAGGGGTAAAAACTCACAAAAAATGTCATTTTTTACCTGAATGCTTATCTGGTGTTTTGGAAAGTAACAAATCAACCTAATAAAGGGGTAAAAACTCACAACAAATGTCATTTTTTACCTGAATGCTTATCTAGTGTTTTGGAAAGTAACAAATCAACCTAATAAAGGCACTTATCAAGTTTCAAAATTGACCTCAAGAAAGAGGTCCAATCAACATAAACCAGACCATTTCAAGACTAACATCCAATATATGTTTTATTTCAATGAATAATATTTTCATATCAATTATTAACTTGTGTGTAGCCATGCAATGAACGCAGAGAACCGGTGCATGTCATATCACTCCAAAGCCTACAGAAATAATAATTACCTCTTCTAGATTAAGAGTATTATCACCAGTATCTATTAATGTTTTATCACTCGATGTACCATTATTTTCAGGGTCTTGTTTTGTTTTTTTGGCAGGGGGATCTAAATCTGCAGCTGAACTCTCACTAAAACAACAACAAATACACTTTTATGACTACATAAACAAGATCTATTTCTTCAAAAATTTCAGAAGTCAAACAATTAATAAAAGAGATTTTAAACACAACAGCTTTATAAGGAAGTAATTTCTATCTCCGTGGACGAGGCAAGTAAAATGAGAGTTTTCATATCAATGGAAATATCAGGTTGTAATTCAAAATTTGTCAGTCATGCAACTTTTCACGTGTCATTAATTAGTTAATACAACTTTTCGTGTGTTTATACAACAGCGGATAATCTCAAGACAGAATGGAATGAACCTATGGCTTTTATTACAATTTAATATTATTATAGAACAAAAGCAATTCTAATATTTGTCTACATGTTATACCTTGATCCATCTTTAGAGATCTGTTTAGCAAGATGTTTAGCCTTTCTTTTAGCTCGATTTCTCTCTCTGGCACTTAATCCTCTAGTTACATCCATTAACTGTTGTTTAACCAAATCAGCCACAGGCTTAATCAAAAAATAAAAATACAAAACAATTCAATAAATCTTTTATTTTTTTATTCAAAGAAAATAGAAGTGATGCTAAAATAGCATTATGTACTTATCATATATAACAGCTTCACTCGCTCACTGACAATTTATTTAAAAACACATGACAATATGCTACAAACACAAAACCTGGCTTTCCATCTAAATAAAATACAAATCTATTTTTTTTTTGTGGGGGGGGGGGGGGTACTTTCCCCAAGCTCTTCTCCATATAGATCAGACCGGTGTGAGAGGGAGGTCACATCAGTCGTTACATAGGTGAACTATGACTGAATGATGTAGACTATTTATATGTAACTTCTATTTTGTTTTGTCCCCCTACTGCTGTATAGATATTTTCCATAATTCAGTACACACCTAACCTGTATATTATCCGAGTTGTGAACAAATCATTATTTTGCTTGACATGCGGTACCTATAAAAAGCCACACGCACGGCAACGGAAATAAAAGTTTTATTGCGGTTGCCATGCTTGTTGCTGTTTAGACGTACTGGTAATACAAGACTTTCATAGGGATCATAAAAAGGAAAGAATAAACAGTACAAAATCCTTAACGGTCTCCATTATCTAAAGAGCCATGCGCACGGCAACCAAAATACAAGTTTTTATTTCGGTTGCAATGCATAGACGTACTGGTAATACAAGACTCTCATAGGGGCTGTAAAAAGGAAAGAATAAACAGTACATAATCCTTACCGGTCTGCGCTATTTTTTAAATCCTTATTCACACACTGTTTGAGAGTTCAGGTCTCTCTTTGCATGTGCAGACCAACATTAACGTACAACAGTCCACCCGATAAAACTTTTGAGTGGAATAGGGAAAAGCCAATTGCATGTTGATCAAAATCATAGAATTGGAGAACACAGTCGCGGAGGCCCCTCTTATTCGATCTGTTTTGAATGTGTGCTGATATTACAAGATCACAAACTAGAACAATACCTAATTAGACTATTGAATTTTTAAAAAATTGTTTCCGATAAGTAATAAAAAATTTATTAAATGGTCCTCTCAATAGTTATTTGTCTATCACAAATCACAATAATGAAACTAAAGAAGATGTCAACAGTGGCTCATCATTGCATACCGGGCCTGTATGAAGCATCGCAAGTCTTTAATTTGGCCTCACTTTGATCACTGTCGCTTATCGTGAAATAGTTCCAAATCTTACTACTTCGCACGTTGCATTTTTTTTCCTTCATTTTATCTAGTTAACTGCTGGTATTGTCTGCACACTGTCATAATGAGTACAACTTTTTGAAAAGGCGAGAAAATATCACATGGTTTACTCGTGATTAGGATGAAGTATGACATCTATTTTGGACAATATGATAATCTTGACTTGATTAATTAATGATACAGCAAATAATTTAGTTCATAATAGATGGTGTGTATTTTTGATTGGGTAGGAGGCGTGACTCAATTATTACTTTAAAAAGATTATGATGTGTTTGATTTCCAAGGTAAAAAAATAGTACCATGCGTTTCCAGAATAACAATGACATATATTTGCATAGATTATCATGCCATTTGAGGCATTTTAATGTGTAACAGTTTTATATCCACCATTATCAGTATTTGTATCTGTATCAGTCAATAAAGTTCGCTGTCAATATCTGATATCGATAAAACCAATAGGTGCCATATCGGACCATCACTAGAATTTTTACTTACCTTGTTGAAAGCAGGTTGACCAGAAACTTGACCATTGAAGTTCTCAATATGAAGATCTTCATCATTAAATAAGTTATCTGATTCTATACCTAAATTACCAGCTAAATCTAATCCTAAACGTTTATTTAATAACTGCCTTTGTTGAGATAAACGTTCTTTATCATCTAGAGCTACCAAAAAAAAAAAGAAGTGGTTTTGTTCTCTAGTGTCAATATGTGATAATGCTGACATGTTATTCTAAATAAACAATTTTGTTCAAACAGTGGTTTAGCTAAGTTCCTGGCACTACCAGGCATCGATATTTCCGCGCACTACTACATGTAGTTCACCATAAAATACTGTACATTATATATCCTAAGGATAGTCAAATTCAGAAAATCAATTAAATGAGAGGTGAAATCAAGACAATAGCAAAGCTGTGTTAGCACTTGTTGTTTGTAAGGAATATCTACAATGCATCTTTTATCAATTATTATTCAAAACAAACATTTACACATATCACTACCAATTACTTTTTACACTATACTTACCTATGGCAGACTGTACCACATCATATTGTCCACCCTCTGAGCCCAGTAAACTGGCACCAAAAGCTAAAACTTTATTAACATCAAACTGGGTAAACAGGATTTTTCCAGCACATTGTGCTGCTGCAGTTCCTGCTTCTGAAAAATGATAGAAATTGATCATATAATAAAATGCTGAAAAAGGACTTCTATATGAACAGGTATTATTATATTGTGATGCTGTATTCATCAGTTCAAACATAATTTTTGTTGAGCTACTTCTTCTGGATAGCTAACAACATCAGGAAATCTAGGTGAATAGAAAAACAGTCACCTTTTATTCTGATTAAAATCAATATAAAGATAGCCATGCAAAGCGTGGAAATACCCTCACAGGACACAGCCACAATGTCTGGACAGAAGCTTATTTGAAAGGAAAACTTGAAAATGTAGGCGTATAAAAATGACTAAAAGTAGATTATAGTCATTGTTGTTATATATTTGTTTCAAGAGTTTTAGACTTGATTTTAGTACAAGTAAATCTATGAAAAATATTTTTCACAACAATATGACCAAAGTTAACTAATACAGTTAATGCATCGGATGTTTGTTGTAATGAAGAATAGTTCAGTAAATTATTCAGGGAATCCAATGAAAAAGCAAGGAAACATTTACCTGATTTTGGAGCACCTCTTGGTTCCCATTGTGGAACATTCTTAGCAATGGCTTCCACTGCCTGTCCAGCAGCAATTCTTGTATCCCAATTAGAACTACGAAGGTATACATGCACCTGTAAAAAGGAGTTCTACATTTAGCTACCAGTATTCTAGAGTTAAATTAAGCTGCTTAATATTAATAAAAAAACGTCTTTCCATTAAAGGGACTATCCTGATTTGAACAGAGACTCAAAAATAAATGTCCGAGTACGTATGAAATTTAAGCGCCAAAATATAGAGGAGTGGTGTATTTACCTTGTCTCAAAATTTCAGCTCAAAATATTGAGTCGTTTGGACGTGAACGTCAAAACTGCTTATCCGAGCACGTAACCCTTTTAAGATTTCGGGTCAATTTTTTAGTTGGGTGACTTGATGATCAATTACCGTTCCTTGAGAGGTCTATACAGTGCACGACCCACGTGCTGTACTTGATAACGAAAGGTAAATTTCACCAACACATTATTTTTATAAAAAAAATCTTATTTTATCCAGATACCGCATAAAACATCTTAAGACACCGGTCTCCATTTCCAGATGAAGACTGACGGGTTTAAGTTGTTTGAAAACGTAGCACAAATACTGAGTTAGTTGCTTGGCCCTTAGGTAGACGATTTTAAGGGATTTTAACACAAAATTAAGCAGTTTTATTCTCCAAATAATTTATCGGGATTGGCCCTGTAAGATTTAGATAAAGAACTAGCCATTCTATTAATAGTTTGAAAGTAGATGATGTAAAATGAATAATTTGAAAATTTCATTCAAATTACTCCATTGCAAGCGAAGATATTAGCCTTTGAAGGTTTGACAGACGTGTGCAATAATTTCAACCACCGCACTGGTTGATCGAAGCTAAGTCTCGGTCCTCCATATTTGATTAAATCAAAGTATCGCTGCACCATTCTAATCTATTTAATATCGGAGAAATCTGATGCCATCGAGAGTTGATTAAGGCCTGGATCAGTTAATTAATGTCTAATTAATACTTTAGAAAAACATTTCAGGCCTAACGAAAGACCTGCAATAGGCAGATTTAGCTCTTGCATAATGCTTGTTTAATACTTAAAAATAGAAGATCTGTACAAATACAAACAAAATCACATTTTGTGTACCTTTGATAATAAATTATTGAGTTCATAAGGATGAAGTTTTTGAACTTCTCCAAGCTGTTCAGCTGCTGATTTCCGGATCAATGGAGTAGATCCAGTATCCAAAAGCAGGAACAGTCGGTCAAGTCTGAAAAATAAAGTTAGCTCATTAAAATATTTAGACCAGTTCAATCTTTTGTTTTAAGACCTTCATTTCCTTTGAACTTGGATATATCGTTGGTCTATGCTGCATGACATGAGATTTAGAAATCTATTTTAGGATCATATTTTTTTATTCCGCTTCAGGCAACGAAAATTGTTCTGTTTACATAAAAGTGATTGGTAAACTCTAAATGAGAATAATAACATTGATCTTTTTTATATTCTAATATGAGCTTATCTCTACTAACAATAGAAAGGGTAAGATGTGACGCAATTAAAATAATTAGATGCTGTGTTTTGATTAAGAGTTTGTAAATCTGATCAGTGCCATTTAAGTGTAGCTCATGAGGTGATATCATTTATTTCCTGAATGAACAGGTAAGTCTGTGTGGATAACCCTAATCAATGCTACATGTAGCTGTTGATTGATGTGGTGTTAACAATGTATCAAAATAAACCATGAGGTTGTTCTCTAACAGGACAAACTGCATGCATTCAACACGGTCACACAGGTGTAAAATCTGGAAATAAGTAGGGACAGAAGCGAGAGAGAAATGGTGTTTAACATCCACTCGACACACACTAGGTCATTTCAGGACTAACACATGGTTCAATTTTATTTCAATAATTCGCTTGCCCATAGGAGTCTTTAGCAGCGGGAGGAAAGCGGAGGACCCGGAGAAAACACACGAGGTTGGACAGTCGACCCTACTCCTTGCCACGCCAGATGACTCAAAGACAGATCTTATGATACAGTCGCTAACCAATCGGCCATCCAACCCCCCAGGGGGACAGAAACTTTTCTAGAGATTTATCGACCTTTTTAAGGCCTAGTAGTATGGTAAGAAAAGGGATGGCCATGGGTGAGAGAGAGATGGGTGTACATTTTTAAGTTTATTAGGCCTACCTGGTTGTCATAGGCCAGATCTATACAACCCAGTCTATTCCTTATTCTGCCCGGTTTCGGAACCCTTCTCTTGTTTGAGCTTTGAAAATCTTTGTTGTAACAATTTGTGTCCTATTTCTATTTTTAGACAAGCCTAATAAAATAAAACCTAAATTTAGTTTGTCGGCCTGCAACCTGGCAATAATAAGTTCACCAGAACAATGTCAAGACAATAATATTACTCTTTGGTCTCAAATAGATATATTATGTGGCTTTTGTTGGCCGATGACACAAGCTTTAAGTGAAATATATCAAATTGTGTTTCGTTCCGAAGCTACGTCCGTCCTCTCTGAATCCTGCCCATTCAGTCTTTCTTCAGAATAGATGTGATGTCCACACACAGAATTTACCACATCTAATTCAATTAATTATCCAGAATAGCACCGTATTTGACCTTATATTATCTGATACAGTACTTAGAAAAGTTGCAAAATATAGGCGGGACTTTAACAAATTGCAGTAAATAATATATAGAAAGTTGTGAATAAACTTTTCCTCCTGATCCGGGCACATCGCGATTCATATTTATACTGACAGCCATTTTGAACCTCGAACGAGAAATAGCACCGCTTTTCGACGTTGATTGGTCCACCAGCAGGGCTGCATCAAGCCATTATCCAATCATCTATATCTAAAATGGATCAGCGATTGTCGTAATATATGATCTAGCCACAGTGAAATAGAAAAAAAAAACTTTTAATCTCCACCCAATATAAGTTATCACGTTTTTTAAAGTTAATGAGAAGTACAGGTGCTAAACACGGTGGCAAAATATTTAAATGCCCAATTTACGACTATCATGTAAAAATAGCCAAGCGGAAATAGTGCTATGGAACCCCATTGGGGACATCAACAAATACACCATTTACATTTCCTTATAGGACAAATGGACAATAAACAGTGCAATTCAGTCCAAAATTACTGATCATAACAAAAACATAGAGAGAGAGAAATGGGGTTTAACGTCCACTCGACACAAACTAGGTCATTTCGGGACTAACATGTGGTTTAATTTTATTTCAATAATTCGCTTGCGCGTAGGGGTCTTTAGCAGTGGGAGGAAACCGGAGGACCCGGAGAAAACCCACGAGGTTGGACAGGCGACCATACTCCTTGTCACGTACAACCGGGGATTCGAAACCACGCCAGTTGACTCAATGACAGGCCGTAATATACAGCACGCACGTGCTAACTATTCGGCCACCCCCCCCCCCCCCCCAAACAAAAAAAAACATAAATACTAGACCCCTAATTTATTCTTGAAATAAGCTAACCAAATATAATCCTTGAACACCCGAAACATTATCATATAACGAGCCGCAGTTGTTTCAAAGCCATGGGCTTTCTCGCTAACCTATAGGTCACGGGTTCGATCCCAGTGTAGGTCGAAAAATTCCCTTGGGTTTTTCAAGCGTGGTTTCCCCTTGTCAATGGTGCATGGACGAGGTCTTAGCAAGGAACAGCATTTAGTCGTTCGGATAGGACGAAAATACTGAGGTGCCGTGTATGTTAGGCCTACACTTTTGTCCTTATAATTTTGTGTTTAGTAACTTGTCAGGATTGGGGATGATGTTAGGCATTAGGGAAATTTTGACCAGACAGCTGCGCTATGGCCTACTTTTATTTCGAATTCCAACTGTCAAGGGATATTTTACGGACCTCCTGTATAGTGAGCCAGCGTCTCAGTCACCGAGACACCGAGGTTCCCCTCGCACAAAGCGCCAGTTTATAGACATGGACTGATTGTAAGAATGTCCTATGTAAATTAGTCAGATTTAATATGTTCGAGTTTAGAATAATGGTTCACTAACATATGGCACAAACTTCAGCCATGTTACTTTTAGAACCCAGCACGCATGAGATGTTGTGGGACATCCTCAAATGGAGAATTCACATATATACGTATGACTCCCTATGTAAATTAATCACATTTAATGCTTTTAGTTAAACATACATTATGCAAGAGCTAAATCTGTCTATTGCAGGTCTTTCTTTCGGCCTGAAATGTTATCTAAGTTATTAATTAGACATCAATTAACCTATCCAGACCATAATCAACTCTAGATGGCATCGCTAGCCTGTGATCTTTAGTGGATTATGGGCCGATTTACTGCATAACTTTCCTTCACGATTTAACGATTAAATGGATAATCGAGACTGTGTTGTTTATCGTACTGACTTTAGTAATGATGATCGAGGCTAGGCGGAAATTTCTCGGTTCATAGTGGATCAATTTGAATGAAATTTTCAGCAAATTGCCTTTACGTTATCTAATTTTTAACTTATTATCGAATCTCCCATAATGTATCTTTAAGAAAAACGTTAGTTAACAAAAAGACAGCCATATTCATTCCATCTGATTAAAACACAGATCCTATTTCGTTTCGTTTTTTATAGTTCAAAATTCCGTTTTACTTGTCATTACTACACTATAGTATCTGGAAGAGTTGTTATATTATCGGCGTTTTGGTTGATGTGAGGGATCAGCCAATGAAACGGTTTGTTACGGCGAGCTCTTAGCGTGCGATGCACGGGACTGTGGGTAAACCACTAGAAACATCAACGCTGATTGATTAATCAAATGTCTGACGTCATAGGTTCAAAAGCCGCTCATATGACCTTGATGCGACCATTCAGTACAACCGGTCAGATATTCATGTAGTGAAGGCCATCGAAAGTATGAAAAAAACGAAACAAAATATAGATCTGTATTTTAATCAGATTGATATTCATTATGAGGTGAATTGTGATTCAAACCCTTTCTTTAGGTGGGTCATAAGGTTGTAAAGCTTTAAATAATGTTATTAGATGGCTTGAATATATTTTCATGTAATTGTTCCAGGTAGGCTATATTTTCCATTAATTTTTATTCGTGTTCTCTGTGCAGAGGTAAATTGTTATCCTTTTATAGTGACATTGGGCGTCCCAATCCACCAAAAGCCAAACAGAGTGAGTGACCTGTAGGCCTGGGAATTCTTGACATGCCATAATATTCTCTAGAACTTTGATTCCCAGCCTTTGGGTCGCCAAGCACTTTTCGTGGGGTTGTGGCGGACTACACTGAAACTTTGGAAAAAATGCTATGTTTTCATGAAAAGCATATAAATCTCTGATCTATACGCCTCTTGCCACATTGCCAATCGTCTTTCCTCAGTTCTTATAAAGGAGTAAACATGTAAATAATAGGTTGTCAGAAAAGTAAAACAATAATAAATGTAAACAATGATGAGGTTTCACAGCAAAAGGTGACCTTCGGGGGTTAGCGATCAGACGCTGGTTTCTGGAATGGGGTCGCAACCACCAAAAGGTTGGGAACCACCAGAGTGGCGCCAGACTCAGACCGGAAATATTTTTGAAAATCTTCAAAAAAAAACCCTGAAAGAAACCGCTGAATCCGGGGAGAAACTTGATAAGGACCCTCTATTACAGGTCCCCATTGTCCTATATAGTCCCCCCCCCCCGCCCAAGTCCAAGAACAGGGCTCCTGAATCGGAGAAAAGGGCCCCTTTGACTACAGTGCAAAGGCCCCGGGGTCTAAGGAAAGGGTCCCAGAATCGGGGAAAAGGGCCCCCAAATTGCGAGAGCCAACGTTGCTGAATAGTAAGGCAGATGCGTAACCCCATTATTCATCAGCGCCGTTATGCGCAGGAAAAGTTCCCATTTGTTGTTTTCTTATCTTTGTTCAACACCCCGCATTGGCATGGATAATCGCTAGCCTTTGTTATGATGGGAACCTGTTGATATCAACATTCTCCAATACTGTGCTAAAAGGATTTACCAGGCCCCGGAAACAATTTAGTTGATAGTATACGTTTGTTTTTTATTACTATTGCAATATCTGTATTTATGGTGTATCTACTCCGCATATCTCGATTATCAAGTAAAGTTTTCAATGGCATGCGGAAACGCTGTACAGCTGCCTCACTAAGTACACTCTACCATTTAGCTTCGAACTAACTGACGTATTCTCATCAGGATGCGCCATATTTGAATTAATTAATTAATAAGTGAAATCCAATTTAAATCCGAGCTGTAGCCGAGCCACCCGTGGGTCTACAGAGTTGATTTTGGGCTTGTTGTTTAAATAAAGATCTAATTTATAATTTCTATAACATCTGAAGCCTAAATTAAGAATTGCAATAATCAGATTTTGCTCTTGCATAATGTATGTTTAAAGAAACTTATTTTGTGAAATATTTTTCATGTTCATTGCCTCATAATTAGTGGTGTGATATTTTACATTTTTGTTTCGAAAGAATGGGTTATTAATCATTGCAACACCACTCTCCAATTATAGCCCTCCATATGTATAGGGGGGATCACGTTGGCTAAGTGGGTAAGACGCTCTGGCTCGCTGGCCTGGAGGTCGGGTGTTCGATCCTTGCATTGGCCGAGAAAGTTCATCCAGATTTTCCGGCGTGGTCCCCCCTTGTCAGTGATACAGGACGGAGGGCCTGGCAAGGACAGCTGTCTAGTCCTTCGGATGAGACGAAAAACCGAGGTCCCGTGTATACATTACAATGCACGTAAAAGATCCATTGGCAGTAGGAATTCGATATAAGAGTAGGCGATGGTACCGCTGCCCGGGCAAAATTTCCCTCATAGCACACTGTATGGCGTATGCCCGCCTTCATTAGCCCAGCATAGGAGCAGAACAGTAGGACGTTAAACCCCATTTCATTTCATTTCCATATAATGAAACATGAACACCATAGCACACAGCATGGCGTATGTCCGTCCTTATTGGTCCAGGTGCTGCGGAAGGAGGGCGTTAAACCTAATTTCATTTGTTTATCAAAGAATTTGGGACAACGAAATCATCGTCTTTGGTTTGTATTTAAACCAACAAGAACGTGTTCTTAATCTCATCTACGGCGATTAAATTTTAAAATTTGTCGGGGCCTCTCGGAACGAATCGCCTCCCTTTACCTCCCTTTGATGTGTTCAAACCCTTGCTTCCTGATGAGGTGAAATTTTCGTTACTGACCCTTTGGCTTTGACAATAATTATGTGGCATGACATTTAACATTTAAATATATAATTTACAACATTTGATTCGGTGCCCCTGGCGCAATAGGAACCCTGCGTTATAGTGAAACGCAGGACTGATTTTAAAAGCGCAAATACAAACTATTCAAATCAAAATAAAATACATATAACATTTATAAATTAATTAAAATTAGTTAAATATATATTTTAGTTTATTTTTGGTTCGTCAAACGTTTATATAATTTATAAACAATTCTGTATTCTAACTATTTAAGGGCCCCCTAGGGCCTATGGGTAAACCGCCATTATAGGGCCTATAAGTTGACACAACCAGCATATATTATTTAGCCTGCTAAATAACTGATACTGTTGGCCGCCATTAAAAGACCTGCAATAGCAAACAATGCTCGTCTCGCCAAATACATGTATATACATGTGTCTTACTGTGAATACGCTAGACATAGGAGCCATGGTGGCTCAGTGTGTGAGACGTTGGCTCGCTAATCTGGAGGTTCCTAGAAATGGTTCCACGAGACCACTACTGATGTCTTTCGCGTTACTTTAGCGTTACACATTTGTAACCAGGAGGTTCCGTTTTCGATCCCTGCGTTGGCCGAAAAACCGAGGTTCCATGTAGACATTGGCGTGAACGTAAAAGATCCATTGACAGTTGGAATTCTATATAAAAGTAGACCGTACACTGTGTGGGAATGCCTGTCTTCATTAGCCAAGTTGGAGCAGAACAGTAGAATATTATACCAATTTCATTTCATACTGTGCCAGAGAACTGGATTATCGGGACTAAATATACGTACATTACCAACAGACTGGGTGATGTAGACTTATATGACGAATTTACATATCGGGATTTCCAGAAACTATTTATGCGATATTGCATGATGAGTAACTTAGCTCTGCAACAAGCTGTTTAATATTTAGGTTACGTTAAACTATTAAATAAAATTAATTTCACTCATGCAGCAATAGTGCATCACGATATCAGTCTGAATTAAATACATCTAATAAAATTTATAAAATGCAAATAAAAATGTTTCTTTTAAAACTAAATTTGTAAATTTGGCTTTGGGATTTCCAACATGTCTAATTTAGAAACATTCATACGCCTCAGTATTATTCATTTTCCCTGTTTTCATCAATTGAGAGGTGTGTGGGGTGAGAACAAATGGTAAGATTGGATAAAATACAAAACTTTCCGAATTACTGTTAGGCTTAATACACCGTTACATCATTCAGTACCTGGACTGTTATTTTTAGCTGTGACAAAGCCCTGTGTGTGTTGCCTTTTGCGGTTACAAATTTAATATATTTGCATGCCATGTTATACTCAGCTGACTAGAGGCTCAGCCAGTACCGGACCTAGGCAGGGCAATGTGGAATGTCCCGGGCCCTCCACATTTTGGATAGAGTACAAGATTTTCAAATATTTTGATCATTATTACATTGTTTGCATAAACATTTACTTGGCGGAATATTTTTTTTCTATCTCGAGATGGTGTGTGCTAAGCGTAATCGAAGTCAGTGCAACTTTATGAGCCTTAGAACGGTATCGCATAAAAATATGGCTTAATTTGCTATACTTTCAAAGTTTATGGGTTGATTTTTAATTTCTTGTTGATCAGTAACTGAAAAGATCGACAAATTTCTTTTTGGTTGGCAGATTTTATATCACTATTTTTAGGTCATTTTGTTCAAGTTCAAAATAGGTGATTAAAATCCCTATGCTATGACAAAACGATTTTCTTGAACAGACAGTTTTACAAGAAATCCATAATTCGTTATAAATGACGTGTTAAGGAGTTTGTTTTTATTATCCGATAAGAATCTTTTGAAGGGGAGTAACATGCGCTGATATATATAATGTCTAAGTCCAGAGATAGTGGATGGATACTACATTCAGCTAGACACCCCGTGTTACTGGCACGCTTAGGCGTATTGAAAATGGATTTATTTACGATATTTTTCTTGAATCAGCCCCCCCCCCCTCCACACACACACACACCTCGACTAAAATTTAATAAAATTGGCGTAAAAACCACCATGTTTCACCGAGGTGTCACAATGAAGATTTTATAATTAACTGTTAAATGACGGTCTATATAAGTGTGTATAATCTAATGAATTTGGCATAAAATGATTTTTGATTTATCGTGGAGATCACAGATCATTATGCAACGATCCCAATAGGTGTACAACTTCCTCTTTTATACAAATATGTATATACAGGAAATATACATTCAGGAGAATACGTTACAGTATAGGTATAAATATATTGATTATTATATACCAAGGACTTTTTTTTTTACCACAGATAATAATAATACAGGATCATAATATAACGGATAAGAGCAATCTTACGACAGGTTTTACCAAGTTATCTATGGTGCTCTATTTCAGCCACCCCGAACGTTGCCTTTTACAGTGTTAATTTATGGCGTAAAGAACGATGTCGCTTTATAAGCCTGACATCGCCCTTGAAAGCTTGACACGTCCGCGATCACGCGTCTCCACTCGTCTCCCACGTCGCCTTTGCTATATGAATTATATTTGTGTACGCATGTCAAAGGAGAATTCAATATACTTTACAAATATCTACAATATGAAAGTCAATATTTACCAATATTTACTTTTAACGAATGATTATCTATAATCATAATAAGGCAAAGATTCTGTATATGGTTGTTTTCATATACATTAATCAGCATGTATAACAAATGTAAAATAGCAAACTTTTCGTAAGGAAAATCCAAATATAAATTATAAAGGGCGACGCAACGCGCATAGCTTAACATTGTCGGAGGCGACACGGGGGAGGCAGCCGATGTCGACGAGCGAGTGATCTAAAAAAAACCCAAAAAACACACCATTAATTATCTCTATATTAGATACGCATGTGATAGTCAAATGATATATTCAGTTACTATTGTTATAGTACATATTTTGGTATATATACTATTCAAAAAAAGTAGGGGTTATTTGATTTTGGGGGCATAATTCTAAAATATGCAAATGACTACGAAAAAAGTCACTATAGAACCTAACAGAAGAAACATTTCCAGTTACATGTGACGCCCAAACGCACCAATAGCTACCGCATGGAATGCAGGTGATGCTTGGGATCATCATGGGGGTCCAACCCAAGATTTGCACGACTCTGACTTTGAATGTTACAGTCATTGTGGCATTGAATTCCAGGGTGGAAACATCAGTTTAATTGTTTTAGTGACCAGAAAACAAATTTTGATACGCGTCGGCTTACCCAAAATGAAAGGTTACGTGCCCTTGGCATGCTACAGATCGGCACAACACAGGCGGTTGTGGCGCGGACGATGAATGTTTCTCAGTCTGTCATAAGCAGGCTATGGTCCAGATACCGTGATACACAATCTGTACAGGACAGACCACGCTCAGGTCGACCAAGGGCGACAACTCAAGCCCAGGATCGATTTATCCGTACCTTGGCCTTGAGAAATCGTGTCATCACAGCAAATCAGATCAGCGCTCGTCTTCAAACAGACACTGGTGTGAGAGTGAGTGGCCAGACGATTCGGAATCGACTGCATAGGGGTCACCTTCGCGCCCGACGTCCTCGCGTGATCCCTTGTTTGAGAGATCATCACATTCAGGCAAGACGTCGTTGGTGTAGGGATCGTCAACACTGGGATAATCGACGCTGGAGCAATGTGATGTTTTCAGATGAGTCAAGGTTCACTGTTGATTTTTTGGACAGACGTAGGAGGGTGTGGCGTCGTCGGAACGAGCGCTTCCAAGACGTTAACGTCATCAGACATGATCGATTTGGGGGTGGTTCTGTTATGGTGTGGGGAGGCATCACTGTTGCTGGAAGAACGGCTTTACATGTTGTTGCAGGGCGTGTTACAGGCCAGTACTACCGGGACAACATCTTGGCAGTCCATGTTGTGCCGTTCGCACGACGTCATGGCCGCCGTTTCATCTTCCAGGATGACAACGCAAGATGTCACAGGGCCAGGATCGTTACAGGTTACCTCCAACAACAGAACATCACCACATTACCTTGGCCAGCACTGAGTCCCGACCTCTCCCCCATCGAGCATGTCTGGGACATGCTTGGACAGAGGTTACGTCAACGTCAACAACGTCCTGCCAATGTCCAAGAACTTGCTGCTGCGTTGCAACAGGAATGGGACAATCTGGACCAAAATGACCTTAGACGTCTCATTAGGAGTATGCCACGTCGGATCAATGCTTGTTTGGCAAACAGAGGAGGATTTACCCGTTACTGACTTGGTTGTGATGCTGTGGTAACTTTGCTGTTTGACCCCGGGTATCATTTTACCCTTATAATGGTCAGTCTGTGCCTTACTTAGTCTAACGATCATTTGGAATAAATCGATGAATGTGAACTTCATTTCATTTTGTCATTTGTTTCTTCGTCAGTTTCATTAGGTGACTTTAATAACACTTAAAAATCAAATATCCCCTACTTTTTTTGAATAGTATACGTAATTACTTATCTAAATTGACTATCTGCTTTATGGTAGATAACTTAATCTTTACTCCGAACCTTGAGCGTTCTAATCCGAACGAATTGTCTTATCTATTTACCTTTTTTGAACACTTATCTTAAAGATACTTTCCCATTATTCATTAATGCAATACTATATGTATATGAGGGTTATTTTAGTTCTATGAAAGATGGCCTGCTTAATGTATGGGAGTCATTACCAGGCAGATTTGGGATAATTAGGTACTTTGCCTATTAAAATCGCTCAATGACGTCATAAACTGGTCACTCAAATAAAATATGGTAATGGTCTACCCTAATAGCTGACGTATCTAAACGTTTTTTTATAAATTAAAGAGCGCGATTAAATTTGCTTCAGACGTCCAGTGGGGTTCTTAGAAGAACGTACCCACAGCCTCCTCGGCTTAGAGGTTGAGATTGAGACAACATGCTGTGTTCCTAGAGAGACATACCTTTAGAGGCCGGGATAGAAGAGCTTAACTCTCGCCACGGAACACAAGCTAAGTGATAGGGAACTTATATTTAGCTTATATTTAATGCCATAGCTGTGTGTGTAGTGTTTCTGTATATAACCTTTGTATTATTGATGTTATAAAGATATATAATGACATATAAACATAGCTATAGCAGCACAGTGTTCCAGAGTTAATTATCATTGAGTAATAAAAAGTACACAACGTGGAAGTCCGGATTAGATACAGTTGTGACACTATGGGCACAGATGTGACACTTTCTTCTAGGCGTTTCTTCGACTTCACGCTGGGGGATCAATTATTTCAATCATCAATTAACTTATTCTGGAACACCGTTTATGTTGTTCTAAGTTTATATAATTAAACAAATAAGCAAACTACAAAGTTATGATAGTACTTTTTGAGTTAATAAAATATCCACGATCTGGGTTTAGCATACTTTACAACTCAGACCTAACGGCTTAAATACTACATTTTGTATCTATCCCAGCCTCTCAGCCGAGAAGGCTACGATGTTCCCCTCTCGGGCCGCTTTATGATATCTGAAGGTAAATCAAACCATATCTCTCCTATATAGATATTATAATGCGTCATCTATTAGGGCGGGGCAACTACCATTTTGGGTAAGTGTTTCGTATAGGCACCGTTTTACGTCAACACTATTCTAGATAATTGTACTAATCTGTGCACGAGATAACTGGACTATAGTACCCTACTTCCAGCAATGGATACTGACATAACTGTCGGTGAGTTAGTCTAAGAAAGAAGCAGGGGCGGATTGGGCCGGTCGGACAAAAAATGAAAAAAAATTTCAATTCGTCTAAAAACCCTTTTTCTGCTGAACATTAATTGGGGGGGGGGGGGGGTGTATTGGACCGGCCATGGAGCGATGATGATCATGTTGTATGTGGCCGGTGGCTTTAACGGGCCGCCACGCCATCACTGGAATCTGGATTGGGCTGGTATAATAGACTTTCTGGGCTGGGTGTGCTGCGTGTGAGCCGGAATTCGGAATCCTGCAATGGGGATTCCGAATTTCATCCGAAAATTTCATCGGATTCACCCGACACTGTCGCCAGAAACGTCTGCCGATGGTTCGTAACTCCCCAAAAAAATTCAATTTTAAGGCCTCGGCAAAATTTGATGATAGCTGGTCTTGACGATACAATGATAATACGTTAATTAATAATATGACAATATGATAATTTCACAGGTTGATGGTTGTAAATTACTTGCAGGTCGGTTTTTTGGCCTATATTAATCGATTTATGAGATATATTATTTGACAGAGATTATGATCAGATATGCCACCAAATCGCATATTTGGGGTTCATTTTTCAAAATTTTCATGGGGGAGAGCCCCCGGAACCCCCATCCGGTCTCCGCGGTCAGTAAAAGGGGCCGCTCCGACACGGGAGCCCGGGCCGGTTCCCGGCCCCAATCCGCCCCTGGATAAAAGTAGAGTAATGCAAGCTACTTCATTACCCTAGTTTTCGTCACACATCATGTAGGTAACGAATTTCTATATTAAACAGAACACCTTTCTTCAAGCTAAAATAAACCTAAGAGGATTACACAGTGACACACGATAGTGTCACATTAATATATACTTTTTAATTGTGATTTCAATATCTTTATTTGTGGTATGATGTTCATTCTTAATAAACCCAATTCGACGTCAAATAATTATTACTTCTTATAGATTAAAGCTCCTTGAATAATAAATATTGCGAGAGGGCCGTGTTTCGGCGTATTAGAGCTACGCACCCCCAGCATAATAAGTTCCAATATACCGTAATATACGTCAAGATAATGGTCAAACAGCACACGTTCTCACTGTCACATATCCGTTGAATTGAAAGTTATCTTAGTTAAAAACGTTGTGTTCTATGGAAGGGTATCGCTGACTATATTTAAAAAGTACAATGTACAAAGTCCTAATACCGGTAATGATAAAGTCAAAATACCCCTAAGGCCAAATTTAAATGTAAAACGTCAACAATGTAATGTGTCAAATGATAAATAATTTATTGGAAAATGCAGGGGGTTTTTAACATTTCGCTCATTACATTTTAGATTTACTCTCTGTAGCATCTCATTTGCCCTTCACGCTTTCTACATAGCACCTTACGCATAGCGCTATCTTTGATATGCAAATGTAGGATATCACGTGACTTATTAAAATATACAGGAACGACGCCGAGATCAACCCGGCACACTATAAGCCAGCACAATTTAAGAAATTTACTTAACCTTGACAAACGATCAAATTTGGATGGTACTAAACACTATCACCATGATTACAAATGTGGTGGTGGTGTGTGTGTGGTGGGGGGGGGGGGATTCAATATCAATAACGGTCCTTAATACGAAATTCCAGATATCAGGTTACATATCAGTGAAAATCATAACTTGCGAAAAGATCATTTGGACGGCATTAACCTCTTTTAAGTGACTGTGTGTGAGTGAGTGTGTGGTGTTGGTGGTGGGAGGATTCAATGTTGAAACACGGCTCTCAATACGAAATCCCTAATATCATGTTACCTATCAGGACCCTAGCCAGCTTGCTAGCTTCGAAGGGGCAGTGAAGTTTTTATGGGGGGGGGGACACCCGGCACAGTCTGGCTACGGGCCTGTTACCTATGTTACCTCAACTCAAATATGTAAATAATTTTCTGGCAGATTCATATTTGCATACCTTGAACAACGTCGGGTGGTAAGAAACTCTGTTATATGAAGGACGGGGGTAGGGGTATTTAATGTAAAAATACGGGTCTTAATACAAAATTCCAGATATCATGTTACTGACAAGCACGTTCATTGCTCTTTTCAAATATGCAAATAATGTTCTGGCACATTCATGTTTTCTTAAAAAGATTAAAGTTGAAGTTGAAGGAGGGGCGGAGATGAACTAAAGGTGCGGAGCTTAAAGATACATAATGGGAGATTAGATAAAGAGCTGACAGTTATCACTATAATAGTTAAAAAAAGATAATATAAAGGGAATTTGCTGAAAATTGCATTCAAATTGATCCACTCTAAACCGCGAATTTTAGGCCTAGCCTCGATCACTATTACTAACGCCGGTACGATAAAATAAATAGTCCCGATTATCCACCTCTTGATTTAATCATGAATGAGTGTAGAGCAGCAGATCGGATCCTAATCCAGAAAATATCGCAGGCTAGCGATGATATCGAGAGTTGGTTATGGTCTGGATAAGTTAATTAATGTCTAATGAATAATTTAGATAAAATTTCAGGCCCAAAGAAAGACCTGCAATTGGCAGATTTAGCTCTTGAATAATGTATATTTAATCCAGAAAATGTATAATTATTACTCTTAAGAGAGTCAAAATACAGGCCTTAATACGAAATTCCTGTTATCGTGTTATATATCACTGGAAAGTATGTTTTATTTCAATCTATTAGTTATTTCCTGGCACATTCACAATTACGTACTTTAGAGAAAAGAAAGAAAATTCCTCATTGTTTTGTTGAAAGAAATATGTCGCTGTCAAACAGAATATTCTTTCAATTTATCTTATTTGTCGACGGCTCAGATTAGCCATACCAATCACATGATTTCGTTGCAGTCACGGTCGTCCCGCGAATTTCTTATAGTGTGCCAGCTTGATTTCCTCTTATTGTGTGGTGAATACCATTATAGTGTGCTGGCTTATAGTGTGCCAGGTTGATGTCGGCGTCGTTTCCGTTTATGTTAATAAGTCACGTGATATCTACATTTGCATAATATCAAAGCTAGTGCTGTGCGTAAGATGCTATGTAGAAAGCGTAAAGGACAAAGCGCAAATTTGAAAAGTAATGAGAGAAATGTAAAGACATGTAAATGTAAGACATTTGTCATTTGACAAATTACTTTTGACGTTTTACATTTAACTTTGGCCTTAAAGGTATTTTGGGTATTTTGACTTTATCATTACCGGTATTAGGATTTTTTTTACATATAATCAATCGAAAAGACATTTTAGCAGAGCATTTAATAATGTTCTACGGTCAAGCTGTCTAGTCGTTCGGATGGGACGAAAAACCGGGGTCCCGTGTACACATTGGCGTGCACGTAAAAGATCCCTTGACAGTTGGAATTCGATATAAGAGTAGGCCGTAGTGCCGCTGTCTGGGCAAAATTTTCCTCATAGCACACTGTATGGCGTATGCCCGTCTTCATTAGCCCAGGTTAGGAGCAGAACAGTAGGACGTTAAACCACATTTCATTTCATTTCATTGCCCTTACAATAAAACATTATTTTACATTATCTAATCTTACTGTTAAATATATATGTCATAATATAAAATATTTCTTATTACAGGTTTGATAATATTTGCAGGAACGATTCAAATTAGTTCATGGCATATAATTTCAACCGTTATTTCCGCTTGTCACAAATCACCCTGTTATTTACCAACGTTTTCAAGGTAATGTATTTAAATACAAATCGTATGACAATAATTTTTACTACCATGGGGTAATCTGTACCTAATTTATTTTAAACGATGCCTCTTAATATGGAAGCCTATAACTACCATTCATAATTTCTACTTTTCGCCCCTTCAAAACACGAAAGTCGAAAAGTCGAAAAGTCGAAAAGTAGAAGGTACGACAAAATGTGAGGGGACAGCACGCTATACAAGCCAAAATCGACTCGAAAAAAGGGAATTAAGAAATAATACACTGCGATAAATAGCGCCCCTCGTTTTTTCCTAATTTCTTATTTTTGACTTGCATTTTGGCTTTCGATTTAGTAATATTAACAGTGGGACGTTAAACCCCATTTTATTTCATTTCATTTCGTACTGTCGACTTTTCGAGTTTCGCTTCGGTAGTCGTTGTAGTCTCTACATTCCAGGTCACAACTGAATTCATGCAATTCGCGTTAAAAAAAATAGTCTGTATGTTAAAGTCTAATATTGATGGCGATATTAGCGACCTATGATTTTGGCTTGGTATCGTTCCTCGACTTTTCGCCTCGGAAGTTGATGTAGTCTCTACTTGCAAGTTTACATTTTGAATACGCGCATTTATGATTGAATTTCATTTACTGTGGCTTCATACGGCATTTAAAATTGCAAGTTTTCCCGATTGGATATTATTATTATTTAATTTCAAATTATATTAAGAGAGGGATTTTTTTAAAAAACAAATTGGCGAGAGAGAGAGAGAGAGAGAGAGAGAGAGAGGGGGGCACGTCACTTGAATCAATGACAGATCGCGTGATTTCACGCGCACGCGTTAAGCCACTTACCCCCATGTAAAACGGATTTTATCAGTGGTATAATTGTATGTATACCGGTACGGGATAATTGTTTTATAATAGACCTACATGATAAATTAAATTGTTGTAAGTTTGAGGGGGGGGGGGGGGAGTTTTTGATTTTATCGGATATTTTTGGCAGATAAAATATTCCAGTTGGCGGAGATAAAATATGAATAATTTTTTTAAATAAAAATTATTATCAATTTTGGCGGAGGAAATGTAAGCCAGTTGAGCCCTGATTGCACGTATTCAAATGCGACCTGGTAAAGACTACAACCACTTCCGAGGCGAAACTCGAAAAGTCGCCAGTACGACGACAAGCCAAAATGATAAGTCGCTAATAGCGCGTGTGTTTATTTCCTAATTTCTACTTTTCGAGTTGCATTATGGCATTATGCGTGTTGGCGCCTTCTTACTGGCATCAATAAATACAAAAATATGACAAAGTCGACAAGACGGTACACAAGCCAAAATGATAGTCGAAAATAAGAAATTAGGAAAAAACGAGGGACGCTATTATCGCGGTGTAATATTTCTTAATTTCCTATTTTGGAGTCGATTTTGGCTTGTATAGCTTGCTTTCGCCACACATTTTGTCTTAACTTCTACTTTTTTTTTTATCAGACATTTTTGGCAGATAAAATATCCTAGTTGGCTGAAAAAAAAATATGAACATTTTTTTTATATAGAAATTTTTATCCATTTTGACGTAAAAGAAAGAAATACGGTGTGAGCCCTGATTGCACGTATTCAAATGCGACCTGGAAAACTGAGACTACAACAACTGCGAGACGAAAGGTCGAAAAGTCGCTAATAGCGTGGTGTGTTAATTTCCTAATTTCTACTTTTCGAGTTGCATTTTGGCTTGTATAGCGTGTTGGCGCCTTCTTACTGACATCAATAAATACAAAAATATGACTAAGTCCAAAGTCGACAAGACGGTATACAAGCCAAAATGCAAGTCGAAAAGTAGAAATTAGGAAAAAACGAGGGGCGCGATTATGGCTGTGTGTTATTTCTTAATTTCCTATTTTCGAGTTGATTTTGGCTTGTATAGCGTGTTGTCGCCTCACATTTTGTCGTAACTTCTACTTTTCGACTTTTCGACTTTCGTGTTTTGAAGAGGCGAAAAGTAGAAATTATGAATGGTAGTTATAGGCTTCCATAGTCATATGATTTATTTCATTTTAATTTCAAAATTCGCAAAAATATTGATGTCCAGTTTAGTGCTGTGTAAACCACGTTTGCCTTTCAGATGGCAATAGAGATCGACGCAATGCCTTCTAGTTTAGCCATGTACCATAGTGTAAACAACAATGGTGATTTAGGCCACCAGATGTATGAGGAGGACGAGGATGAAAATCTTGTAGCGACGATAAACGATAATGACGATTTTAAGACCGACATCTATATCATTTATGAGGATGATTCGAATACCCCCGACGTCTTCGACACACCAGAAATTGAACGCGAAAAAACAAATCTGAACCAAATGCCCTGTAATTCAAAGTTTAGGCACACTTCGTCAAATTGCCAGACAATACCAAACCAGTCCATTGGAGACAATGACAATGGTAATAGTAGTGGTAATGACAATGAAGATGTGTGGCTAACGAAGGCCGAGGAAGAAGAATTAATAAAAGCAGCCGGCGACTCGCTCTGTAATGGAAACTGTTTGCCCCTGATAAAACAGGAGTTGAAAATCAAAATACAAATGAAAAGACTCGAGAAAGGTGAAGAGGAAATAACAACAGATGAAACAAAAAGCCAAGAAGAGGTATGCTATAGGAATTTGTGGAATTTAGCACTCATTATGACGTTCGTTCACATTTGTTTGTGGACATTCTACAGATCAAAATTCATTATTATTATCCGAATTTGACGAAACTTAAACACATCTTTATATCTCAAACATTCCACTTCCTTTCGATATTTGGCACGTATCGTACCGTAACTTCGTGGATTTTTGCCCCTGATTGTACGAAAAATCGCGTTGATGGTCACTTATTATTATCCGATTCTGATGAAACGTTTATATCCCAAAGATCTCGGATCCTTTCGATACTTCCTGAAAAAATCATGTGTTAAGCTTGTGGATTCTCTAGAGGTCACAGTTTTGTAATTAATTTTAAAAACCGTTCAAATGTATTACCGTTGCATCAAAATTACGTAAGTGTTCGAATTTCGTGAAATTAAGAGCAATACTTCGGTCAAAATAGAGGCCCCCCCCCCCGCCCTTTTACGCGAATAATGTAAAAGCATGTATACTTCCTGAAAAAATCGTGTGTTAAGCTTGTGGACTCTCTAGAGGTCACAGTTTTGTATTTAATTTTAAAAACCGTTCAAATGTATTACCGTTGCATCATAATTACGTAAGTGTTCGAATTTCGTGAAATTAAGAGCAATACTTCCGGTCAAAATAGAGCCCCCCCCCCCCCGGCCCTTTTACGCGAATTGTGTAAAAGCATGTATTAACACGGTTGTGGACCCGATTGTGATGAAACTTAACATATGTTAAGAATCACAAAATCTTGGATGAGTGCGATTTTGGTGCGCATCTCGTTCCTTCCGTGCCAGTGTTTATGCCATTGTTCATTGTCCCCGATTTGGTCTAGTTCACTATGCAATGCAATGGCCTTGACCAATGAGGTCACTAATTTTAAAAGTAAGCCTTTGTTAGCATGTGTATGGCATACTTAATTATAACGGTAAACCGTAAATCTGTTTTAACCATGTTCTTTTATTCGATGCAAAGCATTGGGACAACGAGAGAATGAGTCATGTTGTTCGTGGGGGGTTGGAAGGTTGATCGTTCCAGTTCCCCGCCCATCTCTTGAAAATGTTGGCGAATCTTGCATGGCAACCGCTTGTTGTTTATATTTTTCGTCCCACATTTCGTCACATTGTCCGTCCGTCGGTCCGACCGTCAACAATTAGCTTCTGAATACGATAGAGTATATAGTTTTTAATGAATCTTTTTCAAATTTGGAAGGGGGTGGGGGAGAAGCATTGGGGTCACGAGAAGGCGAACCCTATTGATAATCACCTTTCCTCTCACTAGTCAAATAAGAATTCAGTGTATGTTAATCCTATTATTAAAATCATGTAGACACCCCTGACCTTCTTTTTTTTAGACTGGGTTATTATTTCTTTGACTGACAACATCCCGTGGCGTCCTTGCCGCACCCTTATTTTTAATAGAATCACGTTGCTTTAAGCGTTTTGTGAATTTCTATAATATTAGATTTTTGGAAATGTAATTAATAATAAATTATTTTTAAAATTTCATTATGGAATATGAAATCACTATCTGTGTAAATGCATAATATATACTATGTAATTGCAGCTTTTTATGAAGAAAATCAGAAAACGTTCTCGGGCGAAAGAGCTCAACAGATTAGCATCACTTCGTTCCAGGGAGAAAAAGGCAAAAAAAGAAAACGAAATTGTTGAAGTATGTATTGATTAACTAAGTACAACTATTTTAATGCTTTATTATTTAATTATTTATTTTTAGTTTGTTGTCATTTTAGGAAGCGGGAGAGGGGGTATTATGTTACATCGAACCTTTCCGGTATCAGTTATTTTAAAACAGTTTTTTTTAGTACCGAGTATGTATAAATGACTCTAACCAGTAAGAATACTAATGAGAAGCATATTGTATTTTCAGAGGTTTCGACGCCTGAGTGATTCAAATGAAGAATTACAACAAGAAAAGGAAAAACTGGAAAAGTTGAAGAAGATTTACACAGGCGAATTAGAGCATTGCCAAGATAGCAACTGTTGCTTGATTGAAACCTTAGTTAGCAATTTTCTTATATAAAACTGATGATATAAATTGAATTGATTCTTTTGTGTTGAACATTATAAATCTTACTATTTCGTTCTAATGAGCAACCGTTTGTATCTGGTCTTTTTATATGATGCCAAACTCAATGAGATCAAGTACTAAATGAAGCTATAATAACAAGCACCTATATTATGTTCAAATAGCAGTCACCCAAAGTGCTTTATACATGCATTGTTTGAACCAAGCGGGATTTAAATCAATTTTTGTGTGCTTTTTTTTCGTTTGTAATGCCACTTATCGCTTGAGAAGTTCACAAAGGTAAAACATGTTAGCCAAATACTTATTCTTTTTTTTAATGAAAAATCAGATAACCCTATTTAAAGTCAGCCCTTTTATTGAGCGGTGTGCATTAAAACGTTAACCGATAATCCATTCAACATCTCAACCACCCGTTGGTCTAGAGGGTTGATTATGGGCCTCTGTGAGTAAATGTATAAATAATAACGTTTGTATATACAGCATTTGAAGTCAGGAATGTACAATGTTAGATAGTTTTGTGTACTCTGTATACAGCAATGAATATATCACTTTCAACCAATAACGTAGAAGTAAATAATATATAATTTTGAATGGGGCATAACTCTAAAATATTTATCCAATTTCGCCTAAAAGAAATGGGGATTCATGAACTATCACCATACAAGTCTTCTGAAAGTTTCAGAAATATTTGATGAATCTCTGTACAGCCAGGAAAAAATGGAGGAGGGGATGGGGGAGCATTATAGCGCTAAAAATCCTAATCTGACTTTGCCGAAAAGACATGATGATACCCATCTTGACATGTTACACATTTCCGGAAAGTAGACTGTATGCATATATTATAAAATCATCGTTCCACTTTATCGTACCACTTCAAGGACTCCACATGCAGTTCTGGGATTTACCGTTGATTTCACTTCTGAACTGAAAACATGCACTTTCAGTTGAAGGTGTCAAGATGTATTTTCGTGCTTCGAGAATTTTATAATAGCTGAACCTTTCCAGCCACATTTAAAATACAAGTTCATCAGTACAAAAGGAGTAAACAAGGCCTACATTATAATCCAAACATTGATGTAAACAGGAGTGTGTGTATTTAATGATTTTCTGATTGGTTGATAATAATAGCAGAATCATCAAGGCCAGTTAATTTGAATACGTGTCCTGCCCGTGGACGAACCCAGGGGTTAGTGGAGTGCAACGGAATAAGACCACCGGGGATACCAGGAACATCGGAGGATGAACTCTATCGATTTTCGGCGTACCACGCCGTTCCGTTCTGGAGTTCCACCTTTTGTGAAAAAAACCCTTTGCGATAGAGGCTACAGCTTTTGGCAGGTTCTTGGACGAAGCCTATTGATAATCAGCGTGCAACGAGCTCCCTTTCCGAGTTACCACCCTCTTTTCGAAAACCTTGCGCGATAGAGGCTATAGTTTTTAACCCCTATTGTAATAATCGTATCTATAAGTGTAGAGAAGGATTTAAAAAAACGCTATCAGAAGGATTATTTATCTGATATACACACGGAAAAGATGATCAAAATCCTGAGACGACAGATTTTTCAGAGAACATACTTCACGTTTATTTAAATATCAATGACTACAATTTTGGGTTGACATTTCATTCAACAATTTCTCCAAACATTTTCATTAGTCCAGTCGAAGCAGAACAGACGTTAAACACCATTTCATTTCTATTCTTCGCACAGGCGGGGTGACTATAATCATGATGGCCGAAGACGACAACCCCGGGGTCACGATAGGATTGATTGTTTTATTTGCCAGTTAGTCGAACCTTATTTGATTAGTGTATTGAATAAAAAAAGACATTTTTATAAAAAAAATACCAAGAGTTTATTTCAACATAATGTCATTCGTTAAATTTTGAATCATTCTCGCTTGAATATTGTAGGTTGAGTGTATGAATTACAAAGAACTTTATGTTCACATTCATACATGTACAGTATATGCAGTCTTTGCCTTTTCTATCAATGCATTCTGCGGGAAAATACCTTTCTTAACAACAACCTATCAAGTTTCGATTTAGATCGATAATAGACAGGAAATATTTCTACACGAATACACAATAATAAAATAAGTATACTTAAACTTAAATTCAATTGAATTTTCGTCCTGATCTGCGGACATTTTGTTTTTGAAATCGCGTAAAGGTATCTCTGTGTTTGTCGAGTAGTTATTGAACCTGTGATTGGAATTGGTTATTATTGGGACGTCTGCGGTGTATCTGTTTGTGTTGTATAAGTGCATGGTTCACCCTTATGTTCCCAGAGAAATGACTAAAAGAAAAAAGGATGCCTGCTAATTGTGAAGTTAGAGACTGACATCGAAATTTGATGTTTCCAGAGAAATAATTAAAGAGAAAAGGATGCCTGTTAACCGTGAAGACTTTAAAGACAGTGAAATTTGGTTGTTTTTGTTAGACGTCACCATGGAGATGAACAAATACACGCCGAAATATGTTTGTGTGTTATAACATATTCATAAGAATAAATAGACATAAATATGTCCCCCAAGCAAAAGTATACCTGTCCGGAAATGTGCTTCTCGAGAACGGGTCCCAATATCTGAGACACGATAGGATTGGGTGATCCAGACGATGGTTAATAAAAATGAATTGTGTATTTGTTGATAGTGATTAAAATTCATACACAGCATTTTGAATATCACATCTGTTCAATTCTAATATATTATCAGTTATTTGTGGTTTTAAATGTAGATATAATTAAATTTGAAATATATAAACAGATAGCAGTTTTAAGTCCAGAGCCGACCTCCCATATCGTATTCCTCAATGGATACAGGCCTATATTAAAAAGTAAAATTCAACCAAGACCGTCAAGCTAGGATACTTCGACCGTTGCTATCCGATAGCTAACAGAAACGTTATCACACGTTTATTCATCGTATACACAATGGCAGTTATGTTATAATTGAATTGCATTATACCTTATCTTATACTTTAGAATAGACAACATTAATCAAAAATGCAGTGCTGTAACTATATTTCGAGCAGTTCTTTTCGTGGAGAACTAGATGGGGAGGAAATATCTAGGGTACTGAATGAAGTCAGTAAGGTTGAAGACGCAAATCTACCATACTTGATGTTTAAGGATATTGATACCCACGGGCTGATTCCTGATAATGAAGTGGATATTCAGACTTCTGAAATTTTAGAATTTATAAAGCTACCAGAGCAATCAGAATTACCGAATGAAAGTTACCCAAACCATCTCGGATCTACTTTGAAATCCGACACAAAAGCATATCCAGAAATTCTAGATTTGGATTTATACAGAAATCAAACTTCTCGCACAGGATATCCGGATTCTTGTATATCTAACTCTCATTTTAACAATATTCTGAAAGATTTACAAATGTGTGACGACAACGCTTGTTCTTTAGCTCCAAGAAAACACTCTGGTTCTAATCCAGTTAGTGACCCTAGTACAATAATTAACCTATCTTGTGCGCCAAATAAAACAGATGAGTCTCACCAAGCACAAGTCAAGATGGGAAATTCTCTCAGTCAAAAATCAGCCGATACCAAGAAAAATATAATTGACTCTCCATTTGAGAATCCCCAAAACGTCACACACAACAGATCTGTATTAAGAAAAAGACTGAGTATTAAAATAAAAGAAAGGAGAAAACAAGAAGGAAAGGATGAATTTATTCCTGATTTTAGTTCCAGGCCTACTTTCGAGGTAAGCATCATTTAATAAAACTAGGAAATATCACGAACCAAATTTACATCATCCTGGGTCAGTGCTTACGTGGAGACTTGACCTCTCCCCCAAATTTTTAAACCTAACCCACACTCTCGCCAACAATTACGTGCCATCATAACCTTGACTAAATCTACACTTGGCTTTAATTTTTAGACTTCCCAGAATAGGATTAGGGTTGAATGAGGATAAAATGCGGCAATGCTTGAATTAACATGCACTGCGTATACACTCGTTTTTGAAACTACATGGATTGTCTTAGCACGAAATGATTGTAACTTTTGTGTAACCTTTGTTCTACAGTTCTACTGGTGTATTTCTAGTCTAATTAAAAATTCCTAGAATAGTTTTATCCGTAAAATATTGCATTGTTTTAAAGGCAAAAATCTATAAATAGAGCAACTGCATTCGGAAATAAATTAGAAGTCCTTGTCCAACTTAAATATAGTTACCTCCCTTTAACTGATTCAGTTTTGAAAGCTGACTAATAAAGGCATGAATAAAGCTAAACAATTAAGTATTGTTTAATGGTCGAGAGCGAGACATTAAACATCTTAAAATACTGACACTCCGCACGAGCTTTTACGTCACATTAGTCCAATATCTCACTGGTTTGAATAAAGTACTATCGGCAAGTTGCCCGTACGATTATTTGAAATAATGGTACGCCAACATCAAAGGGTGACGTCACATCTGTATTTTAAATACAAATAAAACTATATGAATACGTCACTTTTTTTTCAGTAAGAGACCTTTCGTACAAAGGTACTAATTATTGTCACAGTTTGAATACACCTATCGGTAGAATAATAACCAACAAAATAAAAATAAATAAATAAAAACTATTCTGGCTTGCGTTTTTATTGTAATTTTGAAGCTCTTTGAAAAAAAATAAATATAAAGAAATGCCTTTGCAAAGACTAAAAGAACAGCTTTACCATTGATCTAAAACATATTAAAATCTATCCTAACGTAAGTTATGGCGACATCTTTATTATCAATACCTGAATGATAACTCATTTCTATCCATTGTTGGCCTTATTGCCCATTGTGCCTTTAATAACATTAGACATTATTATGTTATTAGCCTTCCGATGAAGAAAAGAGAAAATCCCAGGATTTGAAAATGAGGAACCTAAAATCTGCCAACAGAAGCAGGGATAACATGAAGTTAAAGGTCAAGAAATTAGAAGAGGTACTTGTATGGCTTATTTCTAAATTAAAAACGCGACACCAACATCCCCGTCATTTTAATGTCACACCCTCTTTGCTTCTGGTCAAAGAATAAATTGCTGTCTTATTTTGAGATATAACCTGTTGTGGATTTAACTGTCGACAAGTAAACAATTGCCTAGTTATTCAGATAAGACAAAACCAAGGCCCGTCAGTGTACACTTTAGAGAACCAATGGAAGTTGTAATTCTATAAATATAGGGGGAAACATAGAAACGAGAGACGTTAAATCCCATTCAATCCAACATCCCACAAAATGCATTATTTTAATCATTTAAATTTCTACGGTTTAATTCTTACTAACATGTACTCATATTGGTCATTTGAGATATAAACAAAATTGAAATATCACCTTGGATTAAACAGATACCCATCAAATGATTTAGCGAATATGGTAGGGGATTGGTCTGTTGATATCGTTTGCCGAGAATGCCGAATGTTGACATAATAAAGGGTCCAGTTTGTGAGTTACCCAGGTCTGATAACAATTATAATTTAGTGATTTGAGGCGAGGATAGTAACTAGAAAGTGCTGAATAATGTATGTTAAACATTTTTAATTATTTCCCAATACAAATGGTGTTGTTTTGATAGATATGTTTTAATTATATTTTAATTATATTTGATGGTCCACCAAACAAGATAAAATTTAATATAGTACTTTTGTGGGGTGTTACCAAACCCGATGTATTTTAACACTCTTTAACACAGGTATACTTTTACAACTTTATATCGGCCCACCAAACAAGGTTTGATTCCTTTTTTGGTCTATCAAACCAAATATATTTTAACACTATAATTAGGTATACCAATTCAATTCAGAAACAATTTTAATACTTTATTTGGAACCATCAAATCGGATAACCTTTTAATACTTTATTGCACCCACCAAACCAGACACAATTTTTTTTCTGTTTCTGTTGGGTCCACCTAACCAGATATACCATTAATACTTGCTTTGTGACCACCATAGTAGATACAATTTTGATACTTTATTTGGAGCCATCAAAACAAATAGGTTTTAATAAATTATTTGGGTCCATTAAACCAATGTCTATAAAAAATTTGTAATAATTATTTTTAATTTATATACAAAACAAACATACCAACATTAAATGTTTTTTCTGTGTTTTGGGAGGATATTTTTTTTCGAGGGTGTGTGTTGGGGGATGAGGGTGGGTGGGTCTTTCATTTGTATTTATTAAATATTTCGTGATTTCAGAGCATACGCTATTACGAAGAGAGTAACAGTAAATTGGAATCGAAGATAAAAGAATATGAAATGTTACTTGCTAACAGGAGACAGTGGCTGGTGCGACATGGTGTTGGTGGAAACATTGATCCTAACTCGAACAACACTATAAACAGATGTTTTAAATCCGGGATATCAAGCAGTAGCAAAGTATAGACTTAAACATGCATTATGCAAGAGCTAAATCTACCTATTGCAGGTCTTTCTTTGGGTCTGTAATGTTATCTCAATTATTAATTAGACATTATTTAACTTATACAGACCACAATCGACTCTCGATGCCATTGTTACCCTGCGATATTTAGTGGATTTGAATACATTTTGTGGATAATCGAAACTTTGTTTATTATCGTGCCACCGTCAGTAATGTCTCAGACGGAAGCAGTTTGACTGAAATTTTCAGCAAATACTGTTTTCTTTATCTATTTTTAACTATTATAGCGAGAACTATCAGCTCTATATCTAATCTTACCTAATGCCCCTTTAACAATAGGAAGAGTTATAGAATGGTTTCAAATTACTCTTATTAATGGCTGGACAGGTAGATAACCTTATCACCCAATATTCAACAGTACTTTTTAATAGCCATTAAGTTTATAAATTAATTAAAAAACAGACTTATCCATATACATATTTCACCAGAACAGTAATATACGATACATGTAAGACTATTATATTTATTTACTCTAGTATATCACACCCATACATTACAATGAATTATGGCAGGACGATATGAGATGATATCGAGACTTATTTGTTTATTAGTTTGCAAAAACGAACATTAAGACAATTTGAGCATGTTGAGTGAAGCACGATTAGATCTACATATTATAATAGTCCTTTGACACTCGACACTGTAAAGATGCATCACGAACTAATATATTTATAATATTTTTTTTTCTTCGCTTTGATCTCGATTTTCCCTTCTCAACCACACACTGTGATCAAAACGAGGATTTCCTGATTTTCTTGGCCAAGCTGTCACCAGTCGATATTTGCATACAGCTGCAAAGATTTGCTCGAAATTAACCAATCATAATTGATTATTATCGTTTCTATTTTGAAACAAGTAAATGTATCGTCATATGCCACATTCCAAATCCCATTTACAACAAGTTAAATACAAAAGTGACTAGTATTACATTTTCAACGCCATACATGAGGAATGTTTCATTTTTAAAGGATATATTGTTTGAACAATACAAATGTATGTAATGTCATACCTAAATCAGTTTATTGATTCACCGGAAACGTTATTTTATATGGTATTTTAAAGAGTTTAGAATTTTTTTCTTGAATTGAATGTATAAATTGAACAGTGATGCATGGTATACGAATATTTTGGGTTCGACGTGAAAGCAAACGATAAATAGAAAATATTGCGAATATCATTCAGAGAATTCTAGTAGCAGCAATATTTTAATTTTAGTGTACTGTAAATATATGTTAATAGCAGATAAGTACCAAGAAGTATTAGAACATACTAAAGTTATTGAAATAAGTTGTTTATTATCATAAAGCAGTGTTAAATTTTAAAGCGTGAATGTTCGTATAAATCTAGGACTGTCAGTTACATGAAATTGGGACAGGACATCACCACTCTCACTATAATTATAAATCCCAATGTCAAGTGATACCAGTTATTTCGTGCACGACACCGACTTGGCGTTCAAAAGTATACTTTTCATCACGCATTTGTTATTACCTTATTTGTATTCTATAAACACCTACTGCTGTCTAATTATTTAAAATATGTTTTATACTCCCGCATTTAATGTTATAATCATAATATTGCCGTTACCCATGTTCGGTGTTCGTGCACTGCTCGAAATTGACACCAGATGGATACACGTTAAATTAAATGTTCAAATTCGGCTCTGATCGTAAAAACATCGCGCCATTCGCGAGGGCATTTTAGTCATCGTATGGAGTTTCTCAGGCTCAGACTGAAAATTCCTGAGCGCTGGCCATCGTATGGCCTTCGTTTGTCCTGCTGGTATAAACTATTATACAATATTCACATATTCGTATTACCTTCGTGTGTGCTTCGGGTACCACCGTGTAACCTTCTATAGGCTATCGATTAGCTGTTGACCGACCAAGTTCGGGGCCATCTTCGCGCGAAATTCAAAACTCCATATTCGTATGGACATCTGGTGTAAATTTCGCGAGAGTGCGGCGCCCGCATAACAATTTTCAAGGAAAAGTTACTAATAATCTGTTTTAAAACATGTATCATTTAATTGTATCGTCACATGGTGGTAGCTACTGAATTTTCTTGTTTCAGTTTGGTTAGTAGCTATACAATATTGCCTTAAAATTGATTATTTACACTGACGCGTATCGTACACAAGTTGTACTTTTCAAACTATGGATGTCGTCCGAATAATAGCTTCAATAGTAAATGAAGTCTAATTTCCGGAACACCGGATAACGCTTCTCATTTGATGAGTTCACATATTTTTTGTACCTGAGTATTCGTTATGATTCACGGGCACTTTCAAATGGAAAAAGAGAAATAAGTACTATTATAACATTTCCCAAATATATTTTTGAATAAGGCAAAAGACAATGTCAAAGATATACTTGATAATTGGGCTAAGTCATTTATAAATCAATAGAAAAAGTATGGGGATAGTCGGTAGCCTTGAGGAATAAAATCATTCATATTCTTTGGCTATCTGTGTCTTTGTGCCAGACCAAGAGTTGGGGGACTAACACAGATCGATATAAACTGAAGATGTGCCAGTAATGGCAGATGCTGGAAAATCCCATTCATAACCGTGTCCCCTGCATGGATGTAACCATTTTGATTGGTCGATCTCACACCATTGTCAGTTTCAGGTTTCCATAGCTCATTATGGAATCTAAATGTCGAACTATAATTTCCCAGTGAAATATGGCGAGGAATTAATACATTCATTCAATACTTCTGACGCCCACACTGCTTTGTTCCAACTGTTCACTTTCATGAATGAATTTATCAATGACGTCATTGTATTACTCATTCATAAAAGATACTATTATTTTTCTAATCAGCTTCAACAAGGGAATTGGCAACCACGGCTAAATTTGGAACATTTTGTAAAGATTTATATTTAGAAATCAACAACACTGATGCCATAGTTTTTTTTATTTGATCAATAAAAGCTAGTTTTGAAAACATTATTTATCTTCTTTCTTCTTTTTTTTAAAAAAATGTAGGAAACACAAATTTACGTAACACATTAAAAGTATGTTGACATTTATAGCACTGTAAAAATTTGGAATAAGAAAAATATTCTTATATTAGTACATTTTGTGTCTTTTAAATGACAAATATATAATTTTTTGACAGAATTCTCCGACATTGATCTGATTGATTTTCAATCAGAATTAAAGGACAAAACATATAGATTTAATAAATTTTGTATTTCTTCAGCTCTTTGGTAAATTAGTCTATTAAATTCGAATATGGAATGACAAAACCCGACAGAATATGAATGTTACATTTTCTAATCACAAAATCGTAGTTTATTCTTTAATGTCACTATGGCCAGTAATAAATAATAGTATTATATATAAACAAGTTTTATAACGTCGAACGTTAATCACAGTAAAAACAATAACATAGAGACTTTAACCCTTATTTTAAACCCAATTATATATGTATATTATTATTCGCTTAAAAACCTTACAACTATATTTATATATTATTCTTTACTTAAAAACCTTACACTATATTTACATAAATTATTCTTCACTAAAAACCTTACACATATCATTTTTACAGTATGTGGTGTGGTTGCAACAGTTGCGGCAAATATGGTAGTCAGCTCTCTCCATTCGTTCTTGAGCTAAAGCACTAGCGATGTTTTTATTTTGCTCCTCCAGATCATTTATCTTCTGAAAATATATCAGATTTATTTCATTTATAAATTTGTTGAAATCAGCTAATTCATTTTGTTAGCTTATCCTCATTCGAGTTATCTATTTTTGGTAAATCTTTTAAATGCAAATAATCTGATATACATGTATAAAATCAAAAGACTGTGCCATTTTATGAAATTATCATAACAATAAAAACGTTACCCAAAGAAGATCTTGATGGCGTTCTTTTTGTCTTTGGCGATATTTTTTTGCCGCTTTTTTGTTCGATTCCTTCTTACGTTTTCTCTTCTCTTTTTCTTCTTCGGTTAACTACAAATAATCGACGATATATCTTACCAAATATATAACAGACAATAATCATTAAATGCATCCCCCACTCCCAAAAATACCAAAATAAAAAATGTTTCCCACACCACCCTAATAAAATAATAATAATGATGATAAAAAAAAATGGCTATTATTATTCCAGTATTACATGAAGACGTGCAAGACAAATAAAGGATGAGAACCGACGGGAATTACAGTTTATTATTTCAGTATGACATGAAGACATGCAAGGCAAATAAAGAATAGGAACCGATGAGAATAACAATTTAGACTCTATAATAAATAATTACTTAATTTATGTATGATTATACAAGTTTATTATTTTGGTCGTTCCAAATATCATACTTTCAGATAAAATATTTTATGTCGAACAGATGACATAATTACGCTCGAATGAACATATCTTAGAGAACTGACCCCTTGTTCTTGTTTTTTCGTTGTTTGAACTATATATTCTGGAAGTCCTCTGTCCATACGTCTAATCTGTATTGTATCATGTACTATACGTTTGGTTAAAGGTAAAGTTGATCTTGTATCAATTACTTCTTGCACAGCAGCTTTTATATTTGGATCATCAATTTCCTCACACAACAAGGTCTGGATATATATAAATATATATACATAAATACAGGCCCGTCGAAACCGGGCGAAAGAGGTTGGTGGGGCTGTTGGGATTTGAAAGTCCCTTAGCCAAAACAGTTGTAAATATGTGTTTCTCAGTTAAAATAATTGTTCCGGGAACAAGTCCGATACCCCTTTTAAATTTGTAGTTGTAGTAAATTAAAGTATCCGAGTGTCATATAATAATAATAAAGCAAAAAACCCAAACAAACAAAGAAAAACCCGATAAACACGCCTAGTGCTGTAATAATAATACCGTTAACCGTTGCCTTTTGTGAATCGCTGAAGCATATACCAGTGAATACACGTTTGTCAGTTTGTTAGTTGTGACTATACTTGACTACTTGCGATATTTTTCGTACACTTTAAGTGACTTTATATATAATATATATATATATATATATATATATATATATATATATATATATATATATATATATATATATTAAAACACTCGCTTTCATTCATCGCTTTGCTTTTATTATTTAAAAAGACATTATCACTCTCATCAAGAAAATAAATAATTCATTTTGAATAATATCATATTCACATAACCATATTCGTGAAATTTAGTTATCGAATCATCGCTTCATTTAATGAAACGTTGTCGCTTTCAAAAATAAAATGAAATGAGATTTAACGTTCTTCTGTTCCGACTGGGCTAATGAAGACAGACGGGCATACGTTATAATATGAGGTAGATTTTTGCCCGGACAGCGGCACTACGGCCTACTCTTATATCAAATTCCAATTGTCAAGGGTTCTTTTACGTGCACGCCATTATGAACACGGGACCTCGATTTTCCGTCCCATCCGATGGAATATCCGTTGTTCCTTGCCAGGCCCTCCGTCCTGCACCACTGACAAGAGGGAACCAAGCCAGAAACTCCCGGTGAACTTTCTCGGCTAACACCGTGATCGAACCCGTATCCTCCTGATTAGTGATCCAACTTCTTACTCACTGAGCCATCCTGATTCCAAAATCCCTGAACTAATTAGGTATTTTGCGCAACTGTTCGTTAAACTCTTTTAAAAACTACCATATCTCGCTAATGCCTCTTTAACATTTGACCTCTAGTAGTCTAATTAACGTTACATGATAAACTATTGTTAAAATATGACAGACTAAACGATTTTAAAATAGACGAACACCCCCCCCCCCCCCCGCCCCCCAAAAAAAATAATAAAATACTAGGTCATAAAGCACATGGTTTTTATCATTTTAATATAGAATGTAAAGAACACTTACTGTTTCAAAATCTATCTCCATATTTAGTCCTTGATATATTTCTGAAGATTAAGGACCAAGCGCTTGGCGCTTCAAATTTATGTCATTGACGTTATCACGTGGTTTTAACCCTTTCACTATAGCGATCTATTAACCAATCATTATAAAGCTGATGTGAATTTCTTGTTGATATTTCTCATCAAAAAAACTCTTTGTCTGCATGAATGAAAATTTAAACCATCGCCATACAGCTTTTTATATCTTGAATAGACGGCAGATGAAATAAGATTTAAAGGGGAAGACCAACGATTATGAATGTGTTTACAATCACGCATACATTTAATAATATGAATTAATAATTCATAACACAGACGGTTACTTATGCTGATTGCTCCAGTCAACGTTAAATGATTTTCTAAAACATTTTGTCGGCAGTTAATTTTGAAAAATATAATCCTTGTAAGGCATTTAGCAATTGACTTTCTAAAACATTTTGTCGGCAGTTAATTTTGAAAAATATAATCCTTGTAAGGCATTTAGCAATTGACTAGAATATTAGATATGTCTTTTATATCTCTTTGTACATTAGGGTCATGCTTGAAAACGACTCGTGAAATCTATTTGAAACGTTGTAGTTAATAAACAAAATGATTGTATCCCTAACAAAATATGTTGGTAGTAGGCTAATGAGGTCGTACTTTAATGTTTCTGCAGATATCGTCGGATTTCACCCCAAAAATGAATAAAGGGGCATTGGGTAAGAATAGATAAAGAGATGACAATTTTCGCTAAAATGTTCAAAAGGTAGATAATGAAAACAAAATATGCTGAAAATTTCAGTCAAATTGCTTTACTCTGAACCGAGATATTAGCAATTCAATTTTAGGCTAGCCTCGATCGTCCTTACTAACGTTGGTACCGTAATAAACAAAGTCTCGATTATCCATTTTACGTTAAATTATCCAACACAAAATGTATTCATATCCACTAACGATGGTATCGATAGTTGATTATGGTTTGGATAAGTTAATTAATGTCTAATTAATAATTTAGATAACATTTCAGGCCTAAAGAAAGATTTACGTCCTGCATAATGCACGTTTAATAGTGTGTCAATCGTGAAAATGTCAGTGTAAATACCACAGTTCTGTTCATTATTCTATAATGGGCGTCCGAATAGCACAGTTATGTGCATTATTCCACGACAGATATGTCGACTTGAAGATTTCAGAAATGGCAGTAGTCAAATCAGGATTAGTTGTAACAGTAATCTCATTTTAGCGAAGACAATAACTGAAACAATCCTTCAGATATGGATACTTAACACTTATATTTGCATAGGTCCGTCTAGGGTCATTTATTAGGCAAATCATACTAGCCTCTTGAATTTACAAAACGCCCGTCATTTTCGGCTTTTCTTCACATAATATTACTGTACTGTATTACTTGTTATGTTCTATGTGTTAACCGTATCTTCTTCGACTTTTGTCCGTAATATCGAGAGCCACGTTGGATCAGTGATTGAAGCGCTGGCTTACTAACCCGGGGGTCGCGGGTTTTATAACGCGTCGTGGCACAGGGCGGAACATCTTTACCTGTTCTGTTTTGTTTAGCTTGCCATATTATCTTTCTTCTTCAAATTTTGAGGTTTTACGTATAAATTGTAAATTCTTCAACCATATCGTAATATTAAACAATCAAGATTTTATATGTTTTACTCAGTCTCCAACACAACAGAAAACACGCGCCACACCGATTATATATATATTGAGAGAAGATTGGAGTATAATTACTTTGTCAAAGGGGTGTTGTCTTGAAACAGGTCACGTGTAGCGCTTTACGCGATTTCTTATTTTTTAAGTTTTAAAGAAAGTTATCTAATTTTTTATTTTTTTGCATATAAAATAGTAGGCATACATAATATACAATATTACATAGACCTAAGCATACATAATAGTGATAAGCAGAAAACCCAATAAAATACTGTGTCGTATCTAGGCGGGCAAGCGACCGTTTTAATAGAGCAACGCGCCGATAATAAATTAAATATTTCTGGTAGAAACTCTGAATAAATATGCACATCTTGGTGATTAAAAGGGATACTATTTATAGTGGTGATATCAGAAGCATCCAAAAACTATAGAGTAAAACGTTTGACTGAATGTCCCAGATATAAAACTAGAGATTAGTAATGAATTGAAGGTTTCCCCGAAAACATATCGTCAACGATGTTAAATGATCCGACGTGGCTTGACATTATTTAGTGATAATAATAAACATTTTGATGGCAGCACATAAAACCCCCTAGAAATTAATCTAATGTCAGAGCGTTCTAACAGCAGTAATGTTAATTTTATTGTAAATACAAGGTAACAGCAAGCTATTACCCAATAGTATCAGAATACCCGGAAGAGTAATTTAGTTTAATGTTAAAAAATATATTCGGTTAATGTTATATCTGACACCTCTCTTAAAGGGGACAAACCAGAAAATCAAATACTCCTGATCAATTCGCTTTTTGCTAGAACAAGTATGGGGATAGTTGGTAACCTTGAGCACGTCATCCGGATTGTTATGCTTATTATGCTTTAGGTTATAGATTTCTTTCCAAATGACTGCTTTAGGCTATTTTTGGAGAATATGTCTTGTTTTTTGTTTTTTACAGTTCTAGACTTGGCGTCGCACGAGACTAACAAAAATCGATACAAATTAAGATGAACTGATAATGGCAGATGTTGGAAAATCCCATTCATAATCGTGTCCCATACACGGATGTAGCCATTTTGATTGGCCAGTTTGGTTTCAAGGTTAGTTTTTTCGCATTGAAATATTGCGAGGAATTACATGTATTTCATGAATGCAGTCATTTCAAAAGATCAGACTGTAGCTCTTAATGTTTATGAGTAAAGCTGGCAGTGATGTTATAGCATTACTCATTCATAAATAAAGCAGACATCATTTTTCTAGCCAGTTGTAGCAATGGAGTTCGCAATCAATGCTAAAATTGTAAAATTTTGTAAAGATTTATATTTAAAAATCACAACACTGATACCTTAGACTTTTTTTTATTAGATTAATAAACTTTTAAAACATAATCTGTGCTCTAATTTATTATATTTTTTAAAAGACACCGATCATCCACATCACGCTTACACGCGTCATCTCTAGATATTTTCCCTTGGTATTGTAAATAATGATCAGAAACCTGTTGTAAAGTAAAGATCCCAACTCTACAGGGAGAGTACAATATCATTTAGTCAACAATTATGGAGGAATAACTACTTTTGTAACAAGAATTAATTAATGAAATCTGTAAAGTATTTAACTCTGTAGAGTTAGTACGAGTCCAGTAATATAGGTTTATTAATAGGGGCAATAATTTAAAAACTAGCCTAAGGTGGACCATCTTTACCCTAAATAGTGACAACGACCACATTAACAGGTGGACATAATATGTGGGGAACACAATTGCAGATAGAGTCACATTTATAGCACTATTAAGATTTGAAATAAATTACACATTTCTATTTAGTGTTTGTTTACCAAAAAGTAAGAGACACAAATCTTTGTAACGAGAGAATTAGCACCTTTACACAAAACACTGAAAATACATGAGTAATAAATTCATGCAAGCCATTGTAATTTGTCGTTATTAATCAGCATTTAATCATACTAACTGTGGAATATGTATATTTTAATAATTTAAACTCCGGTACTCGCAATCTTTTTAGAACAAACAACCCTAATAATTCATTTTTCAAAAATGTCATTTAAAATAACATATCAATCATGCGAGTTTTATCATATAGTATGTTTTAACTTCTTTGGTTTTTAGGGGGGGAGGGGTGATAACCGAATGGTTAGTGCGTGATAAGTCCAACCTCGTTGGTTTTCTCCGGGCCCTCCAGTTTTCTCCCACTGTTAAAGACTAATACGCGCAAGCGAATTATTAAAATAAAATTGAACCATGTGTTAGTCCCCAAATGACCTAGTTTGTGTCACGTGGATGTTAAACCCCATTTCTCTATCTCTCTCTTTGGTTTTTATATAACAAAATCGCTACTATTAAATCAGATGTTCCAGAAAATAAGATGCAGATTCCAGAAATTTTGTAAATCTTTAAAATATGGAATGATACATAATATACATTTTTATCACAATATCATGCCTCAATTTGTTCTTTAATACGACAATCGTGGCATTTCATACCTAGCCTTATATTAATATTTTATTTCATTTACAATGTACGAGTTTTACAACATCGGACGTTAATCACAGAAAAAGCAATCACCATAATATATACTCTTTAACTCTTATCTTTAACCCATTAATACAATTATTCTTCACTAAAAACCTTACACATATCATTTTTACAGTATGTGGTGTGGTTGCAACAGTTGCGGCAAATATGGTAGTCAGCTCTCTCCATTCGTTCTTGAGCTAAAGCACTAGCGATGTTTTTATTTTTCTCCTCCAGATCATTTATCTTCTGAAAATATATCAGATTCATTTCCATTACAAATCAGTACATAATTGACAACGTCCAATGTCTTCATACTAAACGGATGGTGGTGGTGGGGGTGCAAATGGTTTAACGCGTGCGCGTTAGATCAAAAGGTCTGTCATTGAGTCAAGTTGCGTGGTTTCGATTCCCTGCTTGTACGTGTTAAGGAGTAGGGTTGCATATCCAACTTCTTCTGGCCCTCCGGTTTCCTCCAACAGCTATGTTAAGCTATATTGAACAATGTGTTGGCCCCGAAATGACCTAATTTGTGTCGAGTGGGCGATAAACCCCAGTTCGCTCTCCACGCTAAATATATAAATATTGCGTTCATGACGCAACAAGTGGAACCAAAAAGGGTGAAAAAGCCACCCATTACCCTAAGGGCTATATTGGTGACAATATAGATGATGTTATATCTATTACAGATGGAACACTTCCAAAAATCATTTTGAAATAATAATGATAATACCCAAAGAAGTGCTTGGTGACATTCTTTCTGTTTCTGGCGATATTTTTTTGCTGCTTTTTTGTTTAATTCTTTTTTACACTTTCTCTTTATTTCTTCTTCTTCGGTTAACTACAAAGATTTGAAGACAATGATCTTATTTTCTTACCAAAAATACAACCATCCCCAAACACATTATTATCAATCTTTGAAATTAACCACCCCGCAAAAACAACCCGAAAGCCCTATCATCATTTGCGCACCAAAGTTATTTTGTTAACATATTAAAACTAACAATAAAAAAAAATTCAGGAGAGTAGGTTGGATGGGAGATATGTGATACTTGGCCGGTCATAATGTCAGCGAAACGATAAATGGATGAGCGATGGAGTTACCGGTAAAGACTTGAGTAAGGCCACTTGCTAAAATAGCTGCTGCTGTCATAGTAGCTATAATTCTTATTCTGTCGTAGTAGCCATAATTCTTATTCACAGCTACAATTGATACACTATTTGAGGCTTTGAGCAAGGAAAATTAGGTTCAATTGCAAAATTTTTAACACTTATCACAGTTTGCATGAAAATAAGTAATTATGTTACAAATAGTGAAGAGTGGAACACTGAAATCTTAAATCTTATCTTACCGAACAGTTTTTCTGTATTTTCGAGTGACATAAAATCACGTGATTCTGGTTCGGCGGCCATTTTAAAATGAACAGAGATTTCGCATAGCAGTTGGGTTTAATCAAATCAAACAATTATGCAGTAAGGTTTCACCTTCATTTCAATGGGAATTGATTTATTGTATGTTAAGCTATGTGCAATACAGTTTGGAGTCCGTGTAACTGGAAATTAAGGGAGTTATAGATCAGTACTTTTTGGTAGTCAAATAACTACAAAACTTGCTCAAAGGAAAGCCTTAGGACGGTCCACTACTGTGACTGGAGCAAGACGGAAGACACCAGTAGTGGAACCATTTCTATAGCCACAGTAGTCTAGTTTCTGTGATAATTAGGATGTGGCGGTCTGTTATATTTCCTTGTCATAGATTTATAAAGCGTTTTGTGGGTCGAGCACGTGACATAACTATATTCGATGGAGCAGATCATTAAATAAGCATCGTTGACGTACCTCATAATATTCTCGTTTTTTCGTTGTTTGAACTAATTCTGGAAGTCCTCTGTCCATACGTCTAATCTGTATTGTATCATGTACTATACGTTTGGTTAAAGGTAAAGTTGATCCTGTATCAATTACTTCTTGCACAGCAGCTTTTATATTTGGATCATCAATTTCCTCACACAACAAGGTCTGAATATATGAATACATTTGTATCATCAATTTCCTCACACAATGTCTGAATGTATGATTATATTTGGATCATCAATTTCTCTATAAAATAATATCTAAATATATGAATTTTGCACAAAAAAAAAAAAATCATTAATGTTAAAAAGTCAAAATGTGTTTTGAAACTTTCAGGCCTCTTTCAACGAGATTCATGATCGAAACATTCTTAAATGATCGATGCGTCAATTGCCGTTTTGCTAAAATATCAAATTTATCACGGCTGAAAACACGCTAAATATGTTCGTAAACTGTTTATTTAACAAAATATCAATGCTAGATAATCTCTCGGCTTGTATTCAATCGGATTTAAACTAGGCTCATCAGGTTTCTCCGCTACCAGCTACTAGCATCATGTCATATTTGATGAAATTTCAATTTGTAAATACTAAATGGAATTGAAACATTTTTGACTGATATATATTCGTATTAGAGATTAAACTTTCGGAATATTGTAGTTTGCAAGGGATTCCTATAGCGCTAAATGACAGATCGAGCCTTTAGTTTCAGTAGGATTTCACCGTATTTCACACTAAACAATCCTACCAAGTATTATAAAATTTCACAGCGATAGGGCCCGATAGAACCCCCCCCCCCCCCCACACACACACACACACACGTCCCTCTAAACAATTTAATACAGATTTTTTTTTAAATTGAATTCGTGAACCATGGCCTGGATGGCTATCACAAACATGCTGGAACATTACGATCCGAAAATTTTGAAATTCGATAGTGTTCTCCCAGCATCAGGCCCGTAACTAGTTTTGCCCCACCTGTGAAAAAATTGTCGACCATAAATAAATAGATAAATATACATTTTCCTTCAATTTTACAGCATTCCCGAGAACACTTCCCGCCCCCCCCCCCCCTCGTTGCTATGAGCTAATTACGGCCCTGTTCAGCATTCCGTTCATAAGATTTCGTAGGTCTTAACGAGATGGGGAGATACAGAATTTCGATATGGACATCTTAAGCGTTCCTGTAAATCTAAAAACACGTTAATGTGGACGGACACAGTTAACGACAAAAAGTGTAGGCGTATACATAAATATATTAAAAGGAGCGAAGTTAGTCTGCGGACCGCATTGCTAAGTATTATTCGACCCAAAAAAAAAAAAAGAAAAAGAAAAAGAAAAGAAATGCCTATGTGTTTACGGTTACCCGACCGACCCTAATATTTTTTTGCCCAAATCACTGACCCTAAACTTAGCATGTTATTTTGGAGGACCTAATTAAGATTTTAATGACTTCCTTTCTCATCTCAATGCGTGTATTATAACTGATAAAACCCATGCTCGTCTTATTAGCTGGTACTGCTTTTTATAGAATTAAAGAATCTATCACTGAAGCGTAAAACGCTCATATTAAATTTACGCGTAAGAAAAAAGTTATCGTTTATACATTTTCAACTTACATATTAATTCTATCTCTCATTTTACATAAGGAAATTTAACACAGATTTGTACGCACATTCTTTTTTGTTGAATATACGGTTTGTAATGTGTAATATAATTCGTTCCATTAATCCCGTAGAACCTATTAAAACAAAATCTTTAAGTGGAATTTAGCGATCGAGGAACACATTAAACAGAACACAAAGCGCGACGTTTCGACATGTATCCTCTTATCGTTATCAAGCACAATGATAAAAGGGTACTTGTCGAAACATCGCGCTTTTAGAATAAAACCAGTGATTTATATCCCATACAAATTGTGTTCTTTAAAAACAACACACACCATAAAATGCAAAACTTGAAAAAAAAGAGACCATCATAATTATTATTTTTAAATGTGGAAGTAAGTGTCACCCAAATCATTTTGAAACCAACACTTTACTAGTTTTTTCGGGGGGTTTTGTCACGTCAATGTCAATGTGGCAATTCCTTAAAATCAATTTTCTTACCATCCAATCGACTAGACACAATTTCTATGTTGTTATATTTCAAATAATATAAGGAGTTTGACTAAGCTTTCAATTTCTTGGAGGCCCCGCTGTTGACATTTCTTCAACTTAAATCAACCGTTAAGCTATTCGTCGCCTAATAATTTGTTTGTGTAATTTATATATCAGAGCTTGGCTGTAGTTACATATTTACTTCCATGTTATATACTTATATGTTATATATACATACGTGACACAGGGAGATTTACTGCACAAACGCAACAAAGAACAGTAAAGAAAAACTCCGCAAAAAAGATCAGCTAACGTAGTGTGTGATGTGAATAGTAACTGTTTATAATAATAAGAATACAAAATTAATGTGAAGAAAACTTACCGTTTCAAAATTTATATCCATTTTAACACTGCTTTATATTTATAATCATATATGTTGGAAAAAAATTTATTTGACGACCGCACAATGAATACCGAGGCGTGTGTGAATTGTTCTGCGTTGGTGCGCTTCTATTTATTTGGTAAAAGTTCGTCACGTGGTATACATTTTCGCGCGGCTTGGAAATTACGCGTTCTCTCAACCAATCATAATAAACTTGATGTGAATTTTTCCTTGTTATTTCTCATCAGATAGGTATTCTAAGTCATGTGATATATATTTTCCCGCGGTTGGGATATATTAGCGTTCTATGATGTATTCATTTAATGATGATGTGAGTTTTTCGTTGATATTTGTTAGAACAACCCATTTAGACTACCTTTTCAAATTAAAGTTGACCGACATTAACATTTTCATTGTCAATGTTTTAGACTACTTTCTAAATCTGATATCTAGCCTGACATTGTTTTAATCCTGCACCATCTTACTCTCCAGAGCTAACATAACAAAATGCCCTACAGATGTTAGTGATTCGTATGATGCGACTTTTAGAGAAGAGGGAAATAGTTTCGACATTTTATTGGCTATCCATTTGTACGTCTATTTCCGACATCGGAGTAAGACGTTGGTTCGATCCAAATAATTTTCATTTGGATTCTCCGTCGTAGTCCCCTCTAAGGGACAACGTATAGTCGGCTGGATGGGACGAAAAATCGAGTTCCTGTGTACATATTGGTGTGCACGTAAAATAACCCCTGACAGTTGAAACTCGATATAAGAGTAGGTCGTAGTGCCGTTGTCTGGGCAAATTTTGCCTCATAGCACACTGTATGGCGTATGCCCGTTTTCATTAGCTCAGACGGAGCATCCCATTTAAGTTCAGCCATTTCCAACATAAATTTTAAACAATATGTATCCCCACAAGGAAGGTTCAATAAATAATTGGCTTAAAGACGGAGTTAAATAATTTTAACTGTTAGTAAGTTTTAACAAGGAGTTTTTTTTATGGTGTATAAAAGATGGGCGAAAATAAAAATGAGCGAGTCTCCATGATCTTTGAGTTCGGTGGATTACCTATATGGACCATATTTTACAGTTCCGGCATGTTTTTAATATATTATTGTCAATCCGTTAACGCCCGTTTTTGTGTCTCACGTTGTCGAAATTCACCTTACCCACACTATAAACTGCTTTAGAAAATCTATAAAAGACACTAATGCTCTAATGACAACCACCTCATCCAGACCCTATCACCACATACACGCGTCAAATAGAAATACCCGATTTTATTATTCATATAGTATTTTACAAGACATACATCGCTTTGTTGACAAGGGATAGCAATATACACGACAACACAATAATTACACACATACACTGTAAAAGGTCACTCACAGCATGGTTAAACGCTCAATGATTTTCATAATAAAACCGTGAATCGGCGCTAGGGCATTATGCGCATGGCAACCATACAACCAGTGTTTTGCCAGTAAATGTATATTAAACATATTTACAGTGTACGACATCCACCAATGACAATATTTACTATAATATACCCTTCTTTATAAAATGTTGTTTACGACATAGATCAACGCCAGATGTGCAAGAATGAAAGCATAATTTGAACAATTGCTATTTTGAAGCAGGGGGGTGGCCGAATGGTTAGCACGTGCGCACTGTATCATAAGGTCTGTCACTGAGTCAACTGGCGTGGTTTCGATTCCCCGGTTGTACGTGACAAGAGGTAGGGTCGCCTGTCCAACCTCGTGGGTTTTCTCCGGGTATTCCGACTTCCTCCCACTACACGCAAGCGAATTATTGAAATAAAGTTGAACCACGTGCTAGTCACGAAATGACCTCGTTTGTGTCGAATGGACATCAACTCCCTCTCTCTCTCTCTCTCTCTCTCTCTCTCTCTCTCTATTAGATCAACGGGTGGGGCAAAAAAAAAAATGGGTCACTCTAACTACAAATGTAATAACTGTTATACTATAATAATGATATTTTTTATTAAAACAATTTTATTTGGTTAATAACAATTGGTAATTTCGAACATTTAGGTAAAACAAAAATAAACATCTCTAAATCCGAACGATAAGGCACTGTCCTTGCCAGGCTACCACCGTAGTATAACAATTGATACAGTAAAGAGTGGCTCTATTTTGACTCGTCCAATAAAAGTATTTTACATTTAATATACCAAAGTTATTATTAAATTCATCATGCGGCGGAATCATATGATCAATGTTAAATCATATGCTTTTGATTAACGTAGGCATCAGTCATTTCGGTTATGAATACGACTTATTATTTGCCATTATGTGCGAATGCTTGCGTAAATAACTGCATCAAACATTTTAATATTTCCGACTTGAATACCACAAATCCTTTGTGTCATATGATTTATCAGATTCTTGTTTTGAAATAAGGACTTGTAGTTCCTTCTTCTCTTCTTGTAAAACATAGTTTTCACTTGACAAATTCAAATATCTCTACAATAGAAGTAAATAAAAAATGTTTAAAGATGTTGTAACGTATTAGGCACATATCGGTCGGGTGGTCGGAAACTCAAGCATCGACCTGGGTAGCACAGCTACTGCTCTGGTTAAATCTCATTTCTCCCTGTACACCATCACGTTTAACATGAGGAGACGCGGTGGCTCAGCGAGTAAGACGTTGGCACACTAACTTGGAGGTTCCGTGTTCGATCCCGGTGTTGGCCGTGAAAGTTCATCGGGTATTTCCGGCGTGGTTCCCTTTTGACAGTGGTGCAGTACAGAGGGGGTACGACAAGCGACAGTGTATAGTCGTTCGGAAGGGATCGAGGTCTTGTCTAGCCTACACATTGACGTACACGTAAAAGAACCCTTGGCAGATGGAATTCGATATAGAGGTAGGCCGTAGCGCCGCTGTCCTGGCACAATTTCCCTCACAGCAGACTGTATGACGTCTGCATTAACCCAGTCGAGGGAGAACCCCATTTCATTTCATTTCATTTCATTTTTCTTTAGCCTGGTCAACAGCGGCTAAAACGGTATCCGCTTCGACATGAGGAAAAGAATATTCGATGCACTCGAAGACATTATATACAGAGTGATCGAGGCTAAAGGAAAATCTGATAGTATTTTTGAAATCGTGAATTTGTTTATCTGACAAATGCAATAATGTTAGAAAACTTATTAAACTGCATTATACCATACAATTGAATGTAATGCGAGTTCATGGTATCATAAAAATGACTGGAGTGTGCGACCATACTCAATATATGAAACGAGTAATACGTAAACAATAAAGATACGTCTAGTTAATAAAAAAAAATATTCACACGTCTTCATTTTGATGTACACCAGTTCACAAACCAACAATCTACCCTTAATCGGCGTCTTCATGAATGATTGTGGGCATTTTTGATATACTTCCCAAATATTCAGTCTAGGTTTACAGATTTAAATGCTTTTTCAGGCAATAATTGCTCTTTTGATACAAATTATGCCTATCATTACTGTCGAGAATTAATTTGACCAACAATATATTATTTACCTTCTCTAGATAGTCTACATAATCTTTTTGCCGGAGTCGGTGTTTTTTCGACGCTCTCCTATTACTTTGTTTTCGGCTTTCAATCTGCTCAACTTCATCTTTTGATAACTACAGAAACAAATATTTATTGTATAATAGAACATACAAATCTATAAAAAAATAAATTCTGTGATGGCCATAAAGCAAAATCTAGAATAGAGGTTTGCAATTGCATAGTAACCATTGGGTCGCGGTTATACATGATGTGATACGAGTAGACTATTGATGCTGCTGTGGCAGCACAAATTCAAATATCGATAACCTCCCATAATATTGAATTTAATTGATCTGATTAAGTTTATGGATACCTTATTACATTTTGGTTCTCGGTGGCTTTAATGTGTTGTCTGTAAATCGCAACACTGGTTTGATTCATAGACGCACAATTTTCAACGAAGACGGTTTGTCATCCCATAAAACAAATCAACATATAAAATACAACGAAGGTGACTCTTTCATTTTTAACCCAAATAAATCAGGTTCATATTCATTTTAAATTGGCACAATAAACCTTCCAATTATTATATAATTAACAAACACATATAATATGTGGAATATCGAATCCGTTTGAAATACAAAACAAGCTTCCCGGCATGCAGTACAAGCTGACATAACGTGACAGGTAACACCGAGGCCATCCTCGGTATCCCCAAATGACATAGTTCCGTTCTACTGAGTGGAACGATATGATACCACTGGGGATACCGAGAATGCCGAGAGCCATGATCTATAAAATGTATTTTATCTTTTAATCCAGTCAAAGTATTAAGAGTAGACCTAGAACAAATTGCAACAGAAGGTGTAATAAATTTATAAGGTGAAAACTCAATATTAAAGGAGTTAAGGGTCTCAAAGGGTACATTTGGTGGCCATTTTGAATTTATGCAAATTAGGCCCTTTCTCCGGTCTCAAAATCAGAGAACTTTGGATATGTTGTAGAGGAAGATTTCACGAACACAACGGTACCAAGAAACTTTCTGTTGCAATTTGTTCTAGGTTGCCCTAAATTTAACGTAGATTGACTGGATTATTTCTACACTCAACGATTATCAATATCGTTCATATTTCGCCATACATTCAACTTCGGGCATTGGAGCCATACGTTTGGCAAATAGAACAGTATTCAAGGCCAACCGAGAACAGGTGTTGACGGAATCTGTTCTTGGGACGCGTGAAGTGGTTAATTTTATGTCTTGGGAGGTGTATACTTGTATGTCCTAAAAACTATATATACCAATACATAATTTATATACATGTACTCACATCCTACTGTAATAAGATACAGAGAGAGAGAGAAATGGGGTTTAACGTCCACTCGACACAAACTAGGTCATTTCGGGACTAACATATGGTTTAATTTTATTTCAATAATTCGCTTGCGCGTAGGGGTCTTTAGCAGTGGGGGGAAACCGGAGGACCCGGAGAAAACCCACGAGGCTGGACAGGCGACCCTACTCCTTGTCACGTACAACCGGGGATTCGAAACCACGCCAGTTGACTCAATGACAGGCTTTATGATACAGCGCGCACGTGCTAACCATTCAGCCATCCCCCCCGCCCCCCCCGTAATAAGATACAAGTAAACATTTTATTCACTTGTTTATAGATACAGTTAACATTAAAAGGGGGTTTTATGTTTCAGTGCTCTCCCTTGTCAATTTTTAGGTTAGTAATTTAAGATTAAAAAAGGACGGTTTCGTAAAACGTAACAGATGTGAGATAAGTAAATATAAGCTTGTAGCAGATGTGGCTTCATATACAATGTACTCAAGATAAGAATAAGTGACGTTTCTTTATATATAATCGTGTAATATGAATCTGTAAAAATAAGCATTACTCAGAAATATAATTTGACATTATTTGAATTAACATCTGCCTAAATATTTTTTTAATGCAAATTCGGCTCCATAGTTTTAAGTTCCAGTCATTTGTTCTATGCGGTCCCGAATTTCATATACAAAATCCACCTGTCTATTTTATTTATATCGACATGGTAAAACCAAACACAGGCGGAAAACTTTCTGAAGTAAAAATTATTCATTGAACAATTAATGTATGGGGATTACCCCACCGTCAATATAATTTTAACGTCTTTCGTACAGCTCTAGAAGTAGCTCGATGACTTACTTATCATCTCTTTAAGGCGGCCTCTGTACACAGAAAATACTGAAATTCGGAAGAAATAAATGACTTTCGCAAATTTTGAATGGTAAACAAATTGACATTTACGTACACAATATCATACATCTTAATTTTTGGACAAAATATTGCTATACTTTTATTGACAATATTGACAATGAAACCAGATTTTATACATTATGAAATATTAGTAGTCATGTCACAGTCTTAGGCATATCTAGGTATTTCAGCCTGAGTCCTATTCACAGCGTCACCAATAATGCCCCAGTCAGACCGGGGTGGCGTCCTTACTGCGCTGCTACGGCGACGGAAAATGGTTTCAGAGTGCGTCAACATCGCCATATGCGTCGTAAAAGCGTGGCGGAAACGCCAAATATCGTGCTGTGGTCTCCATGATCGCCAATGATCGCCGAGTCACGGCGTTTGTTTTGGGCATGTTCAAAGCAAACGCCAAGGTTATGCGATCTGGCCTGGAGAACAGTGAGAACGCGACTTTTTTCAAGTTTGTAATCTTTGGGGACATTTTCTCGCGTTGTGTTCATGTTTGCCGGCGACCTTGTGTATTTTCTGGTCGCCGTACGGTCGCAGCAGCGCAGTAAGGACGCCACCCCGGTCTGACGGGGACATAAATATAACACTTTGGACGTAAGATTTTATTTTCTCGTAATTTACCAATAAGTTCTTTAACAAGATTTATTCTAGTAGTAGAGCAGCGCCATCTGATATCATACTAGAGGGGTGGGGCGCCAACACTCCCTTAAAAGGCGGTAGTTCTGTGTAGCTGCTGGATCAAACGATAATGCCGACAGATAGAGCAGAGAAGATGAATAAACCAGTCTGTTTTTGTACTGCTGTTGTGCGGGGATTTTTAAATATCTATGATATATTACTACTTAAATTGTTTCTTTTGATAAATCTTGACTTATACCTCTTTGCAAAGTCTCCCACTTTCTGTATAAATTCGGCGCTGCATTTATTTGCGGTGTTGTTGTTCGTAGTGTTTAATAGCTTTCACTAGTTGTCAGTCTTTCCTGAGGTATGGAACCGGAGTACCCAGAGTAAACCCACGAGGATGAGAAGGCGCTACTATCTCGAAGCTAGATACACACACACCAGGGATCGATACCACAACCGCAAGCCTGAGGTAACCGGCCTGCTAGAGCTCGAGATGCGCCACTCTATACCACTCCACTGGCTCTGAATAAGCTCGTTTTAATTTGCTAGGCGGTAATTAATAGGCTGGTATAGCCTTTATTAATCAATTGGAATTCGACACAGGATATGCCGATCAGCCCCCCCCCCCAAAAAAAAAAAAAAATAATATACAAGATACAGACACAGGAAGATTGATCGGATTTAGCCACGTCAGATGTGCACGAATGAAAGCATAATTTGAACAATTGTTATTTTGAAGCAGGTGAGTTGGATGACCGAATGGTTAGCGCGTGCGCGTTGTATCATAAGGTTTGTCTTTGTGTCAACTGGCGTGGTTTCGATTCCCCGATTGTACGTGACAAGGAGTAGGGTTGCCTGTCCCTCTACGCACAAGCGAATTATTAAAATAAAATTGAACAATATGTTAGTCCCGAAATGACCTAGTTTGTGTCGAGTGGACGTTACCCCTCCCTCTCTCTCTCTCTCTCTCTCTCTCTCTCTCTTTTGAAGTAGAAATGTATAAACTATGCTGGGCTGATTAGCGGGGGTATATAAAGAGTCTACAGGGACAAAACTATATTTAACTGTATTCTAAATCAACCATCAATTTTCAAGACGCCTGAATTCAAACGCCACACTCAAACACGAAGAGTGTGTTCGTGACGTCACTGGCGGAAACACATCTACTAATTGTAAATTTGAAAGCGCGGAAACACAATGTAAATAAATTTAAGCGACTTACTGAACATCGTCATTTTTAAGTTTGGGGACACATTCTTTAAAAGATCTAGTGTTATTGATAAAATCGTAAACGAATTCTTTAATTTAAGGTAGCCCTTGAAGAGAGTGGGGTGGGTTTGTGAGTAGTAATTTCTAAAAGTTGATTGAGTAACATTATGGAAAGTAAATCAGATTTCTTAAACACGGCGACACCCAACAGTTTTCAGAAGACAATATGCATCCCAAGTCCGATTAACTTCCTTTATCTGGACTTATAAACCTGTAACGGTAAATCTTTTTGATCTTTGTGGTATATTCTATGCCCGGAATAACTTGCGGTCTGAAAGTCGAGGGCGGTTATGGATATATACAGGGAGATTTGGGGTTATTCTTCTGAAAGTTTTTCTTTAAACCTGTTACAGGTTATTCCTCCAGGGTAGGTTTTTTTCCCCATAACAAAACATGATATAAGGTTTTTCTTGTGGGAATTCGGGGATATTCTCATCTTGCGTACATGTAAACATAGACGGTTTATAAGCAAGATAAAGTCCTCGACTTCGGTTATGCTGGAGAAGAAAGACTACAGAAAAAACCCTCGACAGAAAACCCTCGGCCTGCCGGCCTCGGTATTTCTTTCTCTCGGGTTATTTTCTTCAGTCTTTCTTTCCCCAGCATAACCTCAGTCTCGTGCTTTATCCTACGCATAATATATTTTTGATACGTTTTGTGTACCTGGGATATGCTAGGTGATTCTGGTTCGATTTCAAGTTCTGTCAACCCTCTAGAATATCTTTGGATTTGAATCTTTGTTTTAATTTCTTCTTTAAGTATAGGTAATATGGAACCTTGCTCAATCGTCTGTTGAAATGCGCGTATAAGATTTTGATCAGATACAATTACTGCATTTTCCATTACTACAAATATATAAACACCAATAATTATTGGGGTAATTTGCATCTATCAATAAGTAGAAGCAATAAAAACACAGATTGGTGAGCAAATCTAGACAAAGTTGCTTCGATTTTGAACTGTACCCTTATTTTCATTTATTTACGTTTCGTTCTTTCTTAAACTAAATCTGCCTATTGCAAGTGTTTATTTAGGCTTCAGATGTTATAGAAATTAATAAGTAGACCTTTATTTACACGACAAGCTCAAAATCTACTCTGTAGACCCACGGATGGCTTGGATATAGTTTGGATTTAAACAGTCGTCCATTTAAAATTAAATCAATAAATGGCGGACCAAGCTAACGTTTACCGTTAGTCGCTGATGCCACTACCGGAAAATGGTGATTAAAGGCCTGCCAAGCGAGGCTATCATAGCCATTGAACATGTTACTTGATAATCGAGAATATGTGGGTGGGGTTATCGTCTGTTAATCAAACGATCTCATAGACGGTGCAGACACAATTGATGCCTATTTCTAGTCCAAACTTCCAACAGTGACAAATCCGTTCAGACCAAAGTAATTTGACTGAAATTTTCAACATTTTCTTTTTTATCATCTATTTTTTATCTTATTATAGCAAGAATGTCCAACTCTTTATAAAACTCTTAATAATGTATTATTCGATGGCATCGGATAAACGAGGTTTTAAGTAGATTAGAACGGTTCGCCATTTAAAAATTTAATTTAAAAAAGGGAAAGCGAGGCCAAGCCTCGAATATACCAGTGTCCTGGTTACCACTATGTACACATCTTGTCAAAACTACAAACAGTGATAACTTGGCTTAGAATGAAGTAATTTGAATGAAATTTTCAATTTTTCATTTTACATTATCTATTTTTGAGCTATTATAGCAAGAGTAGTCAGCTCTTTATCTAAATCTTACAAAATGTATCAATTTATCATACCACTGTAATGACTATACCTTGACACAGTAGTGGGAATTCCCGTTCAGATCTATTCGAATGCATGCCGTTGGTTGATTTTGTATTTCAAGTCGTTTTAATGACAATAATCTATATTCACTTGTTTGCATTTTGACGTGTTTTAAGATGTCAATAACCGAGGAATGGAAGGCTGCAGAACGTTGAATTTCAATTAGGTTCATCCTCTTAAGACCCATTCTTAACACACAATCCGTTAAAAACCGTGACCTCTATTAACCTAACAAGATTTTCGGTAAGGGGTGGGGTGGGGAGTTAACTCGACATCTACCTTTCTCGTCGCAGAGCCGCTGGTTTGAGGGAAAGGAAGGTGCTTCGCACGATGGAGACGGTGGAATGAAGTTGGGCGGGGAAACACTATTTAGCTTCGAGATACTAAGTTGTTCAATCGAGATATTTTGGTAATAATAAAATCATAGGACGTCCTTTCCCAGCCACCGTATTTATGGCTTTCTTCACGAAGTTTTCGGCAATGGGGTGTGTGTGGGGGGGTGGGGTGGGGTGAAAATCGACAGGTGTAATGCTCTTATTATGTCCCCAATTCATCACATCACACCAGACGTCCGACAAACTTTGTTACACATTTTACATAAACTCATCCAAGATCCTTAAGATATATTTCACGTTTAATGATCATTATCGGACATTGGTTGAAGTTGAGATGTTGTGACCGGCAATAAGGCGTCTAGGCATGCGGATCGAGAAATGTACATGCCGTCAATAAAGACTTGGCAATCTCCTTATTCGGTAATACCATAAAACAGATTCAAATATATCACAGTTTTGTCAAATACCACTATATTATGTATTACGTTATATCTATTAATTGTTTAAAGTAGTTCTTACCGTAGAATACAGCAGTCATATTATAACAATCTTGCTGTCCTCATTTCTAGACTTAAACAGACTGAAAATGGAAAACCCCTTTCTAAATATAGATCAATGTCAACTTGATGAATACAAGCCAGCCCATTGGGTTTTATTAACGGTATGAGCTTCAACTGAAAGTAGTAATAAACAAATAGTAATATAAATTAGCTGCTCTGAATAAAACTAAAAGTGTTGAAAAGAAGCAACATTCCACCTAAAATGCGGCGATATTTGTCGCCAAACTCTTGTCGCGTAGTAGTGGGCCGGCTAAAGGAAGATGTAGGCTATAATAAATAGTATTTTTTTTTACCAGCCAAAATTTACAAAACCTGGAATAAAATAATATAAGCCTCAGTATAAAAAAAAAGTATGGAATATCGGCTTTAGTCCATTCTACACGGGGTTTTCTTTACTATCATTTTGTCGTTTGTAAATCAAATATTCCACATTGTATTCTATAGGATTAATTCCATAGAGTACACGACATCTTGCATTGATTTTGAAAAAAAAAATATGGGAGCCCATCCAATATTTAATGTTAATTGTGTCTTAAATATTGGATATTATAGGCTCAAATATTTTCAGAGTACGATTACAACATCAATATTGATTGATATAGACTAATGTTGAATTATAATTCGTGTTTTTAATTTAGAATATCATAGATAATATGAGTTAGAAGTTTAACTTCTTTAACTGTGCGAACTTCCTATATCTTAATGGGGAGAGATATTATTCATTCAAAAACGGCGAGCATACATTTTTTTGCACCGAATATACCGCCTGCAATGAATAAACAATCATTCAAGCCAAGCACACAGTGTAACAAAAAGCACCTTCATATTCAATAAAAATATATGTTACCGAAATTAAAAGAGAGGTAGAGTTGAACATGGTCATCAAAATACATGTATCTGGTGGAGTGTAGTTTATATCCAGTTCAGTTTTATATATTCGTTTGATCCTTTCCTTACTAATTATTTAAACCCTAACGGTTCACATATTTTAAACATCTTTGTCCTTTACCTCAACAAAGACTGTTTTCTTTTTATTTATCGATTAATAAAAACAGTTTTACCGCCTTGAATGCTTACTATCATGTCTATATTTTTCTGCCATGTCATAACATTGGTTAATATACGAACACCTGTCTTACGGTTTATAAAACATCTTTGTTGAGAAAGGATCGTTGATAATTATTTTTGCTTTGTACCCGACACGCGACCATATTACCCTAACGGTTCAGATTTTTTTTAAAATTGACTTTGTCCTTTACTTCAACATAGGGGATGGGGCATGCGTCTTAGATGGTAATGTCTGTCATTGAGTCAAGAGGGGTGGTTTCGATACCCCACTGGTACGTGACAAGGTGTTAGATCGCTTGTCCAATCTCATGGATTTTCTCCGGGTACCCCGGTCGGGTCCCCCGGTTTCCTCCCACTGCTAAAGACCTACGAGCAATGAATTATTGAAATATAATTTGACCATATATTAGTCTAGAAAAAATGACCTAGTTTGAGTCGACTGGACGTTAAATCCCCCCCCCCCCCAACACACAAAAACACCACCCCTCTCTCTCTATCTCTCTCTCTCTATCTCTCTCTCTCTCTTTTGGGGAATTTTTCAACCATGTCATAACATGAGTTAATATACGTACACCTGTCATAGGGTTTATAATAAAATCCATTTTGAGAAAAGATTGAGGCCAATTACTTTGTTTTGTACAGTTTTGTACCCGGCACGCGACCATATAAAAGAGCCACGCGTCGATAAGACATTAACATTATTTTTCAGAAATTTGAGTAATGTTTACAGCTTTGAGATTAAAGGGCCCTAAACAGATATAAAAAGAGATGATGAGTACATAATGCTCTCGCGTGGACAATCTGATTAAAGTACAGTTCTATATTTCGTTTCGTTTTTTTATACTTTCGATGGCGTCAGGGTTCATACTAGCGGCTTTTGACCCCATGACGTCAGACATTGATTAATCCATAGAAATATATAAATATTTATATATTTCTATGGATTAATCAATCAGGGATGACATTTCTAGTGGTTTACCTACAGTTCCGTGCACAGCACGCCAAGAACTCGCCGTAAGAGACTGTTTCATTGGCTAATCCCTCACATCAATCAGATCCTAGTGAGTCCGGTGTGGTGGGATGGAATTACCCTAACCGTAGCAATAAACTTATACCAACGTTAATAGCAAGTCTCCGTAGCTATACACTGTTGGATGTTCCGATATAAATTCAAGAACTGTGAAAAAAGATATGCAGGCTTTTGGGGCGTTTTTTTTTTGTTTTAAATTTGCTTTCATATTTCGATGTTGAGAACGATCAACGAATCCCTGTGTTTAAAAATCTATAGATTTTGAACATGAGACGAGAAAGATTTATTGGTAATGTGTTGATATGGTCAGGAGACACTTCACGTATGATTTTACGAACCGTGCCATTGTCTAATTTTTACATTTATTTTTATTCTCAACGCAAGAATAAAGAGGATTAAAGGAGTATAACTCGCAAACTGAAACCTATGTGCATATTTCAGAAATAGATGCAGCAGATTTCAAATCAAGAAAAAATAATAATAAAAGATACATTATTTAAGCTTTAGATAATATTTAAAAAGAAAAATAGATAAAGAGGAATGAATATTTTGGCAATTTCAGTCAAATTACTTTATCCTAACCGAAGTTATGAGTGTTTGAAGTTTTTGATAAAATTCTCCCGGTTGTCATGTAGGCCTACCTGTGGTTCGATAATAAACAATGTCTGGACTATCCAGTTTATCGTATCTTATTAAATGGTGAGAGTTGATTATTAGCTCGAAAACCTGTAATAGACCAAATTAGCGCTTAAAAAACAGATCTTTAACGCTCTTTTCCGGCAAAAACGTTATAACTTAATAGTAGACGTTTACCCTATATTGCACGGGAAGAGTAGGGGATGAAATAGCTTTATTTAACTTCAGCTTCGTTTCTAAAAACGAAAACAAGCTCAATCCACACGAAACACAGGTGGGAGATCTTTCCAGTTCTATTATAATACAGGTGTCCTGGCATATGTTCTAAATATACTAGTAGATAAACGTCGACTTATTTGTATACATCGTATAAAAAATTAACCCCCCCCCCCCAAAACCCCCAAAAATAACACAAAAAGAAACACGCCTAGCACGCGTCACAAGTCATCATAATAATTACCGAAAGAAATATTTAACACGCTTTGCCGACCTTGGTCGTTTAAATTCAAACGTAAAGTATACTTAAAAGTTCCTTTGTTTAGGTCAGAATAAATAGTGTTGACCTGAGTTGATTTTTTATTTATTTCATTGTTAGAACGAGATACTTTCTATATACATGTATCTTGTTTTATATTCGAGACTAAGAAAATGTATAAACAAAAATATCGACATCATCATGTTCCGTTTTCAATGAATGAATATATACATGCACTTGAATGCGTGATATGCCCTCCTGGCGGAATAGAATATTACAATGAGATAGATAACTCATTACATTACACATTACATTTAATATAGCGTACATTAATGCCATGCAGGCTAAATGATATGACTACTTACATGTACTGTTAAATTGAAGTGGAAATTCCGGATACATTCTTTTTCATAAAACATTTCCTTCACGAGTAGCACCGCATGGCACATATTGATAATAAGAACCGCACTGAAACTTTTACAAACTTTCCTCCCACTGCTAAAGACCCCTATGCGCAAGCGAATTTTTGAAATAAAATTAAACCATATGTTAGTCCCGAAATGACCTAGTTTGTGTCGAGTGGACGTTAAACCCCATTTCTCTCTCTCTCTCTCGCTCTCTCTCTCTCTCTCTCTCGACATTTTATGTAACGATTAACTATAACTCAATGCTGTTTAAAGCTACATCATACTCCACTCAGTGTTTCGTTTGATTAGAGTTCATCGGGATTTTCCGACGTGGTTTCCCCTTGTATAGTGGTGCAGAACGGAGGGCCTGACAAGGACAGCTGTCTAGTCCTTCGGATGATACGAAAAACCGAGGTCCCGTGTATACATTGGAATGCATGTAAAAATCCCTTGGCAGTTTGCATTCGATATAAGAGTAGGCGATAGTGCCAAATTTCCCTCGTAGCACACTGTATGGCGTATGCCCGTCTTCATTAGCCCAGTATGGGAGCAGAACAGTAGGACACTAAACTCCATTTCATTTCATTTCATTTAATTTCGTTTGATTAGAGCGCAAATTTCTGTCCCAAATCAACAACCAGTACATTACTAGGTAACAAAATCGATCGGGATTAAACCGAGCTCTAAATATGTTACCGTGGAGTGTCTGGTGACAAACGCGGCTATTACATTCAATTAACAGAGGCATAACAGAATACAGCAGATGAACTAATTGTGTGATAAACGAGACTATCCGAAATAGTTGCAATGAAAACACTGGGTAATCGCCGCGCACGCATATTCCTGAAGCTATGACCCGAGAAATGTCTCTCTGGCCATTGCTGGATTGATTTCTGATACTTTATCTTTTGAGGGAGTGTGTCTATTCTTCCCGTTCAATCAAATCTATCCCAAGTACAGAAACATAACAGCCCTTCGTTTAATCTGGGGTCTTCCCTAAAAAATTGGACAGTCCTTTAAAGTATTAAAAATGGTGAAAGTATTGTTTACATTGTATCTGTTTTGATAGCCCCCCTTGTCACGCAGTTAGTTTTTCTGCAATATTCTGCTATGCACTGGTTAATTGGGCGTAATAATATCGGGAGTCATGACATAACATTACGTAAACATAATTGGTTGTTAATCAGACTATTGACCATTCATAAATTGGAATAGAAATTTGTTTCCATTACAGCAGTGTTAAGTAGGATTAGTTCTAAGCAAACGAAACACTGCGAGGCGCGTGGAATCTTTTTATCGTCTCTTGAGCCACACAGCAGATCAAAGAGAAGGACTGTCATGGTACGTATTGTGTTTCAACAAAATGGATAGAAACACATGTGCATTTTTGATGAAATAAATAATTCATGGG